CTATCCAATTCTTAACAAGTGATGAGTTTTTCCTGAGTTTCTTGAAGACCATCAAAGTATTTATGCCAGCAATTTAGGGCGGCAGTAGCTCAGGAGGTAGAGCGGTCGTCCAATAACTGGAAGGTTGGCAGTTCGATTCCCCCCTATCCCAAGTCTGTCCGTTGTGTCTTTGGGCAAGACACTTAACCCACCTTGCTCCCAGTGTGTGTCCTCCACTGGTGTATGATTGTGAGTGTAGGTGCAAACTCACAGCCACGTTTCCGTCAGTCTGCCCCAGGGCAGCTGTGACTAAGGTAGTTTACCACCACCAAAGTGTGACTGTGTGAGCGAATGAATGATGTATCCAATGTAAAGCGCTTTGAGGGTCTCTGATAAAGCGTACATAATAAGACTGGCATTTAGGGTCAGTGTAGATCAGGGGTGCCAAACCTTTTTTAAATCAAGATCTACCTTAAAAGTTTCTTGTCTGTTGAGATCTACTAGTTCACATAGTCATCCATAGTGCTTGCCAACAGCCCATCAGTGACATATTTACAATTCACACAAGAAATCGACACATCCAGATGACAGTCAATTCATTCTACCTTAGTGTGACTCATTAGCAGCCTCGATGAAGGCTTCCTTAAAATAGGGTGACCATACGACCTCTTTTACCTGGACATGTCCTCTTTTTGGGGGGCTGTCCGGCGTTGTCCGGAGAAGTTTACAAAATCCTTCAAATGTCCGGGGTTTTAGTATGGAAGTTTTAAGTTTGTGTCGCGTGGGTTAACTGAGTTAGAAGCGCATAAAAGACACTCGATCAGACCCGAAAACTCAATATTAACTACACACGACTCCGTGACTCCGCCCCGCGTAGTTGTGTCCTCTTTTTGGGGATTCAGAATATGGTCACCCTACCTTAACAACTTCGCCATCTTTGAATGACTTCTTGTGTTTAGCAAGAGCATGAGTAACTCGATAAGATGCCATTGTTGCAGCTTTACCCTTGGTGTTTGGTCTGGTAAAAACAGACTGCTGTGCGGCAAGCTCACTCTTTAGTTCCCGCACTTTCCGAGAGCGTAGCGGTGATTTAGCGGGAAAATTCATCTCATAACTTTTGTGTACTGCCTTGAAATGTTGTTCCAAATTGCCCTTCTTTGGTACGGCCACGCTGGCTTTGCAGGTGAGACAGATGGGCCCAGAGTTTAAGTAGACAAAAAAGTAATCATCCCACTCCGGGTGAAAATAGTGAGTATTGCGTCATTTTACACCTGCCATCTCCCTTCGTTTTAGCTGCTAACTACTGTACGAACGAGCGTCTCTCAGCACGCGTGACGTGACCTGACAGCCACAACGGAGGGGGGGTGTGGAGCTGGCGCAGCACAGCCATGAGAAAAATACTATCAAAGCGTGGATTGATTACAAGAGTTTTATCTACTGTTGTCAAGGCTATTTCTCGCGATCGACTGAGAATTAGTCCACCAGTCGATTGCAATCGACTGGTTGGGCACCCCTGGTTCAGATGGTCTCTCGTTGCTTTTTTGCTCTTTGTGTCTGATATCCTGCAGCACCTGAAAAATATTCTGCTTCAGGTTATTGGTTAGATAGATAGATAGAGAGAGGTCTGGCTGTACATCCTTCCTGTTTATGATTTATGTGAAATATAAACTTCTCAAACAGCTGTTTCCAAAGTTGCGTGCAGATGATTTTTGCCAATGTCAGTCTGTTCTTGTCATTTTGTATCACTTTAAAAACACATCAGTAACAAGTCTCGTCCACATGCCAATAACCTGCTGTGATCAGGTAATATTGAGTGAAACATCACAAAGCAGAGGTACCACTGGGTGTCATAATAAAATGTGTTGCTTGGGTGCCGCTGGCGCAGTGATCTAAGCGTATGCCCTCCCGAGTAGACGGCCCAGGTTTGATTCCTGCCTGGCTTCTTTCCTGCTGTAGGATTAATCACAAGTCAGTCATTTAATTTGCAGTATGCACCTTTGACAGGTTAAAAACAGACGTGTATTTCAGTCACTTTCCCAACAAGAGGTGTTTTATTCATCCTCATCCACTTTAAATTCAAGTACAACTGATGTACTATTCAGCTTTGCACTACAATTACAGTGGAAAACACCCACTTCCAGATGCCAGAATGTCAGTACACTCTTTGAATGATTTAGAATCACAAAGAAAGTGCCAGGAGACAGGTGTTTGATTTGTAAGTGTTTGCTTAAATCATACAAATCCAGCTTCTGCAGTTCAGATAGTACTACTGCATTTTCCTATTTTTCAGGCCATTGTATATCATGTTACTTTTTCCTTTACCCCCTCAGATAAATAGCAATGCAAGTTGTCGAACTGACTGCGTGCTGACCTTTTGACCTCCCTGAACTGAAACCACCTCACAGACTTGAGCGGATCGATAAGATACAAGGATAGCTTTGTATTTACAAAGTTATGTCCACTTTACAGAGTAAAACTGCTTCACTCTGCTTTCAGCTCCAAACATAGAAATGTAAGTAAGAATAAGAAACCCGGTCTTTTTCGTGTCAAATTGTAAATTCCATTAATTTAATTCATCACTTTAATTACTTTTGAATCAAATTTGCCATAATTAAATATACAAATATCTACTATCTGTTGGCATACTCATTGACTTGACTTGAGAGTAACTGAGACTAGACTATGAGGAAGTATAGTACATAATATTTGTCTTTCCAAAGCAGCAGATGAAGCTGGAGGATGTGTCTTATCACAGTCTCATACAGCAGACTCAGTCACCAGAAGAGCTGTCTTCTGTTCATTTAGTTGTTCTTTTGAATGTGTTTTTGTTTCAGTAAGATTTCATCTGTGGCAGCTACAATCTCATTTTCTGTTTGCTTGGTAAACACAGTGATTTTATCCAGCAGAGATTTAATAAATGCACATTATTTAACTGGACTGCAGTCCTGAGGCGGGGGTAAAAAGTTGACAGTGTGTCTGTGGTGATAATCGGTTTTTCGATGTGGTCTTTAAGTTTAGAGATCAACTATTCTCTATCTTTACTTTAAGACACTTTTAAGTGCAGTGATGCTTCTGAGTTGATTTGTATGGAGAAAGTAATTAAAGAATTAATTACTTCTAAACATCTTTAACACACTGCACAGTACATAGCGCATATACATACCATAGCGCATATACATACGACACTAATGGACTTGTCAATTGAATCTGTCAATAATGCTGATAGAGAAAAAAAAGTATGGAGGTTACTTTAATTTTATTATGCAACACGTTTAATTCACAAAATGGAACAGACAGCTGCACATTATCAACAATGAACACAAAGGCTAATCATTACAGCATGTGAGCATTTCCATCAGAATAATTAGAAGCATGCTATCGTGTTAAATTGCATTTAAATCTGTCAGCTGTGCCAGTGCGGATTACATGACACATTTAAGCTGCAAATTAAGCTGTACTTAGTAGTAAAGTCAGTAACTGCTGGCATGATAACATGCAAACTGAGGTGGACATACATGATTGATTTCAACATGTTGGCATTTTTATTAGAAATATGTTATCATGCAGATCAGAAGTTAGATAAAAGTGCAATCCACTGACTTAATGTGTGATAGACAAGGCACTGACACATCAAGCTGGTGCAGCCAAAGCATGTGAAAAGGACCTGGCTGATAGAGCAACAGGACTATTGTCACATCTTTACTATTTAGCAAAACATGCATTCAATTTATTAAAAAATAACAATTGAAAAAAAAAAAAAAATCAAGGGGGTTTGTCTCGTTTTGTTTCCTCATAGGTCCTGATTTGGTTTTAAACCAAAGATATTTGTCAGTGAAGTTGATTCAGATGTTAAATAAAGAGGGTGGGATTTAGAAAAATAACGTTCATGCCTATGTTGAGACGCAGATGTGCTGCATTTTCCCTCAAACACATGCTGCATTTATCAAGAGGACACACTCATGCTTGCATGGTTCATATGTCTCGTCATCCATATGCATTTTAGGCAGGATTGATGTAAATGTAGGACATATGTTAACACACAGTAATTATGTGCTCTGCGGCACTTACTACAGATGCACTAATTGATACTCAGTTTTGTTGGGAAAACTCTCAGACCATAAACACCATGCACATGGGATTTGTAAGAGCGGCTCAAATAAAACACTCCATTTACATTTGTAAAATTAAAATGCCTCGAAGATAAGCCTGTCGAGTATTTTGTCTGTGGTGCTAAACCAAAATCATTTCATTTGATTGTTAAAAACCCAGAGACAGCATTATTACCAGTAAATAATCCATGATTGTGTCCTTTTATTTGTGAAACTGCCCTGGGTGATCTTTTGTGGGCTGTCCTATGAACCGTCTTGTCTAGTTTTTTTTCCTGTTTTATGTTGGTACCTGCCTCAGGACTGCAGATGAAATTTAGTTATTGTTCTAAAAGATGAGCAATAATAAAATATCCTTTTGCTACAAAACAATAAAACAATAAACAAGCGATTGTTGAATTAATTGATCTTAACCATCAGTATACCAAAGTAATGTGTGGCTAAATATGTTACGCAATGCTTCTGTACCTTGTGCATTTTTAGCAGTATAATTTTTTGATCTTATGTGAAAAACAATGAAAACTTTTTGGATTTGAGACACAATCTTTTTTTCCGATGGTGTTGAGGAGAGTAAATATCTTGTTGGAAACAGTCCTAACTCCACTGTTGTTGGATCTGCTCTCTGTTAATCTGAATATGTTTGGGAGGATGGCTTTTTGATTTAACACCAACTATTGTGTTCAACACTTGTTGATGTTGTTGGTAATACATGTTCAAGGTCTTCTTGTCAGACTGGTAAAAAAAACAAAACCTCCTGGAGAGATGAAAATGATTGCTATAACTGTAAGAGGCAGCTCTTTCCGCCACTATTTCCACTCTCTGGCTCATTGTCATTCAGTGCATGTTACTCAGCAGGGACTGACGCACATGTGTGTGACGTCAGGAAAAAAAAGATTTGTCTTCACAATCAACAGGAAGCCATAAACGAGATAAACTCTGCGGCTATGCTTACTTTTTTCTTCTCCTTCTCTCCTGCTTGAACTCTTTGGTACCCTGAGTGGTCTGCGTGGTGTCTTGTGAAAGAACTATTCAGACACTTGATGATTTGAGGAAGGTAAACTCTTTCTGCTATTTTTACCCATTGACTTTTTTGGCAAAGATGTACTCTGTAAAGACATGAGTCATACTTCATTATGTAAAAACTGCCAAAGATGTACACTATTTTTCTTTTCCTTGATCTTTACAGGAATTGCAACAAAAAGGGTCCTTTTTATTGCAGTTACATATTATCACTGTTTCCTCCACCTGGGGGGTGAACCAGACAGGGTCAGGTTCAGGAGCATCAAATTGTAGAGGAGTGGTGACCTCTGCCTGCACACTCAGAATAATCATCTCAGCCTGTGCTCTTTAGAGGGCATTCATGTTTTCATTTCAGTGACCCGACAACCCTTTTCATCGGCAGACTTCACAGACACCAAGTACTGAAAGCATCCTCTTCACATTCTTATCTGGTCGACTGTCCTCTTTTGTTTTTTGTTTTTTTCTCATTTGATTTGTAAAGTTAATCTCCAATATGCAGTGTTCTAGAGAATCAGGAATTTATAACAACTCAAGATTGAAAGAGCCACATCTAAGGATACAACAAAACTGCAAGTGGTGGTGGGAAAAAAAAAGACTATATAAAATAGATAGATAGATAGATAGATAGATATGTATGTGTATATATATATATATATATATATACAGTACATACTTCATAGAATGATAAATGTGAGTAAGCATCTCCAGTACGACTTCAGTGTTAAAATCAATTCAAAATACCTGAAGTTTGAGGCTGGTAGACAGGTCAGTGCACACATTATCTATAATATAAGGCTGCCATTCTGCTGACCAGTGAGACCCAACAAAAGATTGTATGAAAGCAGCCCCTGGTAAAAGTGAAATTTAAAGTTTTTTTGGTAGTTAAACTGGTTACAGTTCTGCATTGAAGACATCACTGAGAATTAAAACCAACTTCCTCACATACTGTAGATAGATCACATATTGTAGATCAGTATAAATCTGAGTTTATCTGTTAATCAAGGAAATCCTTAATGAGGCTTCAGTAGATTGATTCACTTTTACAAGGTGAGATGTTACATAAGATCAACCACAGAAAGCCACATTAGCTGAAAAGTGAAAAGATCCTCAATGATTTTCAATAAAAAGGCTTTTTAAATGAAAGGGGAAAAGCTGTTATGCAAGGCTGAAATTCTAGCCTCGGTGTAGGTATTTTTGTACCAGAGAGAGAGAGAGAGAGAGAGAGAGAGAGAGAGAGAGGCAGAGGCACTATGACATACAAACATTGTGTAACAGGGTCAATACGTAGAGCTTAAATTACCCAGGAGTTTTTTTTTAGGAATGTGGAGCACCAGATTTCTGTGTTTCCGTCAACAGCATTTCAGAATGAAGCATATTTCCCTCAGATAGGCTGGTTTTAATTGGCTGAACTTGATCAATAAACTCACACAGCTGTTGTGTTGCTTGTGTCTTACCTCTAATATGATATCTTCTAAGGGTTTCAAGACACCCAAGAAGCACCATACATGCTGTGTCTCTTATCTACAGGAAACTGAAAAATGTGTTGGTCACTACTTGGATCAAAACAGTCGGAGATGGGGATTGTACAGCAGTCGAGCCATATGGTTATTGTTTGTATTGGGTTATTCAGCTCTATCCGGATGCAAATCATTCTCAGCATATTTCCTCTCTCTTTGATATGCAATGAACAATTATGTGAGAGCAGTCCCCCTGCTGACTCTCTCCATTTACTTTCTGCACTTATCTCTGCACACAATGTAATATGGTCTTCCATATTTAGGTCTACAGGGTGTTCACATTGGTGTATCAGCACAAAGAGGATTTATCCCAGACGCCGCTTTAATAACTTCCAACCTGCCAGGTGCTTTTGTCTGTGCTGGCAAAACCCTGTTATCTACGAGACAGACTGTCAAGACAGACAGCAAGTTTTCACACAATCGCCCATCAAGCTACCCCGCTATACTATCTCTCCAAACATCATGCCTCAACCCTCAGTGCAAGAATTAGATAGCGTTGCAGCCTACACAAACACTCACGCACATACAAGCACACATGCACAGACAGATCAAATCAATGGCCACCTTCCTCCACATCAGGAAGCACTGTGCAGTAGGTGGCCGATGGAGGAGTCCACCCACTTGCAGGATATTCAATTGAAGGCATGTACAAATTCATCCTCTCTCTATTTCACTCATGTCCACATGGGATAAGCTGCATTTACTCATGCACCTTTGAGCAAGTACTGATTGTGTGTGCGCAAACGCCCACACATCTGGATCCATCATAGAGGCAAACAATCAATCTTTGTCACATAAAAACATCCCACCACACTCAAGCGACACAGGAATACCCTCAAATCTGCCGATTTTATGAATGAACTGACAGGAGAAGGAAATTGAACAGGTTGCTTCTTGATTTTTTTCCTAAAATGTGCATTAGGTCACTGTTTAAAAATGCTCCAACAGCTATACAATTACTCTATAGTGGCTGTTACACTACTTAGTCGATTATATTGTATCATGACACTAAATCAGGGTTATATCTTTTATCTTAATGGAGCAAAACTAGGCATAAAGAGAAGAATTAATGGATCTGTTCACATCCTGGAAAAAACCCTGCCTTTCTGAGATATATGGACAATCTTGTGCTATATTTGTGAGTGTCTGGTGCTTTCACAGCCTTTCAAAAAGAGACAGAATCAGGTAAGAGGCATGAAATCGACTGTGCAATGAACATGAGAGAAACAGGGGAGGAGGAGGGCTGAAAATATTAACCTGCAAGCCTGAGTCCATCCCCTCCTCCAAGCCTCGTACTGGATATCACCCAGAGAAATTCGCTCATTAGGACAGAGAGAAACACATGTATCAAACGCAGATAGCTGTCAGTTCTCCTCTGGGAGATCTGACCATGGTAGGAGAGCGGAGAAGCCGCAAATCTTCTGGCCATATGCTGTCTATGAATGTATGTCAACAGTCTTTTCTGTTTGTTTAATTTATGGCTTTAACAGGCGCATTTCTTCCTATGGCACTCTATAGTAGTAACGTTGTTTTTAATTCATCTTATACATGTATATAATTAGCAGCCAGATTCTGTGGAGAAATGGATGATTGATGCCTTTGGAGCTTGCTGTGGTTCTCTGTCAGGAGGGGTCAGGTTTGAGTTAAAAATAAAATCTCATTATGTGAAATAGACGATACAAATGTAACATGTTTTCTTTCAAGTGAATGTTTTCTGCACCATGTTGTTGTTGTTGTTTTGATGATGTACATCTTAAGTATGCTCTATTCATTTTCATAAAGGCTACCACTCAAGGTCATGTGGGAGGAATTTGCAGAAGACAAGATCCTCCTTTAGCTCAGAATGGTCAGGATTAAAAGATGTGAAGCTGTGTCTGATTATCTGTAAGAAATCTGATAAATCATAGTTAGTGTTAGTCTCACTGTGCTTGGTGCCTGTGGATGCACGGTGTGTGTGGTATGCTCTGTGTAATGGACTGACTGTCGCACAGAAGCATACTTCTGAAACATATGGTTACCTGAGCGTGAAAGGTCAGTGACAATCTTCCCCGCCCTTTTCTTTGCCCTTGGGTTACAAAGGTTGCCTAGAGGAGGGAAAGTTGGCAGCGACCACTCAGTGGTGAAGACAAAAACACTTAGGGGTGTCACTGGAACAAGAGGTGGAGGGAAAGTCTGACAGTGATGGTGTGTGATCTAGGAAATTGGACCAATGATTGGTTGTGAGATATCAGGCTTGTGAGGGTGTGACGGGGCATATACTGTGGAACCTTAAAAGTGATGAATTGTTGGCTGACTCCTTGTTGTTTGTGATAAAACCTGTCAAAGAAAGCTGCCCTGTAACTCTGAGCTTGGCAGAACAGCTGGACATGAAAAAGGAACCTCCTTTAGCAACTAATTTACAAGCTGTTTCAATGGAAATTAAGATTTCACACAATGGTTGAATGTTACTCCAGCTAGTACTCCACGAGTGGTTATGGTTATGTACCAGTTGCCAAACTGCCATCAGTTATCTGTTTAGATCATAGATTGTATATACCATGGACAACTTGGTTCCGCCTTCTGCCAGTATACGGATTTGATGCCAAAAAGCTCTCGGTAATTCTGCGTTTTATCTTCGTTTCCTGAAACCAACATTGCGCAGTACCGTTGTATGCACTGCACCACTTGCGCAGTAGCATTGTACGTATTTTGCAGGAGAGTCGCTGAGAGTTGCTGTAAAGACGCTCGGCTGAAACGGTGTATCCCCCGGGTCAGCTACACAATCTTCGTACACCCATAGGCTGTATAAAGTGTCATTTATAGAAAACATGAACCCACTAATAACTTTTAAAAATGGAGCTGCACAGAAAAAAGAGGACTTCAGCACAAAACAGTCTTACAATAACTACATGTCAACATCACAAGCAGGAGGGAGAAAAATGTATATCCTGTGTAATTAATTTCTTATGTTTGTCCACAGCCCCATAGGGATTGCTGGAGGAGGCAGGATTTATGACCTATACTGCTGCTGGTCACCAGAGGGTGCTGTTCTCGGAGTGACTTCACCCAGCGAGGAGACAGACACTGTCCATTCTATACACAGTCTATGGTTTAGATCAGGATTCTGGCATATTTTAGCATTATGGCATTCGTCATTACCAGAGCTACAGCTCCTGCTACTGGTAAGTGGCTGCGCTGATACTTACACACTACATATACTTGGCATTTTTGGCCCACAGTTATAAAAATATAAACTACTTGTTTGACTGACAAGTAACTCTAGAGCCAACTTGTGAATGAGATCACGTGAGATCATTTGGTCAACTTAATTTGCACATCCCCAAAGCAAACACAGGGAAAAGTGGCTGTTCTGCACTTACAATAAGTACCTGCTAAACAGCTAGGCTCTATGTACACCACTTGTATTAATTTATTTATAGTAGGCTGTGCAGTTGCAGTTACATTAAAGATACATGGACGCCTATAATTCCTAATTTATGTTCCTAAGAGGCCAAACTTTAAACTCATACCTCACTTGCATCTCAATTAAATCCAATTAGTAAGATAACCCTCCTGAATGCAATGAAAGTCCTGAGGGGTTGAAACCGTCAAGCTCATTTTAAAACCCAAGGGAGTACACAGCCCAGCTTCTACATATCACTGCACAAAAGTAGTTAACTCAGCACCCTAATGGAAAACATCTCAACCATACAATTGATTCTAATTGTATCCAAAACTTCTGATGCTCCTAGACTATATAGTGTCAAATAAATATAACCTAATAAGTTAACTTTGTCCTAGTTTTCAGATATATTTGGTCAAACTTATCCCGTTACCCAGTATCATAATCTTCCGGTTGTTTGTTGCGCTGACTAGGACTTCTAAAAACAGCTCTGGGTTAACTTCCAAAATACTGCACAGAAGGGAGACTGTGAACTTTGTCTCTCACATCTGAGACTATAATTATTCCCAGAAGAGTGTTTGGTAAAAACAGAATGTGTGGTAACAGTGAAGAATAGCCCTCTAAACCCAAGAATGGTGTGTACAGATATAATATCCAACTCTTTATTCTAAACTTATGAGCACGTCTTGTTTGATAGAAATAGCTATTTCCTAGGATGTAGCCAGTAACTAGCCAGTAGACGTCAGAGTGGAGTTAAAGTAAACTGAGAATATGTTCTACTTAGGGCTAGGCGATAAAACGATAACGATACATATCCAAAATTAATTTTCCTCGATGTCGATGCAAAATATGGTCAATATGCTTTTTGATAGTCAGCATTCTGCCATGTTTTGGTAGACTATACGAATAGCCAATGAAAATGGGAGTTGCGCTGGGCTGAACCAATCATGTGCTGGATCAGAACCAAGTAGCAAACAACTGTGTAGTAGCAGGCAGCAGCTACAAGCAACCATAGCACTGTAACACGTGAAGCCGACAGCAAGAAAATGAGCGCTACCCCGGCAGAAATGCAGATGTGGGCTCAACAGATGATGCCTGGAGGTATTTTGTCTTTTTGAGGACGGAAATGAAGCAGAGTAGTGTGCACTGCAAATCATGCCGAGTACATGTTCTTGCAAAGTCGGGGAATACCTCAAATCTTTTTCACCACCTGAAGCAGAGCCCCGCGGCAGAGCACACCTTACGACAAAACGATAAGCACTGTCAAATTTCATTTAAGAGTAACAGGAATATTTAAGATTGACAAGTGATTTTTTTTATATTGTGATATACATGGATATCGACTGATATGAAAAAAATATATTGTGATAAACTTTTTCCCATATCGCCCAGCCCTAGTTCTACTACTACTTTGGCCAGTTTTATAATTTATTTGCCACCTTCATGGCAAGTCCTGATTAAAATGTATATATAAAGAAGTAGGCTTAAATATTTCGAAGTCAGTGTGGGATCATATACATGAGTAAAGTTTCAGACTGCAAGGGTAGTTGAAGGGACAGTTCCTAAATAAAGTGTCTCAGAGACAGGCTGAAATAAGAGTTTTTAAGACAGCAGCCTGAATTATGTCAAGCATTTGTAAATCCTGTAAACCTACCAAGAAGCTAGAGGGACACTTTATTTTGAAACCACTTATAGGAGCTTAAAGGAAGTAGACCGTGTGCACCCAGCACAGCACTAATTACAGCAGGTGTGCTGCTAATTGTTTGGGTAACAGGGTACAAGCTGCTGCTGCTGCTCTGCTTTCAAACTCGCCCCCACAGCTCTGCTACTTTTTGCTCTCTTAAGATGTTTCCTAGGCTGGTTTTGTTTTGCGTGCTGTATGTTTTGGCTGCACTCATGTCTCTGTAAAGAAAAAAGAAATGTTTTCAAACTACTCAAACCCTGGAGACTCCAACCTGTCAGATGCTGACCACCAGTTGCATGAGCTCCCTCACCGGTCTGTCAAAGTGAGCATTATAATCGTTCTGGGCGTGATGATCACCGTGGGAAACATTGCAGTCCTCCTGGTAATTACTTCCTCCGTGGCTGGATGGTCAAGGAACTCTCGGTACTTTCTGCTCTCTCTTACTGCTGCAGACTCTGCGTTTGGACTGCTGGTCATGCCCCTGAATCTGTGGGTGAGTCTCCTGAAAGACTACACTGAGGGCCCAGATGCTCTGTGCCACATTGTGGCCTTTTGCAATGCCACCGTCTACTCCACCTGCATGTACACACTGGCCACAATAAGTCTGGAGAGGTACATAGCGGTTTTCTACCCGCTGCAGTACCCGTCTCTGATGACAAGAAAAAGGGCCCTGCTCCTGATTGCCTTCGCCTGGTGTTTCCCTCCATTTTTACTCTCGCCAATTTCAATCCCGGGTGGCATTATTGAGGTTCATTTTTCTGCTGCCTCACTGGTCTGCAATCCGTCCTACTCCTCAAATGCTGGATACTCCCTAACCTTGACATGTTTTATATTCTTCCCCTGCTCCATCATCATGACATACGCCAATCTGAGAGTGTGGTGTGCAGCCAAGAGACAGAGACTCAAACTGCGTAAATACAACTGTGCACGTCGCAGCAGGCAAAATGTGGCTTCCAGAGTGCTCGTACCTGTGATGGCAGCTTACTACACCTGTTGGACACCCTGCATGGCTGCTATGATCTACAATGGTAAGAGACAGTTAGAATAAACATTTAAACAGACTGCTGTGGGGAAAGATAATAGCTGAACCTGGCACACTTGATTCCATTATGGCCATGTAAGCCAATTTATTCAAGAGGATGGATGTCTAAGGCTTTCTCAGACACCACAGTCTCCCTATGACCCTGGTTAAAGTTTACATTCATCAGCTAAGTTCCACACATGTACCACGTTTTTCTGAAACCTACCTTTACACACACAAAGTGATGAAGATGCAGTGAAAATTGTAAACCATGAACCAGTTTAAGATTTAAGATAACATGACTCAGAAAATGTACTTATTTCCATCGATGTATGGATTGTCTACCTTCTAACTTTGCTGTCGAAGAATGTATTTTTCCTCTACTTCACCATTACTTTAACTACCTTAGAGACAGCCAAACAAGTTGTTTATTTAAATGAGGAATACTAGCAAACATGGAAAGTAATTTCCAATGTTGGAATGCATTGAAGCATTATGATAAGAAGATTGTGGATGAAACTGTTTTTGCGCAGCCAGGTTCTTCAATATCTCACAGTACTTCTGGTGTTTAAACTTCTCACTTCTGATGTGGATCCAGTTGATAGTGACTACAGAATTTTAAAATTATAGTATTATTGTTATGCAGGGTTCCTATGCAAGTATGGAAATTATTGAAAAGTATGGAAATAAATTTGATCAATTTCCAGGTCTTAAAAAGTCTGGAAAATGAAAAATAAATATGGAAAAATATTTATGTTTCCAGACTATTACCACCGTTCTAAATGCTGTTTTCTAAAATAGAAAAGTAGACATTTCCAAAGATAATTCTAAAAATTAGGGTACGGAAATCCCAACTGTGTAGGAACCCTGGTTTTGGTAAATACATCCAGAAACTGTCATATCATCTCTATTTATGATTTTTAATTTCCAGCAGTCTCACCAGTTAATTTAAAATTACAAATTAGGCTATGTCAAATTTTAACGTTTAGTGAAATTGTACCAATATTTACAATCAAGTCAGTGCCGCAATATTAATTAATCTGCTTTCACAAATTAATATTTAATGTTGTCTCACTCTGCAAAAATGTCTCTTTCCGTGTGCTGATAGGAACAGCAGTCATAGTTATAGATGTTCTTTTTGGCGTGAATTTACTGATTTGTTATGACTCAAATCTTATTTGGATTTTTTCCTCATTCACCGGGAGCGTGTGCTGTCTCGCAGTAATCAAGAATGAAAATGGTGTCACAGCCGGATATTTTTAGCTGTGAAGACCTTATTCTTAAGAGGGCTTTAATTCATCTGATATGGATGAAAATCCTTACAAAATGAAGCTGACAGTCTTCACTGAAACTTCAAAGTGGGCTGCTGTCCAAACGCTGGTGAGCTTCACTATAGAGTGGTTTCTGCCACTCCACCAAATCTATGGGCTGATTTAGTGCTTTATATCCAGACCACAAATGTTAAGCTGTTGGCTGTATATCACTGCTCTCAGGGGAGGGCTTGAATCTCCAGGGGCGAGTTTTCATGTTTTATTATATACTGATGCTTGATATGCTCATCTATGGTTTTAAAAATAAATGAAACAATTTATAGACTTAGCATGATCATAAAACAACTAAAGCTATTATGCTTAAGGTCTACTGAATGTCACCCCCTTGTCTCATGCAGAAGCTGCTGGTAACTGTTGTCATGTTTTCTGCCCTGCAGCGGTCTCAGGAAGCAGCGTACCAGAGTGGGTTGAATTTGTCGTGGTCTGGCTGCCAACCTCTAATGGTTTCCTCAACTGCATCTTCTACTTCTGGATAAACCGAAGCTTCCGAAAGAAGTTCAGACTCCTCCTCCAGAGGCTGGCCGCAGCTCTGTGCCCTAAACTGGCCGGCTCTCTTTGGTGCAGCAGCTCTGCAAAGACTCAATTTGTGTCAGGAGTCAACAACAATAACAATAGTGTTCATGAGCGGTCCTCCAGTGTATCATCCACCTGCACACTGCTGAGCCTGGCTTAGGAAGAAGATTACCTCTGGCATTTTGGAGGACAAGAGGGTTTGCTGGGCTGCTTAACATGCTGTATCCCTATGCAAGCTATCAAGAGGTAATGGGGTCAGATGGATCGATACAGAAATGGGTAATGATGGCAGGAATTTGAAACAACCCCTGTACAGTCTTTGTCATTATAATTTAAGTTAAATGTATAGTATATTTTTCTTTTTTACTTTCTTTTATCCAATTTCCCGTTTAATCAGTGTTCAGTTGACTGCAACACAGGATCAATTTATGACTTTTTGTTTTATTAAAGCACACAACCTCGCCAGGAGTTGATAAACCATGACGGCCTCTTAAACCACCATTTTAGTTGTTTTATAGTCAGCCATCAACCTTGTCTGTGTCCCACAAATGTTTGCCTTTATTCTGCCAATCAGTCTTTTTAACAGTGTCAGCTTTTACACATGAAGACGTGTTGCTTTAGTCAACACATTTCACTTCAAATATCTGGGATGATTTGATTGGCTCATCATGAGACATTGGTAATTATACTTATTCGAGACATTTGTGAACTTACACCACTATCTGATCACTTTGAAGGAAAACATCAACCTTCCCTTCAGTTTAAACTGTGTGTCAAAGACCATGGCATATAACTGCAGAGATAAGTTAACCTTTAAGTCACAGCATTTCAGTTTATGCAAGGAGGAAAGTAATTAAGCAGCTACACTGTAGAAAGGTCACCACATTTATGCCAGCAGCAGATAACTTGTGCGACTGTGGTTGTTTATTTTCAGATGTTAAGCCCATGATCTTTTCTCAGTGTCTTCTACACAGCGTGAGTTTAACTCGGACATGCTTGTGCTCTGTCATCTTCTTATGAGTCAATAGGACATGATGCCAAATGCCCCTCGCGAACTTGTCAAAATAACTGTGTGGAGCTTCACAAGAGCCGCCATAACACAGTGTATGTCCTGTTGTATACTTTAATTGTTTTATGTTTCTAAAATCTAAATTTTATAAGAGATGAAAAGATGTTTGATAATTATTGAATAATGGATTTACTTGTGAAATAAAGTATTATACCTTTGATTGTGTTACACTTTAGGTATCAACAAATGTGTCAAAAGAGAAAAGTATCACATCTAATGCTTATAATTTTATTACAAGGGTTTGTTATTGCATCTAGAGCCTCAACTGCGTAAATATTTAGGCTCAGTTTACAGTATCCATGCTCTATATTTATTATATTTTAGTCCAACAGGCTTACAAAACATCAGTACAAAGAGCAGAAGCCAAAGTAGAAAAAACTTCTTAAAGTATCCTGTTGTTTCTTTCAGACTCTGGAAGCAGTTGTGTGATTAATCGACAGACCCCTGTGTCAGGCATTACATGAAGCGATTCTTTGCACAAATATTCCAGTTTTTTTGCATCCTGGTTTGGTTTTCTCTTGGTTAGTTTATCTAGTTTTATATCAGGTAATACATCTTTTGGTGGATTACATAAATGACATTATGCTCAGTACTGAAAAAATATATTAGATAACAGATTGAGTCAAAGGTATGATATTAAAAAATAGTCCTAACAGTTTGATGCCTAAGCCTCTACATAAAAAAAATGGCACACAAACAATGGATTGTGTTTCTGCTGCAGAATGATGAAAGTCATTGTATTTTGCATATGTATTGCATGTACAAAATAAGTCAACTTTTAAAGGTAAATGGTCACTTTTCCAGTACATGGTTTTTGACATTACTTGTTTAAAATTTCACCTTCTTAGTTCAGAGACATGACTCAGCAGAAGGGGGAAAAAATCGGAGTCAAATTTTTGGAGTAAATTCAGGTCCTTCCTCGGGTCCAGCCCCTTCAGGGCAAAAGACAGTTAGGCAGTTGTCAAAGCTGCAAATGTGTTCTGGGATTCCGTCTGCAAACAGAATCTGAGCACTGACTCCTTGGACGCAGGTGCTTCTCTGCTCTCGTATGACCATGTGTACAAAAAAACCAAGAAAATAGTTAAATTCTAACATTTCCTCAGATCGCACTAAATGCACAGATTATCTTTTTGTGAATAGGTGACACCTTCATCGAAAGCAAAGTGCTTTGCAGAGATCATGTTTATTCCTGCAGAGTCCATAAGTGTTTTTCCAGCTGTCTGAGATTTCTACCTCTCAGGTCTCCCAGGACTCTGGAGTGATGTGCATTAGCAGCCTCAGCCCTCCTTGAGGATCAGTACTAGTGGAAATGACAGGCGATTCAGTCATGGGGGGAGGATGTCTATGTTAGGGCTTCATGTGCTCCCATATACTTGAAAATGTTGTATCATAAGAGAGCTCGTCATTTTCTGACTAAATGCCTCAAAATCACTGCTGACAGGAAAGTGAGATGGTCAATGACTGTGATGCTCCTTGGCTCAAAGAGGGGGCATTTACTTATCTAACAGAGAGTTTAGGGGTTGTTGCTTTTTAGGACTGAATAGTATGCATGAATGAAAGGGCTTTTAATTATAAGTGCTGCTAATTTGTTGTTCTTGTGCTTTAAGTCTAAACAAGGTTTGAGTGGTATGAGACAAGAGTGCAAAGACAGTCTGAATTTCTGCAAACACGACGTACCAGGCCCATGTCAGTTTCACTATTCTGAAAACAATGAAAACAACTTGATTTCCTTCTCTTTTCATCATTTTAACACCATTACAATGGTTGTTTGTTGCATGTTTTTCTCCCACTGTGACAGACTTGTGTTTATTTTGATAGAGTTGTTTCATAACCCTAGAAAAACAGAAGTTAACCACTCCAATGATTACTTCCATTTAAACATAGGAACACGTGTATTTTTTCAACATTTCCAGTGAAAGCCAAAGAGGGACTGACAGTTGAATCTTTAGGTTGTAGTGCCATCCTGTGTTGATACTAAGTATTACATGGTGTCATGAATGAACTCTCAGTGGTTGAAGTGATTGCTGCTATTTTATACCATTGTGGTGTAGTTTCTGGGTTATTCAGTACACTCAGAGTTGTATTTTGATTTTCACATTGTCATAAGTTTTTGCTCAGGAACCCAGTGCTACTTCTTAAAATTATTTTTTTGACTCTTTTCGTGGAAAGACCTCTATTCCTTTCAAATATTTCACCTTTTGTGTTTCAGAAGGATATCCAGTTGCAGTGATTTTCTGTTTTGATTAACTAGGATGAAACAATGGGTGTTGATTTGTGCCCTCTGTGCTGTGTGGTTCATGAGCACTCTGCGCTGTGAGGGCTCTTGTGGAGGTTGCAGATGGAAAGGCCTTAATTTCAATCACTGCTTACTGCTCCTCTCCACAGGAGAGATATCTGAGTGGAGCAGGCATATGCCGGACTCAAGTGTTATTCACTTTGTGGGGGTATCACGCTATGGGAAGGTTACCCAAAGAGAGAAAAAAATAGCTGTGAGATAAAAATATGCTGTAAGTGCATTAGCTCATATGTTGTTTTATGCATTTTTACGAGAATTCCTTTATATGCAAATAGTCTTTATTTTTCAATTTGGGTACGAGAGAATGCAAATCAATACAGAGTGTCAGATTTCCCTTCATACTTGTATAATCTAATGTCAAAGTGAGGACCTTTAGAGCGGGGATGTTCTGTCTCTGATTTGACGTTCATTTGAAGCTCTTGGCTATAGTCGCTGCTGACTGAACTTTTTCATTGTTGTTGTTTGGGGCATTATCTTTTATTCCAATACACCTACATCACCTTAATTTACACAGTAAACAAATGATGTGCAACTTTAGTTTTCTTTAAAAGATACATTTTATTCAGACTTTTAATGACAGGAAATGGCAGTTGAAATGCAAAGAGATGACGCATATCTCAACAGCAGAACTGAAAAATGACGTCTGTGAGGAAATATTGTAATCACATGTGAAAATAGCAGCAAGTTATATTCAGAAACTTTGAGCTTTTGTGCGCTTCAAGGTGGTAAATAGACTCCTAATTCTCATTCTCTGTAGCTGGATAATATTTGAATGATATAAAATGAAAAGCCTCTTACAGAATATTTAAAAACAGTCATAAAGTGTTGAACAGGTGTAGTCACAGGCTATGGCTTTGATAACAACACGATAACCTCATTCAACAATTAACTCAAACCCTTCAGAAACACTTGCCAGTACCACTCACCAAAATCAATAAATAAAGATGCACTGCAATAAATCAAGGCATGAAAAATTATCAATTCAAGAACAAATGACAGTGAAGAACAATGCAGTTTAAAAATAGAATCAAATAACATATTCTTGTTGTTTCTCAGGTACTCCACAGTCATTCAGTTTCAGCTGTTATATCTGGGTAATAAAATATTGTTCTATAACATAGTTCATTAATTGATAGTAGTCTATTGACTAGGTATTTGAGCTATTAGACAATTTACGTTCGACTTAACTGTATAGAAAGAGAGAAAATTTATATTAAATAATCACTGAAAATATAATTCACTACTATTTTCTAAAAGGAATAGACGTAAAAGACATGATACAGACAATGATTAGAAAAATATGGGTTAACGACAAAGTAACATTAAATCAAGCGTTGCTTTACATAGGGACTGTGCAGTGAGGAGTGCAGGGAGGAAGAGTCATGATTTTATTGAGAGTTAGGCAGCACTAACGTTTCTCTTTTTATTCAAACTAACTAATTTTAGATAAAAACACCTATCGCTGTTAATTACTAACCTGATTTCATGACCACTTTGCATACTGACATCTCCTTCCATGTTTCCATCGAGTTTATTTAAATATATTTATGAAAATGGTGAATGCATTTCAGGATAACAAAGACTCTTTATGGATGCAAACGGGTGATGGACAGAGACAAAACTGGTTCAAATGCATATGAAAGTTTAAGTTAAAAGGACATTAACATGACATCAAGCATAGTGTCAATGAAACTCAAAGAAAGCGAAGGCAGATAATGTCGTAAAGTCTCTGCCTGGCTGTCTATTTGGTGCTCTTTATGTAGACGGCTGGGATGAAAAGCGCTTTCTCAAACTGCTCTCCTCCTTCTCTCACTGCAGAGGATGCACTCACTCCTGACTGTGTGTCTTTAGTGTCAGGAGGTTTTGGTCGAACATTACAAGGCCTCCCGATGAAAAGAATGAGATGAAAACTGGAAACCAGCACTCAAGAGGACTTGTGTTCCAACATGTAGTAGCGATACATGACCCCGACAACTGTTGCGACGATAGCTGGTATCAACCACGTGGTCCAGGAAGTGCTGGGAGAAAATGAGGTATAGCATGCAAATGTTTTAAACCACAGCAATTGGAAAAGACAAAAAACAAAGAAACAAACAAAAAAAACAGGCAAGAGTTACCTATTTCAAAGTGGATCCAGCATCTTTACTACACTTACTTGTAAACTATTTGTAGGAGCCAAGATATATTTGTTCAAGATATGATTTCTAAGTACGTCAATTCTGGGGATCATCACTGAGGGGTGTGGTTTTGGGATGTTTGGCGGGTTCTTTAAATCTCACTAGTGTAGTCAGACAATGGGTTTAGTAAGCTCTAATAATTTTCTGTTGACCGTTTTTCATCGTCTCACTCATCCTGTTTTAACCTCATTTCAGCATATCACTTTTTTCATTTGAAGGCAAAAGTTTTGGACTTGGATCTGCGTGTTTTCTTTCCTTTTTTTCAAAAATAAATTACTTTTTTAACACTCAAACCGGACTGATAATTGAACAGGTCACAGATGCAAGCAAACATTAACCCCAGCGACCTTTTTGTTGAAGGAATGCAGTTGCTACACTATTCATTAGTATACCAGTAAGCACTATTTACACAGGCAACGGACAAAATTAGAAAATGAATGAATTACTGTATCTCTGTCAACAGGAGGCTCCAAACTCAAAATAAAAAGTTCCTTACTAGAACTTCTAACACCACAGTTAAGAGTCACATTGACACTCGCTCACAGAGATCGTCATGATGACTCACCTGGACTCTCCTGAATTTGTGTTTTCTGTCTCCTTTAAATGGATAAAAAAAAAAACAAGAAAAAGAATAATTAGAAAGTGATATTATATGATAAAGCAGTAAAGCACTTGGTATTGTCTTTATTTTATTGTAATGATTCTTTTTACCTTTTCCTTCTTCTTCTGCCTGTCATCCTGAAAAAAAAGGATATATTAGTTTTACTGTCTTCTTTGTGACGCTTATGATTACCCACAAACTCTTAGTTTAAGAGTTTAGCTAAAGCATAAATGAATGAATCATCTTGTTGTCAATCTGTAACAGTAATCTCTGTAATCTCTCCTCTTCTCTCTAGTCTCCACATTACCAGTCTCCTGTTCTATATTGTAAAGGTAAGAATGTTGAAAAATACAATAAAAAACATACAACTAGAAAAAAAAACTAACACAGATCCTGTCATACCATGTGAAGCTCCCCAATGTAGTACTGCTCCAGCATCTCCCTGGCGTCTGTGGAATGACCCACATCCTCAAAGCTTTCTGTGGCATCTGCACCAGCCTGCTCCAACAAAACCTCCTCCCCTCCAGGATGCTGGAAGCATATCATGGAAAAACACGCATTCTTGAGAGACTTAAACTATGTGGTTGCACCACATTTTAAAAATTCCCCAGTCCACAATTAAGATCACAGGGATAACTGGGACTTAAACTAACGTGGTCCCTAAGTAGTGGGCGTAGCTTTACATGAATATACCACAAAGTTATAGAGTAAAATAGTGGAATAATAGAAAAGACAGGTGAGGTTACTAGGCTAATGGTGACTTGTTGAGGGTAAAATGGGATTTATCCATACAGAGTAATACTTTTGGTCACGGTGGATTAAGGAGAAGTAGCCAGAGCAGCAATATTGATTCAACTGTATAACTTTTAGTAATGTCAGTACACTGAAAATGACTATTTTGCATAATGAGTAGGGGAGAGTGGGGTAAGATGAGCCCTTTTTCATATTTCGGATCACTACATCAAGACAATCATAGTTCTGTCTCTAACTAGTGTTTCTGCATATATTTCAAGATGTTGTTCATCCCTGCAAACCAACAGAATGATTGTTAACATAACTGTTGTGATAATATAGCATGGCAAAAAAGTGGTCTCCCATGGTTAACTTACCCCCTGTATGGGGTAAGTTGGCCATAGGAGCGGGGTAAGTTGAGCCATATCCCTACAAACCCCCCCTCACTCTCCACCCCAGCCCTCCTTTACCTTCTCTCTCTCTAAATAACAGTCACTTCTTCACATTCATGTGTATTTTTATCTATTTTACTCTATTCAACTGGTACAATAATTCTTTTATTATTCTTGTATATAACTGCTAATAAGCTGTTTTGTAAAAAGCCATTTTAACATGAGAATGCCTTTAAGTGATTCAGAACATTCACAGCTGTATTTTTGAAAAGAAGAACACATTTCAACAATCTGAAATGAAACTCTGATCCTCTCATCAGACTCCTTTACTTTCTCAGTTACCCCTGAACTACTATCATGACTTTATTAGTCCTCTGAGCAAAAATTGTGGACTTTTATGATAAGTTTTTGACTTCATATTGTAGCTCATAGATACCACAATTGATGTATAAAACAAATTTAAAATGATCTTTTTTGGTCTAAACACAATTCTAATAAAACTTATGACAGACTAACTTCACTTTCAAGAGTGAAAAAAATATATATATATTTTTTAAATAAATGTCTAACCCCTTCACCCATGTGCTTCTAACCTTCACAGATCAATTTCTTTTACCATTTCCAAGCAACAGGGGGTGGCTCAACCTACCCCACTCTCCCCTACTTTGTCAGTTGATAGTACAAGCTCATCATTTTCTCAAGTTTAGGATCTAAAATTAGCTCCAGCTTCCTCTCATGACCACCTCACTGTTTTACTCTGTTTCTTCTGCTTATCCTTATCTCACAGCTGCATTAGTGAAGTCAAGTGTCACTGTAGTGATATGGGATCAATGAAGCACGAATGGACAATAAGCCATAATTACCACAGTTATATCGGCTATCATCATTTCTGGATTAACAGATTGGTTGTTGTAAAAAGTAAAAACATAGCCTAGTTATATCGATGCATTTCTAATAGTGCAGTGTTTACTTTTGAGCATCTGAATCGTGAACAATGGTTGGCCATAGCTTCACTGTTAGCAGTCGAGGCTAATATTTGCGGATAACTAAGGTGACTGGGAGGTTTTTCTTTTTTACTTTGGGTGTACTTGCTCGCACAGAAGAAGAACAAAGTCAACATCAGGTTGGAGTAACCTTGTTTAACCCAGAGGTTACATAGCAACAGCCATTACACGTCTGCAACAGCGGATGACATTCAGCAGAAACCACACGTCAATATAAAGGCTAACTATTGTTGTAATTCCAGGAAGGGATGTCGGTCTAATCATAATTAGGTAACATAATCGTCCGCTACAGGCTCAAAGTCTGGACTGAACTTGGATCAGCTTTAAGGAGATGTAGTATGAGAAAGTGGAGTATTTCTTACCTCCTCTAGAAACGTCGTGATGTCGTAGACTTTGTCGTGTATGATGAGCCATGTGTCATTGCTCAGATTATGTATTCTTATGTCTTCTAAGGTGTAATATTTCACGCCACAATCAGCGGGTTCGGACACTTCCTCCACACCGGTGTTGTTTGCAGGCCCACTGCCCGTGTTTAAGATGTTTTCATTGATTTCTTCTCCCATATCGACGCTAAAACGCGAATAACCTGCTGAGCGGTGCGGAGGAGCAGCTAGCCGACGTTAGCTCCTGTTAGCCAGGTAACGCCGTTGTCAGGCTGGTAACGTTTCGTCCGGCTGCGTTTCCACCGATTTCAATCAGACTACAGTTGGCCTGAAAAGCCCTACGTATCACCGTGGAGACGGGTTGACACACACAACAGTATTACGGAACAAATGCCAAACAATGTTGCGTTACGAAATCAAAAAACACCCCAACCCGGCACATCAGCAGACATGTGAAACTGACCAATGACAGGTGTGTTATCTTAGCATCCAACATGAACACGGAACCTGACCAATGAAATTGCGGCGTTCAGAGTCGGAGCCAATCAGAGCCAACCACTTGATGATCATGAGACCAGGAAATGCGCAAAGGTTGTTAAGAGTGCGCTCTTAATGCGCATACAACAACGTTAATATATATTTTAAAATTTCATTTTATTTCTATTTTTTTCTACAGTTACTTATCTGCATTAGGATATACTTCAATCATTTATGAATGCTTAAAGATGTAAAACTAGTGATGTGCTGTTATCCAGAGTAGGGGAGAGTGGGGTAAGTTGAGCCAAAGGGTAAGTTGAGCCACCGCCTGTTACTTTGAAATAAAAGAAAAGAAGAAGTAAAGAAAGAAGTAAAAGAAGTTGATCATGTGACCAAATATTTAGAAGATGGGCATCAATTCATGGAGTCTGTGAAGGTTAGAAGCTTAGACTGTATGTCCATGGTTAGAAGCACATGGGTGAAGAGGTTAGACATTTATTTAAAATATATATATATATATTTCCACTCTTGAAAGTGAATTTAGTCTGTCATAACTTTTATTAGAATTGTGCTCAGACCAAAAAAGATCATTTTTAAATTTGTTTTTACATCAATTTTTTACATCATTGTGGTATCTAAGAGCTAAAACATGAGGTCAAAAACCTAGCATAAAAGTCCACCCTTTTAACTTAGAGGACTAATAAAGTCATAATTGTAGTTCTGGGGTAAGTTAAGCTATTTGGCCAGGGGTAAAAATACAGCTGTGAATGTTCTGAATCACTTAAAGGCATTCTCATATTAAAGAGTTTTTTTAGGAAACAGCTTTTTAGCAGTTATATGCAATAATATACCCCCCACCCCACCCACATTCCTTGAGGTCTGCTGATCAGCTCCAACTCGTGGTACTAAAAACCCGTTTAAAAACCCGTGGCAACCGAGCTTTCTTGCGGAACAAATTGCCACTCGAGATTACAACATTCCCCACTCTATGGTCAACTTTTTTTGGCATGCTATATTATCAAGACAGTTATGTTCACACTCATTCTGTTGGTGTGCAGGGATGCACAACATGTTGAAATATATGCAGATACACTAGTTAGAGACAAAGATATGATTGCCTTAATGTAGTGATCCGAAATATGAAAAATGGCTCATCTTACCCCACTCTCTCCTACCTTGTAACAATTTTCAAATTTTATTTTTATAGTAGTTCTTTAAACATTTAATTAGAGGGTGTGACAGGCATACTCTGTCTACAAACATGAGATAACCTCTGTGTGGGCTCCAATTACATAATTGTTATTATCTAACATGCTGACTGGACAAAAACAAGATCAAATTTTTATCAAATTAGGGCAAATGTGTTGTGCATTTACACTTTAACACATACGTGCATACATATTGCTGCTGTGACACCGCCTTTGCTGATAGGGGGCTGTAAACAGATGCTTTTCACTGATAGTTCCTAGAAGTACATCACATGACTTGAGTGACAGATGGATTGACTACACTTTGTTGGTGATTCTTTTTAAACATAACCTGTAATTGCATGATTACATCCCCTGCAGAACACACAACCGGCTACTTTGTAAAACCTTTTAGGATAATACCAAAAGAGACATTTAAAAAGAAATTACACTTCATTTTCAGCAGCAAAACTTAACCAACCAGTCAGATAAAGAATTTCTATTAAGCAACAGCAATAAAACACTTGTCGACTCTGTAAGTTTACAACTTGTGGTTGTCAAGTATCAGTTTTTCAGCAGCCAATGCCAGCTGATAATGTAACAGCAGGTCACCTGATAGCCAATCATTATGTAACACCGATAACCTATTATTGGTTTCACCAAGCTAACAATGAGATAAGAAATTGCTGAACTCCATGAAATTTAGTTCACTAAAATATTGCCACAAGGGACTTTTGGATTTCTGTCCAGCTTATTAAAATTATCAAGAGGAAAAAAAAATGTAAACATTTTGATTAAAGTCAAATGAAAAAAAAAAAAGTCATTAAATCCACTGTTTCAAGCAAATTAAAATCTAGTATCCATGGTTATCTATTGTCAATCATTTGTTTTAGATTAAATAACAGATGAAGAAGACACTGAATTGTGCATAGCAGTTATTAAGCAAAATTAAGCAATATCCATTTGTATTATTTTACATGTCATGACAGAATTGTTATTAAGCATTAATCAAGGTCTGTTTTGGATTTGATCTGCCATTATTGGTGATGGGGGGAAAAGACGATGGTGATATTGGCCTTGCCGATATGAAGCCAATTCTGTGAGAAAGCTGTTAACCAGTTCAATTAATCGGCTGAGCGATAATCGGTCTATCTATAGTTCAAACCTTCTCACTCAAACAAATAAACAAACATACTAACAAAGAGCATCTTAATCGGATCAACTGATTAGCTGAAAAGTCCTGCCATCTCCAAACAAGCACTCTTAATGTGTTCAGCGAAAAACCGGCCCCTGTTTTATCCAGTGTCCTGAAACACTGTTGGGTTTATGGTGTTTTACTTCTTTTCTCTGAATTTCTTATGTGTTTTTGCTTTGTTCTTATGTATGTTAAAGTGCTTAGTAAGCCTCTGTTTTTAATCCTAGAACACTATCGCTGGGGGATTTTCACCCGACCAAACATGTTTACGTGATTTTCATAATGTTACGTTTGTCTGAGTATCATGGGTCCCTGGGTAGCTTCAGCATTGCCTTTGACATCTTTGAAGGCATATTTGTTTCCCTGATCCAAAACCTGTTTTTTCCTACAGGCACGTGTTCGAGTGATTTTCAGCCACCAGTAGTGATAGAGGATAAAGTAGGTTTGGGTGGATTTGATAGCTGCATGTAGGCGAATAGGTCAGTGAGAGTGGTCCTGGAATTTGCATGCTATCTTTATTTAGAGAAGTGGTTATGAATAACTATCACAAAGTAGTGATTTTCAAGGGGAATTCATATGGTGATATGAAACATTTTAGTCAGCTGGTCATTTTTAATCACTCAAAATCTGCAATATTTTGGCTCTCTGTCCTGCAGCTGTTATTGTGCCAAGGACCCTGAGTCTTCACCATGGAAGACTCACATGCCCCAGGAACAGGTGGAAAAGAAACTAAGATTACATTTTCTGTCTTTATTATCATCATTATTTATTTATTTAGGAATTGTTTGTCCATGAACGCCTAATTTTAGATTTTTGTAAAATTTTATATGGCCCCCTCATGCCACTTTTTTCCCTCCCTTTGGACATTGCACATTTAAAAATAAAAGAAAATGAATTTAATTTGTCATGTATTGTCCTATTTTGATATATCTTGATGACAAGTACTTTTTCTTGGGTATTTATTTTGGGTAAAAATCACCCGGCGATACTGATGGTGTTACTAATTTTACCGATAGTATTCTAGAGTTAAAAGTGCTGAACAAAAACATTATGCATTAAAATGATTAAAAATTTACTCACTGAAGTTGACACAATTATTAAATTTTAAGAACTTTTTTAATAATTTATTCGTCAGAAGCGATTTGGGAAGTGATTTTTTTAAATTGTCTGTGAAATCCTTAGATATTCCAGTCTTTTCTGTTTTTCTTCGTTGACACTTTATTTATTTATTTGATTATTTTACCAATTTTAATACAATAAAACGTCTGCAGTGAATATTTCTTTGCTGTTGTGCCTGCTCTTTTTACTCATGATTTCTGAACTGGATCTTCAAATGTTTCGGTGTTAGCAACAAAAAATCACAGTATTTCCACAACGTATTTCTCTAGATAATGTTACTTTTGGAATAATACTACCAATAAAAATGATAAACTCTGTTGCAATGTAAACCTATACCTTGCCAAATATTTCATCCATAAGAATAAAGTTATGAGATCATACCCCAGATTTATTGTTTTCATAAACATATTTAAAATGTATTTGAAGTCTCTTAAAACGTTAACTGGTTTGAAGGAACAAAAGTTATAAGATAACTTAAAGAATTTTCCCACTGATATGAACAACTAAACATGTTTTAAAAACTTAAGAAAACCTTGTAGAGTTTTGCATAGCATATATTACTTTATTTATTTTAAGTTGCTTTTATGTTTCTCTTTGCTGGTTGTTCTCCACTATCTATTTTATTTTATTGCCCTACTGTTTATTTTTTTCCCCCTATCTAAACATGCATTGTCACTTTGACATATTGTTAAGTATTTCTCACTGATTATTTCAATATTGAAATTACTGTATTGAACTGATTCTGATACGTTTGTAATTTTGTTAACTCTGAATAAAACATAAAAAAATGTTTCGCTGTTAGCTTGTTTGTTTGAATAAAGTTAGTTTTTTTGCCGCCCGCCCTGAGAATTGTGGGATTGCAATGGCGGCTCCCTTGTCTGTAAACATACGCGTTATGTTCACGTAAGCTGTAGTGTAATATTGTGACATCCCCGCGCAGTCACTTACAAACTGTTAATCTGATATATTGAACCAAATGTGTGAGATTTTCCTGTTTAGACTGAAATAAACTCGAGGTGGTTTTTCGCAGTTTGTCGCCCTTCCTCGTTTTCGGGACAGAAGAATCCGATCTCTCTCAGACTAGAAATCGCTTTATCCATCTCTTTACATCAGTTTGATACTCAGCGGGTATTATTTGACCACAGATGATGGATGATGATGATGTGTCCATGCACAGGCTGGAGGGGACTGATCCGTCTGCTCAGGTCGGTGGACTGATCGTGAAGAAGAAGAGTGCAGCAGCAGAGCCTCATGTCTTCAGAGCACCGACTCCTCGAACCTCTCTGCTCGGTTTGGATCTGCTGGCAGCCCAGAAAAGGAAGGAGAGAGAGGGAAAAGAACAGACAGATAGTAGCAGAGATGAGAGAAATACTAAAAGGTCAAAAGTTTCATCCTACAAGGACTGGGAAGAGGGGAAAAGTGACTCTGGATCTGATGAAGAAGAGGATGTAAATGACAAAAGTGAGAAGAAGGAGAGGTGAGTGTCTCCATGATAGTTTTTAACATGGACAAAAAGGCGAGAAATTCTGAAAACGCTTGTGGATTCTTTGATTAAAGGTACATGATTTCTCTAACCTAGGAGCTACTTACTGTCACATTATGGATATTGAATCCATGGAGTTAAGATTTTGATGTGGAGATTTTGTAAATTTTTACTTGTGGGTTTTCTAGACAAGAATGTTGAATCTTTCTGAAATTATACGATGTTGTTTGGCACTTATCATAAAAATACACAAGTACAGATACGATTAGAGGGGGTGGATATTGAAAGAGTATATGAAAACAAGTTTCTTGGGGTGATATTGATGATAAAATAAACTGGAAGTCTCACATAAAACATGTGCAAAGTAAACTGTCAAGACGCATTTCAGTCCTGAGCAAAACAAAACACATTCTGGACCAAAAATCACTACAAGTTTTCTACTGTTCACTGATTTTACCATATTTACACTGCTATGCAGAGGTTTGGAGAAATACTTACAACTGTACAATACAATCACTATCTGTACTGCAGAAAAGAGCCAGAAGAATCAATCATAATACCAGTTGTAGAGATCACACAACTTCACTATTCTTAAAATCAAAAACATTCAAATTCACTGACTTGGTTCACTTTCAAACAGCACAAATCATGTACAAAGCAATAAGCACTCTACTGGCTGGAAATATCCAAAAATAGTTTTTTAACAGAGCTGGGGGTTATCATCTTGAGGGGGGACTTTAACCTAAGGCATCAGCGGGCAGGTACAACATTAAAAAGTTTTTGTGTTTCTGCTTGTGGAGTAAGGTTGTGGAACAGATTAGGTGTGGAGCGTTGTCCAAGCATGACCCAGTTTAAAAAGTGGTACAAAACATGGTTCTCACCAGGTACAGGGAGGAAGAAAGGCTTTAACGATTGTTTTTTTTCACAAATGATTAATGTACTTATTTACTCTATTTATGTTCTATTTTCTTTGTTAATGTAATGTAAATATACTGGAGACTGACAGTTTGTTGAGTAGAGGAGAAGGGGTAGGTTTAAAAAAAATCATATGCTTCATCCTGCTCCTTTTTGGACATGTTGGGTTCATATTATTATTAGTAATATTTTTATCTTTTTTTTTTGCTTTGATTATTGTTATTGTAGCTTTGAATATTCTCACTGGTTTTGTTTGTTTGTTTTCAGTTTACTTTTGTGTTGCACACACATGTTCGAAAAAAATAAATAAATGAAATGAAATACCTAATATCACATTAACAAACAGTACTGGCATTAAATAGCATGACTAACGAATAATATTTCATGTCAGCCTTTCCAACAGAAAGTATCGTGTGACCGGCTCAGAGACTCCTTCAAACCCTGGAGGTGTCAGCGAGGAGTTCCGACGCAGAACCCAGCAAAGAGAGAAAGACAGGCGGGAGCATGGAGTGTATGCCTCCTCGAAAGAGGATAGGAACAGAGAGAGAGAGAGGAGCAAAGATAAAGGAAGGGAACGCAGAAGTGAAAGAGGTAAATATGTGTTGGAGCAGCTGTACTTTTTGGGGTCATCCTACAGCATTTATCAACAAAACAAAATCTCAATATCTGTGGGTGTAAGCTTGGTAGATGAACAAATCTGCCTACTCTTTCTGTGTCATATTCCAGCAAATTCTGTGTTGGAGCTCTGAGCAATTACATTTTGAGCAGCTGGACAGATAGTTTTTCATTTAGAGTTTTTCTCCCCATATATTATTATTGTAAAGATAGCAAACAAACAGAAGCAAACTTTCAATCAGTTTGGGTTGTTGAGAGTATATTTCTTTTGTGTTTTTCTGTCAGATGAGCGTGAGGGCAGCCGAAACCGTGGCAGCAGCAGCAGTCGTTCAGAGCGAGGTGAAAGGAGCGAACGCTCACAGAGGGATGGCTGGTCTGATCGTATCAGCCGGGGCACAAAAAGAGATGAACCTCTGACACCACAGCATCGGCCCAGAGGTAGTGCTTCTTAGTTTGATTTTTTAAAATTAATTCTAGTTTCTGTCTTGTACTTAGTGGGTTGAGTGCACTCATTCTGTTTTTTTATAGACGCTTTCACACCCTCACACTCAAACTGGGAGGAGGATGACAGTGGTTATGCCAGTACACGGCAATCCCAGTGGGAGTCTCCATCTCCTGCCCCGTCCCACAGAGAGTCAGATCGTTCAGAGAAAAGCCATCGCTCTGGCCGAGAGAGTGAGAGAAGAGACCGGTAAACAACTTCACTTGATAAAACTTTGATACAACTTTTATGCCTCTGGATACACAATCGAGGTTTCATTGATGAAGTTTTAAAAATCAAAAGTTACATAATGCGAGGAAGATCACATGATGATTCTGTGCTGAAACTATATTACATAAAACATGAAAATATTCCTCCGTAACAATGAAATATACAGGGGAACGTTTTAAACTGTACCTGTCGAGTTTGAAAAATATATTTTACTACAAACTGTCATCAAAATATGTTTTTTAAGACCTGTCGCAGTCTACAGAAGACACCTTGCTGCTGAGTTTCTTATGCTTTTACTGTCTGCTGCGTACTCAGGTCAGTCAGAGGCCGATACCTTGAAGACACACCCCTGCCAACGCCGTCATACAAGTACAATGAGTGGGCCAACGACAGAAGACATTTGGGTTCTACACCTCGTTTGTCACAAGGAAAAGGTACTATTCTAAAGAATTCGCCATTTTGTGTTCATGCGTAAGATTTGGGTTCTTTATGACCCTTAACGTTTCTCTCCTGCCTCTGCTTTAGGTAGGAAAGATGAAAATGAGGGAGGAATCATGTTTGATAATGAGGACGAGAAAGAGCAGTGGCAGGAGGACCAGAAGGTGAGTTTCACAGCTATTATTCATGTATTCCTCACCGAGGCTGTTAACTGTCATCTAGTGGTAAGATTTTTCCCCCCTCAACATCTCTCATTGGCTCTCTGTTTTGCAGCAAGCTGACAGGGATTGGTACATGATGGATGAAGGCTATGATGAGTTCCACAACCCTTTCACTTCAACCTCTGATGATTATGTGAAGAAGAGAGAGCAGATCCTTCAGAAGCAGACTCAAAAAAGAATTTCTGCCCAAAAACGACAAATCAATGAGGTACAATCACTCTGCGTTGTGTTCACCTAGATGTCTGATTTGACTTGTTGGTGCATCTGTCTGTGTGTGGCTATGTTTTAGTCACAGGTTGTGTTTCTTGTCCCAGGATAATGAGCGGTGGGAGACCAATCGTATGCTGACAAGTGGGGTGGTACAAAGGTTGGAGGTGGATGAAGACTTTGAAGAGGACAATGCAGCTAAGGTTCACCTGCTGGTTCACAACCTGGTTCCTCCCTTTCTTGATGGAAGAATAGTCTTCACCAAGCAGGTACACATGACCTGAATAGTTCATGATCCAGGCTGCGCTATAATAATCCAAAGCCTCAGATATCAGAATTTTGGTTTTGTTTCAAGTGTTTGTATATTCATTTTCCTCCTGCAGCCAGAACCTGTCATCCCTGTGAAAGACGCTACCTCCGACATGGCCATCATCTCTCGTAAAGGAAGCCAGCTTGTCCGGAAACATCGTGAGCAGAAAGAACGCAAGAAGGTGGGCTGAATCTATCACTGTATAAATGTTGATGAAATCTGACATACTGAATACCCATACTGTCATTAGAATAAAATACACAACGTATCATTGATTGGCAAATTTAAATCAAATACTGTTTGTTTTTCACTCTTTGCTGCTGTGAAATGTTCCCGGGGCATGCTGGTGTACAATTCTCTCATTGTTAATGCTAATGCTGTCTCGCTTTATCGGTCTAATAGATAGTGTATCTATAATTTTAGTGAATGAGGACATTTAAACTGTAAGCTACCAGGAGACAGCTGATGTAGAATATGTCAAAAACAGCCGCAGGGAGCATATCATTTCAACACACATCAAGATTGCTATATTTGTGTCTGCTGTTAGAAATTATCATCTGATCTGATTGTAAAAAATACATCTTCAGGCACAGCACAAACACTGGGAGCTGGCAGGGACCAAGTTGGGAGATATTATGGGCATCAAGAAGACTGAGGAAGCAGACACTTCAGGAGGCCAGCCTGTCGGTGAGGATGGCAAAGTGGACTACAGGTAAACAGACTGCCTTTGCTAAGTTTGAAGTTGTATGATATTATAAATTGTCTTTTGTAGTAATTTAACCTCAGGAAGAACTCTAAGAACCACACAATCAGCGTTACTGACCTGCAGAATAACAATTTTTGGTAATTTTTCCCTCTTAGGGCAGAGCAGAAATTTGCGGACCACATGAAAGAAAAGTCTGAGGCAAGCAGTGAGTTTGCTAAGAAGAAGAGTCTGCTGGAGCAAAGACAGTACCTGCCTATTTTTGCCGTCCGACAGCAACTACTAAACATCATAAGGTAGCACTCGTGACTTATTTTTCCTTTACATCATATTTGCATCACTGTAAAGATTTATTTTTGACTGAACACTAAACCTCAATATTTGATCGTCTTGTTCGGGGTCTGCAGGGACAACAGCATCGTCATCGTTGTAGGTGAGACCGGCAGTGGAAAGACCACTCAGCTGACTCAGTATTTACACGAGGATGGTTACACAAGCTACGGCATGGTGGGCTGTACGCAGCCCCGCAGAGTGGCAGCCATGAGTGTGGCCAAGAGAGTCAGTGAAGAGATCGGCACTAACCTAGGAGAGGAGGTGAGACAGCTGTCTCTAAATGGGGGAGAATATTTGTGCTTTTGTCTGGTTAAGACAAGAGGAAAGAGTACGAGAACATGTATGACCCTCGCTTCACATTTCTCAGCGTGATCTGGTAAAATATAAACCAGTAAGCAAGCACATTGTTGTAAATGTTGACTTTGTAAGGTAAGATGAGAAACTTGTGGAAGATTCGCTGATAAGCAGGAAGCCACTTTACTCATAATAAGCCAAAAGATTTCAATAGCTTACAAGTAAAGTCCTAAGTTCCATATGCCTTGATTTGGCCTTGTAACAGAGTATTCCATTCCTACAAGCTATTAGGAACTTACATGCTGTGTGACATTGCCACCTAGTGGACAAATCATAAATATCAAGTTCCTCTGGTCTCAAATGTGGCTGTGTCTGAACTGAGGAGCATGATAAATAAATAACAGGTGGAGCTTGCATCAGATAGTTCTCTTAGGGTAATTGGGTTATTTTCACTTTTCCTCTAACCTATAACTGTTGTCCTCACAAGTTATCTTGAGTTTACGTGTATATTTTTTCCCCCTGTAGGTGGGCTATGCCATTCGTTTTGAGGACTGCACATCAGAGAAAACATTGATTAAGTACATGACCGATGGTATCCTGCTCAGAGAGTCACTGCGAGAGTCAGACCTGGACCACTACAGTGCTGTTATCATGGATGAAGCTCACGAACGCTCTCTGAATACTGATGTGTTGTTCGGTCTGTTACGTGAGGTCAGTACCAATCCCCCTTACAGATTTCATTTAGTTATTTTCAGGATAGACACACTGTGTCTCAATGAAAGATTCCCCTGTTCTTGTTGATTGTTTATGTGATTTTATTCAGTTTTCTCTTTTCTGTCTGCTGTTTCCTATCAGGTTGTGTCTCGACGCACTGATTTGAAGCTGATAGTTACTTCTGCTACCATGGACTCTGACAAGTTTGCTTCATTTTTTGGCAACGTACCAATATTTCACATTCCAGGAAGGACGTTTCCAGTAGACATCCTATTTAGCAAGGTATGTAGGTAGGCCTGTACACACTGCTTCATCTGGACATTGTGCTATTCTACAATCCCTTTGGCAGTCTGAGTCCATTACTATTATTATTCCATAATTTAGGAATCATTGTGAAAATGTTACAATGACTTCCTCAGAAAGACTTAAATATTGATTTTCTCTAAAATAACACACAAGATTTCTAGTTCAGGTTTTTCAAATGTATGCTGTGGTGATTGTAGGTGTTTAAGCCGTTTTGTTTTTATTTTTTTGCATTGTGTTGTCTAGACCCCTCAGGAGGACTATGTGGAGGCAGCAGTGAAGCAGGCCTTGCAGATCCACCTTAGTGGGATGATGGGAGACATCCTGATCTTTATGCCCGGGCAGGAGGACATCGAGGTGAGGGGCATGCTGTAGGGTTGCCATATAAACTGATCTTGCATACAGAAGGAGTGTGACTTTAATTACTTGTACTTATGTCAATAAACCAAGGCATTTTTGACTCAAATCCAAATGAAGGTTAGTCCCATAAGGTCGTGTGAAATATTTCCTCAGTCGTCTGAATCCTGGTTCATGTTTAGCTGTTTTATTTGTGCCCCACTTTAAGTAAAAAATAGCAAAAGTGTCTCCTGTCAAAAGTGTTGTTTTTTTTCCATGTTGTTTCCATATTTGGAATGAGACATATTTCTGTCTTTGTAGGTGACATCTGATCAGATTGTGGAGCGGCTGGAGGACTTGGAGAATGCTCCTGCTCTGGCAGTGCTGCCCATCTACTCCCAGCTACCCTCTGACCTCCAAGCAAAGATCTTCCAGAAGGTTTGCATCTGTGTTTGACAAGGATTTTGCATACAGTTTAGACTTGTGATCTATGAATACAAGTAAGAAACAGAAAGATGACGACTTTTGTCTTCTTTGCTAGGCTCCAGATGGTGTGAGGAAATGCATCGTTGCAACCAACATCGCTGAGACCTCTCTCACTGTGGATGGAATCATGTTTGTCATCGATTCAGGATACTGCAAACTGAAGGTTTGTCAGATTATGTCACTTTGTCAGATTATGTGTTTTTTTTCTTTACACACTTGGTCCTCAAAAGTATTGCACTGTATTGAAAAAGTTTAAAGCGATCCTAAACCATTTAATTTTTTTTGTTTACAGGTTTTCAATCCTCGCATTGGTATGGATGCTCTACAGGTTTATCCCATCAGCCAAGCCAACGCCAACCAGCGTTCTGGCCGAGCAGGACGTACAGGACCAGGGCAGTGTTACAGGTGAGGGCTATCGACTTAGATCTGTGTGATACAAAAAGTTTTTGTTCCAGTCAGGGAGACAAGATATGCATTTGTTATCCACTTTGTTTCCAATCTCAGAATTACTGTTGTTTACATTTGTTTTCCCCCATTAGTTATTTACAATGTATTAAATGATTTTAGTGGAGGTTTTAGTATTACTATCTGGCTTACATCTCAAACCAAATATATGTCTCTCTGTGTTTCCCTCTGTGCCCTTCTTTCTGTCCAGGCTTTACACTCAGAGTGCCTATAAGAACGAGATGCTTACTACCACCATACCAGAGATCCAGAGGACCAACCTGGCCAATGTCGTCCTTCTGCTAAAGTCTCTGGGAGTTCAAGATCTGCTCCTCTTCCACTTCATGGATCCACCACCTGAGGACAACATGCTTAACTCCATGTACCAGCTCTGGATCCTGGGAGCTTTAGACAACACAGGTAGGATGGTGGAAAAGTTGTAATTACCAATAGCATCATAATGTAATTTCATGTTTTTTAAGATATTTTGCATTTACATGGAAAATTTTCCCATAGGCTTTTTATTTAACATCCTAGTTTTACAGTATTATATTTTACTGTAACGTAATATACAGTGTAGGTTACTTGACCTGTTGGTGTATATGTTTTACAGCTCAAAATTGGTGTTTAGACGGACACTAGAAACATGACAAACAATAAGAATCAGAATAAATGCTATCAAAACATGATTTAAAAAAAGGGACTCAGGGCTCCACCAATCAGAATACAGCAAGAGAGAGAAACATCGATAAATGACGAAGGAACTATCACCCAGTTAATTACCTCAGAATAAAACCAAAGTAAAAACAGTATAAAACAGAAAATAATAAATTGTGCGTCTGCAGTGTGTGTTAAAATAGTAAATTAGTATATACTGCATGTGTGTTTATATACAAAGAAAGGAAGGAAACATGCTTAAAAAATGCTTTTTATTATTATTGATAGGTAGTTTTGCAGCATTCTGGTGAATTCATTGATTTTTATTATTATTATTATTTTTATTTTTTTTAACCCAAACTTTATAGCGAAGTAGACCAAGAAGATCTGTTATTTATTGTTACCAAATGAAAAAGGTATCACCCAGTTTTGGCACTACAAGGATAGTGTAGCCAATTCTCAATACATTCAGTGCACATTTCTAGGCTGGTTTACTGCCAATTCCATTATCAATTTTTGCGGGAATAATAATCTGTTTGTCTGTAATTTATCAGTAAATTAGGAAGTGAGGGAATATACTCAGATACCTCGTCTCATCTGGCCTGCAGCCTGTTAACTGTCATAGTAGAACATGAAAACAAGCAAAGTGTGGCATGGGAACACATGAGTAGAGGGAAACAGAGACGTTTATTCATCAGTTATAAAAAGTAGGGCTGCAACTATTATTTTAATAATCGGTCGATTATTTTTTTCGATTAATCGATGAATTGGATACAAAAACATTTTTTGATTTACACCTCTTGATTTTAAAAAGAAACATTTGAACTGACAGAGAAAATAAGTGCACAAAAAACAGGTTGCTGCTTGAATGTTCTGTTACAAAAATATTGAATAATAAAGGTTATTCTGTTTTTGTTGATTTATCAGTCCTCACTTACAAAATGTGGGGAGTATCGTGATTAAATGGTGTCTCAGCTTTCTTTCCCACTGCTTTTTCTTAGTAAGCCTCAAAAGGCAAAGCCAAGTCTCATGTACAGTCGGGCTCAAGAACATAAATCATCCTCTTTTTTGAGATGAAGTTGAATCTATGACATAAAAAAAGTGGGGTTTTAAGCGCTGTATTCCTCCCCCGGCTGTGCTTTGAGCTGCTGCAGACACACAGTGATGCTGACACCACAAACACAGGCAGGAGACCGGCTGTTTAGTGGATGCTGCCGTGCCGTGGCGATGCAGACGCTGCAAACAGGCCTGGAGGACTGGGTTGCGAGGTTTAGCCAGTGGAGTAATTGCCTAGTAACTGATCCTGTGTTTGATTTGACTGGCCAAGTCTCATTTCTGTCTCATCCTTAGCCAGATTCCAGGGGATTTAGGGATTTGAGGATAAGGGGGGACTTTTGATGATTCCCTGTATAGTGTGTTAACAGCAGATTATCTCTGATTAAGGCTTACCTGCCCCAAACTGGCTGCTCTGCTTCTCTGCTTTTCCTCCCCATAAGCTTCTTAGACTCTGTCGTCTAATCATTTAAATCAGAAGCAGCAAAGTTTTTGATCTCACTCTCTCTCTCTTTTTCTTTACAAGTATTCTCAGCTGTCAGCAGTTCATCCTCCTCTCTCACGGTGTTAGACAAATAAGTGTCACTTTATGCCGGCTTCTCCATCACGCCTGCAGGCTTTTGATGGAAAAGAAGCTTATCGCTCGTCTTGTGCTCATTCCCCCCTTAGTTCTTCACGTCTCATGCAGTTTGATTCACTGCTACCTCATGTGTGACCCTGTAATTGTGTTTTGTTTTTCGTCTTCTCAGGTGCTTTGACACCAACAGGACGTCTGATGGTGGAGTTTCCCCTGGACCCTGCCCTCTCAAAGATGCTGATTGTGTCATGTGACATGGGCTGCAGCGCTGACATCCTTATAATTGTCTCCATGCTGTCAGTACCGGCCATCTTCTACAGACCAAAGGTAGGTTTGCACTTTATGGACAGATACAACAGATCACATTTGGTGTGTGATCAGAATGGATCATGTGAGAGCCACTGATCAATCAAAACCTATCAAGTTATAACTCGGTTTTGCTATATGTTGAAGCACCGCCTCTGTCTCTAGACCAGTATGAGCATGAGAAAGATGCTCATCTGTCTGTCTTTAGAAAACAGCGGACAACACCAGAGGCTGCAATGTGGCACATGTGCAGCAGAGCCACTGAAGGTTTCCTAGTGTGCTTTTTTCTTGATAAACTTATTGATGAAGAACTAGGACAGATGTCCCTCCAGGCCCTTAACCTTGGATAAAAGCCTCAGATGATAAAAACTGGGTTTAGCAACAGAGTTGATTCGTTGATCCAATTTAAAATCATTGTCAAGATTTAAAACTGGGTTTGAAATAAGGTGAAAGAGGTTCTTGCTCCCTGAGAGGTGCCTCCTGGAATTTTTTTAAAAACCAGAAACTTTGCAGGTTAGCGACCCCACACATGGGGACCACAGTCCTCACAGCGGTCGGGGTTTGAATCCAGCCCCCATCATGTACTGTATGTCCTCCCACCTCTTTCTTTCTCCCCACTGTCAATAAAAGGCTAAAATTGGCCCAAAAAAATACTTTAAAAAAAAAAATCTTGTGAAACATTTACCTCAACTACAAGCAAAGTGTTGCTTTTCAAAACAACGTACCAACATTTTAAATCCGTTGTTTGCTAACTCACAGTTTGTATTTCCAAAAGTCATTCATTTAACCTTCCTCCTGTGTTAGTTTTTACCTGTAAATGACACTAAAAAAAATTATTCATCATCCAGTTCAGCTCTCATCTCTTGGTTACCTTGTTAGGCTTCATTATCCATGAAAATATTGCTAATAATATTTTTTATTGTGGGCCTCTTTCTCTGAGCCTTTCTTTGTTAGTGTACCCCTCACACAGACATCTATACTGAACTGATCTCACGTGTCTGGACATGCACAACATTGTTTTTTGTGCAGGGAAAAAACAGGCAAAATGAGAATTTCCTAAATCTCACATGATTGGAGGAGGATCTGACTGTCAGTGTGGTGTCTGACAGTGGACTTATGATTTCATTTTTTGCTCTAATTATTAGATATTGATCTAACCGGGTCAACAGTGACCCTAACACGACAAGTGCCATAATTCTAATAAGAGCATTTTATGTTATTATTTAATTAAGTTTTTTTTGTTTTCATTTTGTTGAAATAGAGGTTCCTGACAAAGTCAAAAAGTCTTGATGAAAAAAACTTATTTAAGTGGTTCTTTTAAGCATTTAAAAACAAAAACGGGTCGGTGCAGACCCTTACACAGGAGGAGGGTTCATGTGAAATGATATTTTTCCTTTTACAGTTAAAGAAATACAACCTCAAGAATTTTTTAAAAATTTTCAGTGAGATTTAGAAAACTCATTCTTTGTGTCTGTGCAGGGTCGTGAGGAGGAAAGTGACCAAGTAAGGGAGAAGTTCTCAGTCCCAGAGAGTGACCACCTGACGTACCTGAATGTCTACATGCAGTGGAAGAACAACAATTACTCCAGCGTGTGGTGCAACGAGCACTTCATCCACACCAAGGCTATGCGCAAGGTGAGACTCTCCCTATCCGTCTCCTCTTGTCTCCTGGGGGGGAATCTGTCAATTTTCTTGTTTTTATTAAATCAGTATTTCTAAAGTCGCCTGCAAATGTAACAGGTTTTCTCCTAAAAGCAGTCATACGATTAACCCTAAAACAATTCATTACTAGTCAGCAGCTGGAATGAATTGTTTATGTTCCACCTTCAACACGCCGTACTTCTGTGCAGGTGCGTGAGGTGCGGTCCCAGCTGAAGGACATCATGGTGCAGCAGAGGATGAACCTGGTATCCTGCGGGTCAGACTGGGACATCATCAGAAAGTGCATCTGTGCTGCTTACTTCCACCAGGCTGCCAAGCTCAAGGTACTTTGTGCACTCTGGGTTTCCCTCAGTTAATATGCTGCGCCTAGTGGCTACTGGTTGTGGCAGATTTATAGCAGCATAATTACAGAGTAGTGAAATATCCCTCCTGGCCTCACATTAATACAGCGCTAAAATCTGAAAGGGAATTTGAAATCATGACTATATAATCAGGGCTTTCCGTTTGACTTATGAGTCGCTGGCTAACCCAAGCAATCGGAGCAGTGTTGGATATACTTCAAATTTATTTTCCCGCTGTCTAAGCCAGGTGGAGAAGCAAATTAACCCAGGGGACCAGCTTTGCTCTGACCTTAACACGCACAAACACACACACACACACACACACACACACACTGAGAGCAACACACACACACTGTTAGACTTCAGTGCACGACACACAAGGCCCCATTTTCCTGTCCAGAAATTCAGACTCAAATGTTTAATTTGTTATTTATGTCTGTGTTTGCTTCTAGGGCATCGGTGAATATGTGAACGTGAGGACAGGCATGCCATGTCACCTCCACCCCACCAGCTCCCTGTTTGGCATGGGCTACACTCCAGACTACATCATCTACCACGAGCTGGTCATGACAACCAAGGTACGAAGTCTGTCCGCTGTAAAACTTAGCCAGCCTGAAAACATATAAAGATGCATGTTTGCTCATTTGAAACCTCTACTTTGTCCTGAAGGAGTACATGCAGTGTGTGACGGCTGTGGACGGGGAGTGGCTGGCAGAGCTGGGGCCGATGTTTTACAGCATCAAACACGCAGGAAGAAGCCGACAGGTAAGGCCGGACAACTTTTTGAATGTCTTTTACACTAGCCATGTTTACATGGGCAAAATTTCTTCATCCCATTGAAAATTTAAGGGATCGGAAAATCGGTATCCACTGTTTGTGTGGGCGCAAAATCAAATAATCCAATCATGACGTGCGTATACATGCACCGAGCTTTATTCAGATTAGAAGCATTTGGACATGCGCAGAGTTGTCTGATTTCGCTAAAACAACCGCAGAAGAAGAAGAGTTGTATTCACGCCTGTGCTGTCAACAAACAAACAAACAAACAAACGCAGTAGTGGCTCACTCCATCCAATTCAGGAGTTTTCCCCGTGTTAAATGTTGTTACTAGATGGCGCTCTTGCGTACTTATTTTACTGTTCGATCAAAGGTTGCTCTGTGCGTGCAGATGTGACATTATAATGCTGTTTGTACGCCTTGTTATGTTATTAGAGGAGCACACACGGCACCTGCGGTCAGAGTGTTAATAATGAAACCTCCTGTACTGACCTCAATAAATAAGCCAAAACCTAAAAAGTAAAGATCGAGTCAGGTTCAAGAGTCACGATTAGAATAAGTGTTTACATAGACGTGTTTCGGAATAACAATCGGCATAAACCACTCCTTTCGATAGGAATACAATTTCTTTCTGATTGGTCCGAATTGGATCAGAATCTTCCGATCGACATGTTTATGTGACACTTTTTTATTCCGATCAGGCATTTATTCCGATTGTTTATGCACATGTAAATGCAGCTAGTTTCAACTTAACAATACCTTCACACTAACAGAACTAGGCCCGTGAAAAACTTATTTCCACTATCTGGTGTGGAGGAACTTGAATAGCCTGCATGTTCTAGTCTGGGACACAGAGTGGGTCCAGTAAACCTTATCACCCAGCTTTTGTGGCTAGGCTCCAAAACGTCTCGTAAATAAGTTTTCTGGAGGATATTACAGACTGTTGTGTAGGAATTAGATGTTAAAAAGCCATATTTTGTTCAAGTTTGGACCCCACACACTTCTTGTAGTGTCACCGTAAACGCACATCTACTGTACTGTACTCGTTATATTTTTCTGTAACTGCTTCACGTCTCTGTGTGTTGCTCTCCAGGAAAACCGTCGCCGGGCCAAGGAGGAGATCACCAACATGGAGGAGGAGATGTCTCTGGCTGAGCAGCAGCTGCGAGCGCGTCGAGATGAGCAGGAGAAGAAGAACACTGGTAGTGTTCGGTGAGTCTATATCTGACGCTCTTCTTTGTGCCTCCTCATCACACACGGGCCTCCTCCAACAATAGTTCCCCCATGGCCCTCATTTTCCATACACAGTCAAGATAGAAACGTTTAATTTACCTACCTCGCTGCCAATCCATATCTCCACCTCTCCCTTCTTCTCCCCCCTCTCCCACTCTCTCTGCTCACCCTCTCTCACTCTTCATGATGAGCTTTTCTCACCTCTGGTCCCCACAGACGAGACAAAAAGAAATAATATTGACTCCTGGCTGACCCCCATTACTGCAGCAATTTAAATTGTGCCATAGCAGACCAGAGAAAGGAGGGGAACGTTCAATTTCAAATTAGACCAAAAAATTAATTTCACACCCATCTGCCAGCTTTATAGAGAGAAATAAGGTTATAAAGACAGACTTAAAAAAAGAACTTTTATTGTTAATTAATCGTCTGGTTTATCTCTCTGAGTTTGTGTGACCACTTCTGTAACAGATCTGTTGAAAATAATCACACTCGAGGTATGGGATTAAGAATTAGATTTAAGCGGAAGAAGCAGGATGTGTGATAATGAAAGGCATCGGCTCTCCTGGGCTCTCGGCTGCTTTTGTCCTCTGGCAGGCCTCACAAGCATCCCCTCTATGAATTCACTGCGACCAGGATGGAAGATTTCGTCAGGCTGCTTATCACCTGACTCCCTGCTCACCAGCACGGATCAGTGGTGTGAAGTAGGAAACGGTGAAGGAAGTTGTGTTGTTGAGAAAAGTGGGATAGTGAGCCGTTGTTTTTGGATTGTGTAGATCAGTGTAGTTCCTTTAATTTGAAGCAGCTGAATGGTGATACCAAGAGTTTCTGCTCCTTAAATGTAGCTTCATAAGGGTTATGTAGGGTTATAAGACCACTGAAATATGTTTAAAAGATGATTATACAAGTGCAAGAGTTGGTTCATTTGTTTTTAAAGTGTCATGCACACAAAGTGCCCAACCCACATGGGTTTATAAGACACTAAATAATATCAACAGACAGCATTGCATAATGTGTAAACCGTAAAAAAAAGAGGAAAAGGAAAAACATACAAGTATACATACAATTATATCTACGCTCATAAGCCACATAAACTCAAATCAAATGTACAGCACATATTTCTCTCCTTTCCCAGAGCTTTAAAAAAATAAAGTTAGATGTATAAAAAACTCCTATTTTAACACAAGATTCAAGTTTCTCATAGGCATCTAGGCAGGGTTCCTACACAAGTATGGAAAGTATGGAAAAATATTTATATTTAGTCGGTATTTCCAAAAATAAGTCTAAAGATCAGGGTACGGAAAAGTATGGAAATTCCAACTGTGTAGGAACCCTGTACAAAGTAAAAGAAATCATCGGATAACAAACTCATTTTCTTGAAAAATATATGTCTAAATTCGTCATACAGAGGACAAAGGAACATGAAATGAATCTCATTTTCTCATTTTCCTGTGTGTCTCAACAGCCAGTGGTAAAGTGTCCAAACACAACTGAGCACAAAGGGATCTTTGAGTTCGACTTAAATTTTGTTTAACATATTTTTCCACTTCATATATGATTTTTTATAAGACAGTAGGTTCTTAATTTGGGTTTATTCAGTATTTCTACACACCATCTCTCTTTATATTGTTCAAAAAATGTATTTTTAATATCTTGAATATTTCAACCGAGGTTTATTATGAAATATATATTTAAAAAAAATCAGCAATAGAAAATAAAGATTTCATCTCACTGGCCCAAGGAGACATATTCGATATCTCCCAGTTAAATAACTTTGACTTGGATTTACTGGTGTTGCTCCTCTGAGGGACTTTAGGTTTGTGTTGGTTTTGGTGCCCCCTGTGGACAGTGGGTGTAACAATAGCTCTGCTGATCTTTTGGTATTTTTGTTTAACTGTTTTCTGTAAAAAATCTCATCATACTTTTTTTGAAATATGAGTGATACATTTCACCGTATCACTCATCCTCAACATTTGCAGTGGAAATAAGGATTTCTCTTTTGACATCTACCCCCCTGGCATTGGTTACAGGCAATAAAATTTAAAACGCAGAAATAAACAATCTTGTAGCAGATCATTAAGAGGATTCAGTCTCAGTCATAATTTTAGTCTTTTTTAAAACTAGTTATAAAAAAACCTCACAGGAGCTTTAAGATTTTCTACTTCCCCTTAAGTTGGTCAGAAAAAAAAACACATTTTCATTTTCACCTGCATTTTCAACAAAAAAGATCAAACAATAATGAAGCTTATGTGTATATTACATACTTCAGGATACACAAGTTTTTTTGGTGTATTTTTTTCACAACAACTGCAGATGATAAGTTTCTGTGGTGTCGCAGTTTAGCTACAGAATCATCAAGAAAAGTCTATTTTAAGTAAAAATGTCCCAGATTTAAACTCGTGCTAATTTTAAGAGTTTAAAATTTTCTGATTATTCCTCGAGACAATGAAAACCAGCAGATCTGTGGATTAAATGGGCTTCCTAAAACGTAGCACCATGATGTGCCATTGTGCCATATGCTCTGATGAAAAATAGTCGTGATTTTTCGTGAAGGAGCCCCCCAGAGAGAGAGTTTTCCAGATCCAGTAAATCTGCTGTGGCAGACTCGGCCGCCTGTGTTTTGAGCGCGCAGACAGAGAGAGGGGGACACAGTGACAGAAGGGGGTTATGGCCTGATGCTTGTAATTGCTGTAGGTGTGTGTAAGGCAGGAGAGAGAGATAGAGATGAGGGAAGTGTGGGCAGTGTCAGGGTGTCACGCTGCTGTAATTAAAGATGATAGATTTGCTGTCAGAGGCGTCAGGCTCTACTTCCCAAGACTCGTCCCAGAGACATCAGCCCGCCTGTTCAGCCTCGTCTGGTCCTGCTGCTTTCATGTTCACGCTCACATTCAGCCTCATGTGACAAATGTTAACAAAACACAAGAAAAATTAGCCTTGGTTGCATCAGTGGAAAAAAAATAAAAATCCTCTCAATCCTTTCTGTTTCAGGGGAGTGAAAATCTGCACACCAGGGAGGAAAGAAGAAGCCCCCATGACACCCAGGCGCACCCCTGCCCGCTTTGGACTGTAGAAAAACTGTAAAGCTGTAAACCACGCTGACTTCTTTAGACTCATCTTCATTCAGAATCGGACCACAAATGTACAATGTCACTGCCACCTGCCTTCTGTCCCCTCACAGCATGGCCACAACCACCTGCAGTTCATGTGCAGACCACTAGAGTGAGAACTTGTATAAGGCAAAGACACAAATAGGAGCCAGGTCCTTCAAAATGCCCACCTGCACCTTTATCAACAAATAGCTTTCACATGATAAAATGGAAGATTCGTGTATATTCTGTATTTATAGGCGTAAGTGTTTTTACTGAAGTCTCTTCAATGATTATTTCTGAGCTGGAAACATTTAATTTTCTATGTTCTTTTGTATTTCCTCCATGCTGAGAATATAATCAGAGGGACTAAACGTGATCTGATTTCATTGTTTCTTTTTTTTGTGTTCATCCTGTACTGTTGTAGCTTGAACAGCATTTTCTGCCATAATGAAGTGATCCTCCACGAACTGAAGCACTATTACATCTGTACTTGTGGCATGAGTGTCTTCAGACTGTAGAGTTGTGTTTTATTACCCCCTTATAAACAAACACACACAAACTCATCTTTGGTACTTTACCTTTGCTACCGTCTACCCAGCTCCGACAAAAAACAACAACAATGTACCGCAGTTCTTCATCTGAACGTGCGGGATTGAGCATTTCAGCTGTTTTATTTTCATGGTCCTTGTGTTCAAAATAGCACACAGCAGCTTCTTTGGGAGCTTTTCCTCTAAACAAATGTTTGCAGATGTGTCTTTTTAGTGGGTAAATTTGTTTGTAGATGTGCGCCCTCTTCTGCCCTCGCAGCTGATGAGAACATCACGCAGCTTTAGATGAACCGCTCTACCTGCTACAAAACAGTTTAGCGAAGGCCGCGTTTGGATAGTGACACTGTTTCTGTTTTGTCTGTTTAAACAGAGATCTGAGACAGCAGGAGGACTGCTAATGGATTTTTTTTTTCCCACACAGCATCTTTTGTAAATGAATAAATACATGTCAGCTATTTTTTTAACTGATGTGTCTTTTTGTTCACTGCAGGTGCCCAACATAATTATGTCACTCAAATGCACTTTAAGAGTAAGCTTAGCAGGGGTATCAATTATGCTCTTAGAGGAGAAAGTTATACAAATTAGCAAAGGCTGTAATTTCTGTGAATGTAGGAGGGAGTACTCCTCGCTTTTTGTGTATCCCGATGAGAAAACAGCTGAGAGTGGTCACTTTAGGACCACTGCTGTGTTCGTTTTTTCCCTTTAGCCAGGAGTTAAATCATGATCTGAAAAGGTTTGAACCCTTCATCAGTGAGCCTCCTAATCATTTACATTTATTGTAAATCTGCAGGATATCTCTAGACTCAAGTTTCAGGAATTTCCGTTACAATTTTTGGTGCCTAAGGAGAAGATCTGTGGTTAACTTCAGTATTTATTAATTGAATGTTTGTTAAAATGTAACCAAACAATAGAAGGTATTCACCAACTCTTGACAGTCAAGATATTTTCAACCCCAAAGGTTTGACAGTTTTGCTCAAACAATGACTCCCATGCAACAACTTCAACAAATATCCCACAAGCCGTTGATACATTGGCTGAAAAAAACAAAGATTTTCTGTTTGCTCTGGTGATTAAATCTTGGTAAACCAGGTAAGATTAGGCCCCTTTCACTGACTTCAACAACTGACCGACCAATTGAGCCTGAAGATGTGCACAGAAATTATGAATAGATTTTGAAGACAATAAACCCTCGGCTTTGAAAGGGTTTGTGATTATTTTAACTGTACCAGCAGCCAAGTGTTGCACTCTATTCAGGACTTTGAGTTAAGTGAAGTCAGAGGCCTCAGTCATGTTTATGGAAATAACATGGTGAATCCCAAACAGCAACATCTTGTGAGCAACACGAGGATAATGACCACATTACAATCCCCAGAATGTTGTTTTTATTGTCAGTTTTCACACTGCAGGCTGAGGCGAGTGAATCTGATCAGAGAGAAACAAAAAGCTGGGGTCTGTCCCTCCCTCACACACACTGGCACCCACAGATGTCACACATCTCCATGAGTGATACCAGGCTTTGAAAGCCCTCAGCTGTAAAGATGTTGATGCGCTTTAGATGAAGAGTCAGGCTACATGTGGGTGGATCCTGTGTTTGGCTTTATTGAAGCTGTATGCAAATCCTCAGGTCACAAGACTGTTGAACAAAAGCCTGCTGGATGCTGTTCTTCATCACGTTCAGGCTGACATTTCTTGATGTCTCTTAGCTGAACTACTCTTGCTATCTGGCATCAATTTGGACAGAAAAGAGGGAGAGAAGTCTGTGATTTCTTCAAAAAATGTAGTGCGCAATAACAGGTTGTGTTTTCCTCTCGGCTGGATCCCTGTGCAGCGCTTCTTTTTCGAGTTGGTCAGTGATAGTCGGTCTCACTGTAACCACTATGCAAATAAGCATGATTATGAGTGTTCCCTTGACCTCCTCAATCCTCCGAGGCGTCTTGATTGAGTGTGGCAGGCAGAGGAGGGGACGGCTATAATGGACTCCACCAACTTTAATGAGACAAATCTCAGCTATGGGCTGACATTTTGAAATAGTCCTTGTGAATGACAGTGTCAGCAGTCACCTTTACCAAAGCTTTCCAGGGAAGGTCCCTGTAATGATGGAGGGAATTAAAATGGCCTCCAAGGCAGTGGAGATAGGAGCCTCAGGATTAGGGTGCAGAGCCACGCCTTTTTAACAGGCTCGGCTGCCACACCCAAATTTTTAAAAAAGTACATCTCTCGCCTTTTAACAACCAATCGTCTATTTGAGATTTGATGGAGGGATTACAGTGAATGTTAGACGCTGACCACGGTGAGGTGTGTTGAGATGAGCTGTCCCTCACATTAACTGCCCCGCCCTTCCTTTTCCCCTCTTTCTCCCTCCTTGTTGTGTGTCTCATGGTAGACAGGGACAAGCGCTGCTGTCATTACAAACTTAATAAGAGCAGAAGTGAGATTGATGAGAAAAACAGAGGCATCAACCGCTCTTTTAATTAACTCTTGTCCCATAATGGTGGCGGGACTGAGGCACGGAGCAAAGAATGAGACATTTTCTTTCTCTTTCCAACCCCTCTCTGTTTTGTTGCCTCACTCACCCCCGATAATGAACAGCCTTCTGGGACCCAATTACATCCAAGGCTGCATTAGGAGCGCAGCAGGCCCAGTGGAAACTTCAGCTGAGTTTCCCCCACAGCCCCCTCTTTGCTCCCTGTTACCCTGCTGGAGATGGCCTTCACTTGATTGAATTTTGAATGTTATACCCTCCCAACAAACACCCCCTCGCCTTCAGTAGACCCCTACCTACATCAGTTCTGTACCCACATGTGGTTTCAGATGGAAACAGGAGACGATGTATGCTTGTTGTTAGTTGTCCTTCACTTACTGTTTGCATTGAGAGAGTCCCTTTGTTGTTGTGTGTAGGGCCACATGAATTTGTGCATAAAAGCCTGTTTTGTGCCCCTCAGACCGAAAACATGTTTTGCTGAGGACAAAAGTTACACTAGACTGTTACAATATCAAGCCATACAAAGCGCTTTTTCATATAACAGTCAAGTAAGAGATGTATCAAATTGTGAAAACACAAAAAATAAAGCATTTCATTTCAATGCAGAAAGATCCATTTGGAAACAACACCACTTTAGGTGAAGGTTAACCCACAACCAGCACAACCTAAAGCGCAGAGCCCCGTCTCCTTCATTTAAGACATCTGTTTAAATGTTTATAATGGGTCTACAGCAACCAACAGACACAGAAAATGTGCACTTGGGGCTACAGGCTTACATTACTTCCCTAACATGCTCCATGGTAATGTTAACCAGGTGGTTTTTTTTAATTCGACCATGTAACTGTATGAAAATATGAAAGATATAACATTTCCTGGAGGCCATTTGGAGCTACAACCCTAATTGTTGGAAACTGGAGGAAAAAAACTGCAGTTCCTCAAGTGTCTACTTGAGACTGACTCCAAAACCAAGAAGACCCTGTTAGTATCCTGACTGAAATTCCACTTTTTAGAGCAGAAATAAACATGATGACAGCCTGGCACAAAAACCTTCTCATCTCTCTGCCCATTTTTTAATTTAAACGGGCTTTAATAGGGTGTTTTTTCTTCTTTTTACAACTCACGTGTCCAGAAGATATCAAGGGTGTGGCTGATTTCACTGGCAGGGTTTTGTTGTCTGGGAAACTCTGCCTCAACTCCACCTCTTCGGCCTTTTCTGCATTGGCTAGGCTAAAAACAGACCTTTTGGAACTCTATATTGCTAAAAATATGTAAAGTATATGATAGTTGGATGTCTTTCAGTTTGATCCGGCCTCTACATGCAATGTTGGGGATATCCAATGCATTAATAACAATTATTGGTGTTCTTTAGTTCCCTCCGACACCTTAAGTGTGCTGTATTGACTGCTATGCTGGAAAGAATGTTGCCTATTGATTTGGCCAAGGCAGAAACTGATGGCGCGCTCTTCCTAATCCTCCGTCCTAATCCTTAGATGCCGCCAGCAAGTGAAAAAAACTCACCTGCTGCTACTCAGCCACTGGAGAGCCACCTCACTGCCTCTATGCGTGCTCACAGGATTTCATCACTGATACTTTCTGTGATTCAAACCAAAAAAAGTGAGAAACACATTCCAATGCAAGAAATTACGGCAAAAACAAATAAGTAGCACCCCACAGGGCACCAATGACCTTGAGCCATGTAATTCTGCCACCTCTGTGGACCCCATGAACACACTGCCTGTGAGTATAGTATTGTAAAATGTCAGTAAAATTTGACAAAAATGTCAAAGTATAGTATGATAAAAAGGTCACAGTGTAGTTAAATAAAAATATCATATTAGAATAGAGTACGATAAAATATCATAGCATAGTATGATAAAAACAATGTAAGACAAAAATTCCATCGTATAGTTTGATTAAAAAAAAAAGCCATATTGTACTATAATTTCATAGTATAGAACAGTAAAAATGTCATAGAATAGTATGATGAAAAAAAAAAAACTACAGTATACTTTGGTATACTTTGTTAAAATAAATGTCATAGTATAGTATGATAAAAATGTCACCGTATACTATGATAAAAAATGTCATAGTTTTGCATGATAAAAAATGTTGTAGTATAGAAGGTTAAAAAATGAAATAGTATAGTTAAATAAAAAACAGTGTCACAGTTTACTATGATAAAAAAATGTCAAAGTATAGCATCTAAAATATGTCATAGTACAGTATGATTACAATGTCATAGTATAGTATGATAAAAAATGTCATAGTATAGTATGATAAAAAATGTCACGGTATAGTTTGTTAAAAAAAATGTCAAAGTATAGTATGATAAAAAAGTCATAGTATGGTATGATAAAAAATGTCATAGTTTAGTATGTTTAAAAATGTCATAGAATAGTATGATAAACATCTCATCATGCTATGTTAAAAAAATCTCATAGTATAGTATGATAAAAAAATGTCACACTATAGTTTAATAAAAAAAAAAGTCAAAGTATAGTATGTAAATATTTGTCATAGTATAGTATGATAAAAATGTCTCAGTATAGTATGATAAAAAAAAATTCTTTTTAAAGTATGTTAAACAACTGTGATGGGATAGTATGATAAAAATGAAATCAAATAGTATGATAATAAAATTTCAGTATAGAATGTTAAAACAAGTCATAGTATGGTATAGAAAAAATAACAAAATAGTTTGATAAAGAAAAAGTCATAGTATAGTATGATAAAAATGTCACCGTATACTATGATAAAAAATGTCATGGTTTTGCATGATAAAAAATGTTGTAGTATAGAAGGTTAAAAAATGAAATAGTATAGTTAAATAAAAAACAGTGTCACAGTATACTGATAAAAAAATGCATCTAAAAATATGTCATAGTATAGTATGATTAAAATGTCATAGTATGGTATGATAAAAAATGTCATAGTTTAGTATGTTTAAAAATTTCATTGGATAGTATGATAAACATCTCATCATAGTATGTTTAAAAAATGTAATAGTATAGTATGATAAAAAATGTCACACTATAGTTTGATAAGAAAAATGTCATAGTATGGTATAAAAAAATTTTTTAGTATGATAGTAATGGTTTAAAATCCATGATATTGTATGTTCAAAATGTCATAGTATAACATGATAAAAATAAGTCATAGTATGGCATGATAAAAAATTTCATGATAAAGCATGTTAAAAATTTTTCCAGGTATAGTATGATAAAAATGTCCTAGTATAGCATGATCAAATATGTAATACCAAAGTATGATTAAAAAAATTTCATAGTACAGTATTATAAAAATGTCTTAGTATAGTATGATCAAAATTTCATATGTTTCATATGACAACAATTTTATAGTATAGGATGGAAAAAAAAATGAAATAGTATGGTTAAATGAAAACAGTGTCTCAGTATACTATAACAAAGAATATGTCAAAGTATAGCATCATAATTAAATTTGTCACTGTATAGTATGATAATAAATGCCATAGTATAGTATGAAAAAAATATGTCATAGTATAGTATGATAAAAAAATTTCCTGGTATAGTTTGTTAAAAAAATGTCATAGTATAGTATGATAAAAACATTTCCTTGTATAGTTTGTTAAAAAAAAAATCATAGTATAGTATGATAATAAAGTCATAGTATGGTATGATAAAAAATGTCACAATATAGTTTGTTAAAAAAAATGTCATAGTATAGTACGCAAAAAATTGTCATAGTACAGTATGATAAAAATGTCAGTATACTTTGAAAATTAAATGTCATAGTATGGTAGGAAAAATTTTTTTAGAGAGTAATAAAAATGTTCCAAAATTCATGGTATTGTATGTTCAAAATGTCATAGTATAGTATAATAAAAAGTCATAAGATAGTATGATAAAAAATGTCATTATAAAGCATGTTTAAAAAATTTCCTAGTAAACTATGATAAAAACGTCATAGTAAGGCATGATCAAATATGTAAAAGCCAAGTATTATGAAAAATATTGTAGTACAGAATGATAAAAAAAAGTCTCAGTAAAGTATGACAAAATCTTATAGAAAAGCATGATAAAAAATGAAATAGTATAGTTTAAAGAAAACAGTGTCACAGTATGGTATGATTAAGAAAATGTCAAAGTATAGCATATAAAAAAAATTTAGGGTTAGGGTTATGTCATAGTATAGTATAACAAAAAATGTCACAGTATAGTATTTCAAATAATGTCATAGCATATTATGATTAAAATGTTATAAAAAATTATAATAAAAAAGCTCAGATTATATTGTTATAAAAAAGTCATAGTATGAAATGAAATTATTGTTTGAAAAAAAACTAACATTATAGTATGAAAAAATTTTGAGTTTAGTATGATAAATAAGTCACAGTATAGTTCGATAAAAAGTAAAAATAGTATGATATAATAAATGTCACAGTTTAGTTTTTGAAAAAAATTGTCATAGTATAGTACGATTAAAATGTCATTGAATTGTATGATAAAAATGTCATAGTATAGTATGATAAATAAAATTTCACAGTATAGTATGTTAAAAAATGACAGAATAGTATGTTTAAAAAAATGTCATTCTATGGTATGATCAAAATGTCATAGTATATAGTGGTAAAAATGTCAATGTGTACCAGGATGTTAATAAAAATTTAATACTTAAGTTTGATAAATGTGTCATGGTATAGCGTGTTAAAAAATGTCAAAGTATAGAATAAACATTTTTATACTATAATATGATAAAAAATGTCATGTATGGTATAGTAAAAAATGTCTAGTACAGTATATTATATAAGAAACTTTAAAGTATAGTTTGTTAAAGTGTTTTAGTACAGTATGTTTAAAATGACATAGTATAGTTTGATTAAAAAAAAAGGCAAATTACAGTATTTAAAAAAATGTTGTGGTACGGTATGTTAGAGAAAGTCATTCCATAGTTTGATAAAAAAAAAATCTCATAGTATTGTATGTCAAAAAAATGACATAGTGTAGTATAGGTCAGGGATTAGGGTTAGGGTTATGCCAAAGTATCTTGTTTAGAAATTTCATTGTAAAGTTTGATAAAAAAAAAAAAAAATGTGTGATAGAAATATCATAGTATTGTAGGATAAAAGTCTCACAGTAAAGTATGATAAAAACAAAAAAAAAAAAAATATGATATAAATATTATAGTATTGTATGATGAAAATATCACAATTTAGTTTAATAAAAATGTCATAGTATAGTAGGGTTAAAATGTCATTGTATAGTATGAGAAAAATATCATAGTTAGGCATAATAAATTTGTAATAGTATAGTATGAGAAAAATGTCATCCTATAGTACTCTTAAAATATCATAGTATAGAATGATAAAAATGTCATGGTAAACTAGGGAATTTAGAATACTTAAAACCCTGATTTCACGAGTCTGCAATGTCACAGTCAAAAGAAAAAAAAAAGATCTCTGTGACTTAGTTTTTTGTTTGTATGAAGTCAAGTGGATTTTCACCAAACAAACCGACACCATTTACTTCTGTTAGTACATGTTAGAAATGTTCGAGTGTTGCAGCATACAGTAATGCTTTTACTGGTCCATTGTCTCATTCCTAACCATCAGTTTGTGTATACTGTACTACCATGCTTGGTCTACCTCCCTGTGGACCTTATAGTTACTAACAGCTCATCCACTGTTGCTTAGGGGTCTTATTTTGTTCTCCAAAAAAGACTTTATACTGTCAAACTCAGACATCCCATGTGATTGAAGGCCGATGGGCATGGAACTCTCAGAGCTGCCCTCAAAGCTGCAACAATGCCTGCTTTCACACAGCCAACTAGTGGTGGGTGGAATGGAAGAACAAAGGCAGACTTGTTAGGGTTTAGATGCCTTTATTATTCTTTTATTTGGCTGCAATTTCTTGTCTCTCTGCCCATATTCATTAAGACTTTGGCTACATTGGCTTGTGGTTCCATGGCTGGAGGAGTAGTTACAGTATGTACCTCAAAACACATTGAGAGATCTACTTTTCTTTTGCTGAAATCAACATACAGAATCTTGATTATGAAATGTTCATGTTCCCTTTGGCACACTGTTTATTCAACGTACATGTACTGTGAATTAAAAAGACAAAACACTGACGTGATATACAGCATTTAAAGTAAAACAAAGGGAAGACAGTGAATGTTCTATAAAAAATAGTTAATTAAAATGATTTTTCTGTATTTTCTTGATAAACTGAATTAAATCAAATATCTTTGTCACTCTCACACATGTGAATATGCTCAAATATATTGTAATTAGACAGCTGTAGACAGTATGAGTGTATCATTACAACAACTTTTTTATATCTAAACATCTTAACAAAATTGTAACATATTGACAGCCTAACGCAACCACATAAAACTCAACTGAAGTGAACTACACAGAAAATTTTACAGCTTTTTGTTACAAATCAACACATTCAAGCCTCCGAAGTCATTTACAAATACATGGAAACCTTCATCTGTCTCCACAGCTTATTAATAATGTCAGTCTCTGGGTTTGACAGGTGACCTTCACCTGCCAAGGTAATGCCAAAGTCGTACTAGGCTCTCTCCTGGACCAGCAGAAACTCTGCCTGCACAGACACGAGGATGTTGGAGCTCTTCTTGAGACTTTTCTCTTCTTCTTTGGACTCTGTGCTTGTCTAATCAGAGCTCTTCTCACAGTCAAAGAACAGTCAAAGCACCAGAGACTTCATTTAGACAATACATGCGCTAAACTGATGATCAAAGAGCATTAAGACTGCCAAAAACAATGAACGTTACACTGCTCTTAATGGTTGTTTTGGATTCAGAGCAGTGGAAAGATGCAAAGGGTTAGGCATTGTAAAAAAAAAAAGGAAATTCTCTGGTGGTTAATTTCAAAATTTGAACAAAATAACTGTGATGAAGTCATCAGTTTTGATTAAGACTGCACTCAAAGTTGGATAATGGATAATACAATATCTAGTTTTATGCGAAGCTTGACCATGCTTAGGACTTAAAGTGTACGCCATGTTTTTCTGCTTTGATATCTTTAAAGACATATCTGTCTCTAATGAGTACTTTTACTCTTCTGCAGAGCAATTCTTTATTGCAAAACAATCCAACTTTATATGTTGTCAACCAGAAAAACTTGGATAAATCCTGATAAATAAAACAAAACATGTCAAAGTTCAGACTGATGAGAAAAATTGGTAACACTTTACAATGACCATAATTTATAAATGGTAAATAGATAGTTTATTTATGTTTAATCATCATTTAAAAACAGCATGTAGACCAATTATAAATGGCAAATAGATAGTTTATTAGTGTAATTTATTAGTTACTTTACCATTAACAAGCAATGAAATTACGATTAATAACTTTGGTTAATTCTATTTATTAAAGGTTTATATAGGGTTTAAATATTGGTTGTAAAACATTTAGATTAAAATGTGTGTCAGTAGCACTTTGTAAATGGTTAATATTTGTTTTTTTTAAACTATCTATAAAAGTTACTTAGATGGTTATTGTAAAGTTGCAACTGATGTTTGTAATACTTTGTAAATGATTAATAAGTGGTTTATAAACACCTATAAACATTACTTAGATGGTTATTGTAAAGTTAGGGTTAGGTTTCTAAAATTGTAAAATTTACAATTTATTGATGGTCTATATGCTATTTATAAATGATGATTAAACATTAATAAACTGTCTGCTTACCATTTATAAATGGTCTATTTACCATTTATAAGTAATGGTTATTGTAAAGTGTTACAGAAAAATTCACCAAATACATGTCAGAGTAATACACAGATCTTTCTGTTCGGTGTATTTCAGTCAGGGGTGTTGTCATACTTGGCCCTAATGAAACCTCACATATATGAGCAAAATGACCTCCACCTATCACATCTTTTCATGCCAGTCTCCATGACAGCTTTAAATTGACCTACCATTGCACTGAGCAGGTTTCCAGCAGCTGCCGTGCCACTGAGGCTCGGTTCATATACAGTAGCTGGAGGGAAGAGAAAAAAAAACAACAATTGTCAGCTGGCAAAATCACAAGAGCTTAAATCCTCCCGTAACAATGCTGCCCAGACCCCCAATCAGCAAATGCTTGTTATGCTCCCTTCTGTGTCAAAACACTCCCTCATTACATGATTGGACAAAAAAGGCTGATGGCTTTGTTATTTGTGAAACGCTCTCTAACCAGATGTAAATTGTAATACAATGCAAATTTGCTCTGCTTATTCTGGCCAAGCTTTCGCAGTGTCCCAATCCCTCTTAAGCTTCTTGTTGACCGCGTCTGCCAGCTTTGTGTACACAATTGGCTCCTCAGTCATTCCAACTGCATCGTTAATGTCTGCCCTTTTGTGCTTCTCAATTCCACCGGAATAAACAGAATCACACGTGCAAAATTATTTTCTAACACAGATAATTAGCTGAAGAAACAATCCTGAGTATGAATAATAATGTGCCTGGGTAACATTATAACTTTTAAGCATGGGAAAAGGAGGGATTTGAATGCCAGGGGAAATGAGCTTATCAAATAAAGCTTGAAAATGTGCAGTGAATGAAATGAGTCAATCATTTTAATGTGAGATGGAAGCCCTGAGGAGAATAAATAAGCAATCGTCACATCATGCAGGGAGAACAAATGAGCATGGTACACAATTAAGTAGGGTCACATTCTGCCAGAGCTGTGAGCGTGGGATGGGCTAATGAGCTGTGTGAGTCAGTGTGTTTACGGGTGTGTGTGTGTGTTTGTGTGAATGTTTTTAGAGGAGAAAAAGGAAATATCAGATGAAAAAGCTGATCCTTAGCCCTCAAAAATTCTGATGTACGGTCTAAGACAGCCAGACAGCCAGACACAGAAGCAGCAAGTCAGGCGAGAGACAGAGATGAAAGTAAGAGGGGCTGCTGGAGAAGAGGTGGGCTATCAGTCGACTCTGCATCTGGGGCAAGTAGACATACAGACAGACTGAGCAATGGGCAGGTAGAGCAGCCAAACACACACAAAAAAGAGAAGTGCCTCACAAGGGCCGACCGTACAGAGCTTTCAAAGGCGACTCATAGTTATTAACTATTCAATCACATAAAGGAGAGCTGAAGGCGTGAAAGGTTGCGGACCGAAGCACTTTTGCTTCAGTGCATTAAGAGCCCGGTCCAGCACTCTGGCTGCGTGAAAGAGAAATAGATTGCCTCCCAGGAAGATGACTGCTCAAAGGAGTTGGCTTTTCGCCTTAATAACAGCAATCTGCTGTGAAAATCTAATCCCAAGTACCATTTACACCGAATCTAGATAACTTCTGCTCGGAAAAGCGTACAATATGAATATTTCATTCCATGATATACAAATAAACACAACACCCCCATCAATCAGAGGACGTTCTCGAAGTGAGTGAACTGGAAGAACAAATTGCTAATGAATACCAAACTGCTAGAAATGCATATTTCTTAAATGGCATTGTGGGTATGATGTACAACTGGCTGGAAAGAAAGAAACATTCCCTGACATGAGCATTAATGCATTTAAATGTATAGACTTCAGTCTACATGACCTGCATGGCCCCAAGGAGAAAACCATAAGTGAAACACACACAATGTTCATAACCTGACTGACACACAACAACAAACCAAACATGAACGCAGTCCCTCTTTTGCAGTAATAGCTCAATCTTTGCCATTAAAGACAGATATGGACGGACCCTTTAAGCCTCTTGCTCTCCTTCTGGCTGGCCTAATTCTCCCTCCTCAGTGGTGGATGAGAGGGATCAGAAATCCATCCATATGCATGGCCAACTATCTGCGGAGGGGATGTCAGGTCTCAGCCAGGCCAGCTTCCTGAAAGTACTAGTAATGACACTTAATGAAAGCTTGGGAGCTGAGCTCTGAGAGGGGGAAAGCCTATGCCGGGTACTCCCCTAGCCCCAAGCCGACATCCAGACTGGGCCTTCAGACGCCATAAATAAACAAACGTGCTGTGTGAGAATAAATGTGCTATGTCCCCAGCTTCTCCATGCCATTGCTTCCCACTTATTTATCTATTTATTATTATTCCCCAGATCTGTAGTTTGCTTTCAGCCCACCTCTTTACTTTGAGCTCCCTGCAGGCTTTTGAGTGTCCCAAAACATCAGCTGGACTTAGCTGCAGTCACCCTGCAACCCTTAATGGGCTGAGTTTGCATCAACAGGGCTCCACTGGGCTCTACAAATACTGTATACACTTGAAGAGCTGTTAGACCTCTACAAAACAAGAAAGTATCCAGACATGCCATAGATATCTTTTTAAGCTCTCACACTGCCAATTTCTCTTTCTCTAATGGATGTACCACCTCCACCAAAGCCCTTCTTACTCCTAGTTAAGCCGCAATTTTCTAATTGGACCAGACTGGCATACAAAGGAGTACTTGTACTTTGAGTGATGCAGGTGATATAGCTAAAGCTGAAAAGAGACGGGTGAGGAGGGCACACTGGTTGCAGATTCCTGTGCCGTGAAGGGTTGGTAGAGCTCAAAGTAAACAGAAGGAATGAGGGGGATAGAGAGGTTCTTCTTAGCACAAGCCCCTAATCAGTATAGTCAACACATGGAAGATTGGGTTCACATCTTTTTCACCTAGCACTCGCTCTCCTGCTGTCCTTCCAACACCGAAACTTATCCCTTCAATCAGCCCCCCTATTTCTCTCCCTCAAACCTGGGAGGATATCTGATAGGAACGTGTTGCAGGCAAATGCCAGGCAGCACAAATCCGGCTTACTTCAAGGGACGGTGATATTGGCTGAGAAAAATGAGATGGCCTACACTGTTGAACATCATTCCTCTGACAAATAGCCCTTTCTCAAGTGGCACCAGGTATACATATTTTATTTAGAAATCGTTCCCATAGTGACTCTTGACTGACGTGTTTACTTTAAGAGTCCTGTGTGGTCTCCGTGAACACTTAAAGCAGCTAACTATTCTTCGTCAGCCTGGCCAAAAAAAAGGGGACATCCTCAGGTCAGGTGAGTGAAAAGTTTGCCTACTTGACAGTCTCAAAATGTGTCAGGGAGGTGACGCTTCTTCATCCTCTGCTGCATGTCCTCTGATCACTGGCTCTCTTTTTAACCCCCAACATTTACCAGCTAAATGCATAAATGTGTCCTTGGTGTTAACAAGCTTTAGCCATCAGTCGAGGAAGGGCCACACAGGTGGGAGATGAAACAAGCTGGCCAGAGTGAAGCAGATTACAGTGGAGGTCATGCTGGGAGCAGAAGGAGGGGAGTGCTAAACACGGTTGTATGTAAAGGAGAGCCTCTGCTCTGTGAGGTGGACAGAGAAATGTGCTGGGGTTGCATTAGCAGAAGGACCCAGAGGGACAACCCAAGGGAAAAGAGGGGTCAGCAGACTTCAAACATGGATGTGGAGACCATTCAGAGCTCTCAGGCTGCTGATTTCACAGCTAGAAAACACAGATCATTACTTACAAAAACACACTGAGCCCTATGCAAAACCCAGAACGACAAAAATCAACATGACAGCCAATAAAATCTTGAGACTTGTGCAGCGGCTCTGCTTTTCACTGCTACTGTCTGTGATGTGCTGGTGAGTGTTGGTATTGACCTGTGTTTCAGATGAGCCTCTCCACAAACACCCCTGCTCTGTCTGAAAGCACACTGCTTTGTCACTGACACTGTCTCTGGAGTCAGCAGAGTCAAAGCACAGTACAAGTTGTCACAGAGAGGGCGCTTATAGATTTGCAGCCTCTTTTGGAAGCCAACAGGAGACTTTAGCCCAGGCTTTGACAGTTTCATAGAGTACAACAGTCACACAGTCACAGTATCAAAACCAGGCACTGTCGGAGGTCAGAGTCTGCAGGTTAGGAAGCATACGACTAGATAGGACCAATTAATAAGGGAAAATGTGACGCTACTGTGGGCCTAGAACAAAGTGTGCTTTCAAGTTTCTCTTGCTGGTTTCAATGAAATTTGCAAACGCCCCTGCTGAGCTTAAAAAACCAACACAGATGAAAATCATGTTTTTCTTGTTGTCTACACGTTCATATGGCAAATTTCTGATGCTAGAGGGCGTATCATGAGAAAACTAAGCGCAAAATTGCATTTCTGAGTATCTCTGTATTCAACACAGATTCAACACACTCTCACAGACTATGTCTTTGAAATGTTCCCCTGTGGGACTAATAAAGGTATATTTTACCTTTGACCCAAACATCAGGCTCAGACACAGTTAGATTTCCTACATCAAAACTGCAAGCTCCGCCCCCGCTATGCAGGCAAGACTCTGAGAAGTAGAGAGGACGATCACGGAACAAGTGAGTGCATTCGCGGATTGAAATGCTCATAAGAAAGCTAATGATGTTAACTTTTAGGGTCTGAGAGATGAATAGCTCCTATGTTACCTGCCACTTCTGCTGTACCGGCAATGTTAGGCTGCAAGCTCGCCTGACTTTGGCTAAAAACTTAATAATCACAATTTAAAGACCACATAACATTTTAAGTAGTAAAAAACAATCTGAGTGGGACTTTAACACTTCAGGGAACAAAGAAAACTTAAAACCCAGATTTCACAAGATCTCACACAAAGAATGTGGATGAGCAAAAACTAATTGTTATGCAAAATGTAACACATATAAAATTAAATAAACAATGTAAAAAATCTGACTTTACTCACCACTGGTTTTGATTTCATATCCTCTGTGTGTTCCTGGATCTTGAGCTCTTGCCCCTCAGATCTTCCTGAATGTGGATCCATGTGTGTCTGTGCAACAAAGACAAACACAAAAAGTATTTTACACAAAGCTGAAATTGACAAAACAGAAGATAATAAATGTCCACTGTCCACTTACCCTTTCTTAGCGCAGATGGATGATCTTTAAGCTTTGCTCTTTGGTTTTTGGTGCCAGTTTTTCATTTGCTTGCCTGCAGCTGAGTAGGAAAATGATATAATGTGCATTAGCTATTGTTGGGATGGAAACCAATTATTGTATGAATGCAGAGAGACCACAACAGTAGCACGTCATGACTCAAGGCCACACTTACATCCAGGACCAGGTTGACACTGGAAAGCATCTTGTGGACTCAAGGGCGATCTGGTCGAACACAGAGCCTCAACTGTAGACTGAAAAGAGAAGAAAGGCAGAGTAAAGATAAGAGAAGAGTAAGGTGTATATTTACCCAAAATGTTCAAAAATCTGCTGTTTTAGTCCAAGTGGCCTCATTCCATCCTGTGGCTCTCTCCCCCCATTTCCTGCTCTGTCTTCTGTCCTATCCTCTATGAATAAAGGTAATAACACCCCCCTCTCAAGAATATGTTGTTTACACAATCAGAATTTGTATGTTTAGTCTGAACAGAAGACAGACAGTGTCTTCAAATGTGCAGCTTATAGTATTTAGTGGTATTTAGCAGGACTTGGTAGAAATTGAGTATGATGTTGAAAAAAGACAAATGGAGGATCATACTTATCGAACACCACAGGAACCTTTTGCCCTCGAAGGCCACTGTTACTTCACCAACAAGAGGGGTGAGCAGGGGAGCATTGTAGCCCTTTAATGCCTGACACCACAAATTATGGCCAGAAAATTCAATTTTTTTGAAGCCAAAATGTTTATTTCACTTACTAATGAAAACCAAAAAAGTCTAAATGTCCTTAAAATTTAACAAATATGTTTATTTGTCTCGTTTGATACATTAGATGTTTTTGGAAACTGATAAACTTCAAAGACATTTTTATCATTTATCGGGCTGTATTCAGGTGTTTTTTTCAGTAATTTGTTGATCATATTGACTTGATACAGGTATATAAAAGTATGTATCAAATATGATACAAAAGGCATTAATCCGTAATCTGATTTCTAAATGTAGCTAAATATTCCAATTTCTTAAAACTGTATCTGTAATTGAAAAGCAATGATGCCTTTGTCAGAGGAATTAAGGTCTAAGACTGGTGGAATCAAAGTTACCTTTGTTCATGATGGTCTTTACTATCACAATTGGAAAAACAAACTCCTCCAAGATTTCAGGATTGCATTCAACTATTTGCTTCACTGCAGGTCACAACACTCAGTGGTACAAGCCTGATAGAGGGTGGACAACGGACAACCTCAACATTTAAGAAAGAGTAATATTGCTTGTATTTAAAAGCTGAGCCATCTGAGCGAATACCATTCTAATTTCAGGATTTGGTAACACCACAATTACTATCCAACATGTAATGAAAAATACACACATTCTCTTTCAAACTAGAGTTTCTGTTTTAAGTTTGAAAGTAAAATTGTTGTTTTATGTTTTTATGTTATTATGCACTTTGTGTCAGCTTTGGTTGTATTTAAAGTGCTCTATAAATAAAGTTGAGTTGAGCTGAGTAAAGTAGATTTATGAGATAAGACTACAAATTTTACTGGGTTAATATTCAAACCGTAATTTACCTTCATGTCCCTCCATCGCTTAATATCTGTTTTGTGATGAGACACAAGCATGTCACCTCATTATCTCCTTCCAAGACAGGATAATATCAATGTCTTTTTTCAGCTGATCAGTTATTTTTGATCATAATCACAATCACAGTTTTTATTTAGCACGGCAGAGTAACATTTTTTATTTCTATCTCCACCTCTGAGAATTTAAGAAACCTTCATATTTTTTGAAAGCATCCACAAACTTACTCCACTAGGTTGTTTTGAAAAAAACGAATTATACAAGGTGAGATAGAAATCAGTGCACAGCCTGTTAGTGGCTGCCTTGTTGTGTCACCCGTTTCCACAGCATCAACCCCACAGCCATTTCCTGCCGGTCTGGGAGACGAAGGCACACCACCACCACCACCATCACAATGACCTTTCCACAAGCCCGGGGAGCACGCAATGCAGAGGAGAGGCAATAAAAGTAATGAAAGAAGCAAAGGCAATTAAAGTGGTGTGTGTGAGGAGAGCGTGGCGGAGATGAGCCTAACTGGAGGCGGCCCTGGAATGCACTACAGCTCCATATCCCCCATAATCCCTGTGTGATCGCAGAGCAACCCTGGTGTGCTCCCAGTCTGATCATCCTCTTGCAGCATTCACCACCTAATCCGTGCAAAAGGACAGCCATGCACATACACTGTAAACACACACAAGCCCACATATACACACATGTGCATGTGTATGAATGTCAGGCAGGGATACATGCATCTATGAACACACTAAAGGGGCAATTATTGGCTGCACACAATATGTACGACAAAGTGAAGAAACTACTAAAAATAAATTATATATACACCAAACACAAATATATTCAAGCACAAATACACACACTTGCTCACACACACATTTAGTTTGAGAAAATGAGTTGCTGTCCTCCCGCCCTCTGCAGTGCAGCGCTTCCTCGCGGCCAGAGAGGATCATTAATACCCTTCCTCTGATGCAGCCACACAACCAACAGCAATTATTTTTAAAAGCAAAAAGTGAAAACAGACAGTGAAAGCACAAATATACACGGCACATAATCATTATTTTTTTGTTAGGCTGGCTGTGTGTGGGGGTTGAGGAGGTGGCATTGGCTTGGACTTCATTTTCTCCGGCGGAGTTTACTGACCGCAAAATGACAAGGATGCTTTCCCTAAACCAATTAAGAGGCTGCAGTGCTGCTGTTACCATGTGACATTGACAGCACTTAAGGAGGCTGACGCCAGGCCTTAGAGATGAGCCAGAGATGAGCTCTTGGCCGAGGAGTCATCACACAAAAAGGGGAAATGTGTGTGTATACAATCAGCATTGTAACAATCACACACATCAATAAGAGGAAATAGACTGCAATGCTACGAGAGAGAGAGTTACAATATGTACACAAGGAACTCCTGCACAAAACAAATGTATAACTAGCAAATTAGTAAAACATGAAGTCTGCAGTTTGAGGTCTAAGAGAGGCTGATGTGAGAAAGAAATAGCAAGAATTTCGGAAAGTATTAAATCCAACTGCAGACCCAAGTCTTGAGTCTGAAAAAAGACCTCATTATCTAATCAGCTTTGGAAATACACAGAAAAGGGCAAAGCTACGAGTTTTCCCTTTTCTTGACAACAGAATATGATCTTGCCTGTAGTGTTCAATTAGCGAACAGCGCGACCTCGGGAGGTTACAACTTTTCTTGAGAAGAGGCTGCGTGGTCCGCACTAATGACCACAATGCTCTGTGAAGGAGCCAACACCGTGCCCCGTCTCTGCGCTGGCTATCTCAAACTAAAATCCACTGTTGCAAAAGGAGATGAGACTCATTTTCCTTCCGATTATAGAGCCCTCACATCTTAGAGGTGCTTGGGGCTTGTAAGGCAGCAGCTGGTCAAAGTGCTGCTTAAAGAGGGAAGAGCTAGTGGGTAACTGGGCCCAATCACGATTCCACTGAGGTCCTGGCTGCTTCCAGCGTGAACATCTCTCCGTTTGTCCTTTGTTGCTGGCCTTCACTGTGTCAGCTGAAACTCTCTCCTGGTGCACAAGGGACCCATCACAGAAGATTTGGCAACTTACGATCACAACCAAACACACATGGTAAAGTGAAATGCACAAATTCAGTAGAGGTTTTAATGAGTATCAGGAATAAAACATGATTTTCCGCTGACAATACATTGGTTCTTCATACTGTGTTTGGAAGATGAGAAGCAAGATCTCTTAATGCTTCATCAGGTCATTGACAAATTAGATGAGACCAAAATTATGTGTATCCTTTAACTAACAGAGAGACATGGTTGCAGACTAGCAAACAGAGATGAAGGCAAGATATTCTATATTTACTCTTGAGATCATTTATTCCTGATTTTAGGGATTATAGAGCTAAGTTACAGTTATTGAAAGCTATGAATATGTTGCTTTTGATGGGGCCCAGAATTACCAGCGATGCCCCTGATGAGGTTTATAAATATGTCACAGACCCCTCACCTTCTCCACATGAGATGTTCTTGATACAGAGTTTCTAGATATTTTTGGGGAAGGGTATTGTGGTGGAGTCAAAGTGCTGAGGACTATTCGACATGAAGGAACTCAAAATATGACAGTTTTACTCATTTGCTCAACATTACAGACGGATCCGCACACGGACAGTGCTCTCCATCTGTGCTTCTGGTTCTTTTCGTCCGTGTTTCTGCACATATCCTTGAAGTCTACGGATACGGGCCAGACGTTGCAGTACCACTGGAAACCATGGGGGCAGTATTGCTGCTGTCACTACCTGATACGCATCTCTAGAGAGAAAGGAAGACGATAATGGCGGGGCTTTTTGAGTATCGTTGTCAATCTCTCTCATCGGTTCTACTAGAGAAAAGAATTCTCCGTCCCCCAACTGCCAGGCATTTAGTGGCCTGACTGACCACCGTCTCCTCCAATGCCGCCTCCATCTCTGTCTCCTATGCAAAATATACATTATCACTAGCTCCTCCACAGTCGCCATGTTTGGATGTAATGGTTAACATCTATGCCAACGTAAAGGACGCATGGAAGTATGTGGGCAGTGACGGAACCATCGTTTGAAACGGACGTGTACATTTTCATACGTATGGCGAGCATAAATGAGCCTTTAGTCCCACCTAAACCTCTCTCTGGTACGAGGCAGCTAAAGAAATTGAGTCAATTGAGTCCTTCCTTTCTTGAACATGCCATGTACACTGTACTTTTTTGGATCTATATTATTCAGACAAGTATGGTTGAATTGATGCCAAAGATAAAAAAAAAAGCCAAGGAAGAGTCAAAAGAATGACTATCACCCTTTTTGGAAGTGAAAATAAGCTTTAAACTGTCATGGCCTCTGAAAAGCAGTCTGCAGCTCCATCATACACTCCTGAAGAGCGCTTACAGTCCTACACTAGCTCCATAGAGAGAGATAATGGGCGGCTGTCAGTTCCGCCCCTCTGTCCTCATCTCCTCTAATCAGCTCCCCCATCTCACGGAGCTGCATGGTTGTTTCACGTGGGACTAAGTTTGACTGTCACGTTCCATCTTAGCTCTTTGGAGGAGATTTAAAGCACATAGGTGGGCAGATGAAAGATACCTCTTATATGCATGAAAGAGATCAAATTGGGATTAAGGAGATTAATTTCAGATGGTAATTGAGGAGGAAACTTTTTCATCAGATTTATCTAACTTTCTAAAAGATGTAAAATGTGGTGTGATTTAATTTGCTAACAGATGAATGGTTGGTAAATTGCTGTGCTTCAGGCTTGTGTCCCTTTGGTTAGGGTAGAATCGTACATCGTCAAATTTCATGACTTGTGAAGATCTGACTCATTTCTCTTGGCTTCCTCTGGGGTTAAAGAATAATTACTAGTTTTGAAACACAAATTCAGACTGAAACTAATTCAATTTGTGAGCATGGCTGCAGGGTGACTCTGAGTGGTGTATAAACGTTGTAGCCAGGCTTCAATCAGAAGGAAGGTAAGGGAGGGAACAAACCTCCTTCAGAGACGACAAGATGACCTTGGAAATCACAGTGCAGACGCTCATATGGGAGTTCAAATTAAAACAATGCTCCTTTTACAGTCTGGTGCTGCTCGGAGTCCTAGAAATCAGCAGATAAACACAGATGTGTGAATATTTCCATTTGTTTCTTTCTTTCTTTCCATGTGAGAACAAGTCGTAAATAAAAATCACTAATCCCCAAACATCAAACAAACAGTATAGCTACAGAAAAGGTTAATGATGAAACTTTTTTAGTGGAATTCCTGCTCAGTGCACCACAAAACAGACACTGTATGAAAGTTTGATCATTTGCGAACAGCAGAGTTACTGGACTAAAGTTAAAAGATTTCTAGCCTTTCTTGAACAATCTTTTGACCTAGCTGTGAACAGAGTCAAAACTTGTCTGAGCTTATTCTTTGTCCACTTGGTATTGAATTTCTCTCTGACATGTTGATCCTACTGCCCCACTTTTTCATGCTACAGAAGACGGGCCTTGGTTTGATCCTGGAGTCGTCACACAGGCCACAGGCACCATCATTTGCGGAAAGTTCTCATTAAAAATACTTCACAAAACCATGAGAGCCAGTGGAAAATCTAACATATCTAACCTGTGCATGCTTAAATTTAATGCATTTGAATCACATAGGGGCCAGGGCATTAGCAGTATTCAAATGATTTCTGTTATGCTCGTGTCGTTTGCTATGTTGCTGAGAATTTACCAAGAGTGAGTCAATTCTTTGGCTCAAAAGCCAATACTGCCCCGATTAAGTGAACTGAAGATGAAAAGATTTAAATCCTGATAAGATTCAGGCAGATAAAACATGCACATTGAACCAACGTTGTGTTTACAGAGCAGTACACTGAGACACTTACTTCAATCAATATATTGATGTTTTGTAATAGGCTCTAAATGACTCAGGTTAGAGACTGCTGTGCAGCAAACCTTCTGAATGTTTTCTGCTACTCCGTTCAGCACAAATTTAAAACACCAGCTGAGATGGCCGAGAAAATTGACACTGATTCCAACAGACCGCCATATATATAAGACATCATTTTCCTGTTCATCAAGCTAATACATACAAGAAGTTTGTAGGTTTGTTATCATTTTGACCCTTTCAAAGGTGCCTTTAAAGAAAAACACAAACAAGTTTCGGCTCACAAGCTGACAGTCTATTAAAAGGATGTATTTGAGTCCTAATCGCTGTGAAAGAACTTGCTATCTGTCAACTCCTTTTAAGTCAACATCCCTGCTTTCCCTCTGCTTCACTTCAGGCTGAGTGAAAAAACAGATGCAATGATATATGTTTTCTCAATCTTGGAATCCCTTATTCACCGTACTGTTATTCCTTTAATTATTTATTATTCCTACACAGATCCCTCTTGAGTTTACGACTGATAGTCAACCAAAATTCTGACACTTCTGGCAGGAGGTTATTGAAAGGCAACATTTAAGGCTGATATTTGGACCCAGATGTAAAACTGAAACTCCATATTAGTCCATTCTGTATAAGTCATGTCGTGGGTTAGCTCTGCAAGGCCATGCAGGGAAACTATGACTACAACACAACTGTCAGAGCCGACAGTATGATGGAGACAAAGCAGCAGTGGGTGAGCTGTGTGGTGGTTGGCCCTAAAGAGCAGCAGACCCCCATGTAACTATCACTTCCCATATCATCTGCAGTAAGTGTGAAATTTCCACACTAGAGCTCTGCATGCAGTCCCCACTGAAGGTAATGTAGCAGGCTTGTTACAAATGGTTATTTAGCTTATATTAGAAGGTACCGCGAGGAATGATCTGGGTATTTTTTGCCTGTACCTATTACTGACTCAGTATCAAAACATATGACCCAAAGAATGAAAACTGAATCAAACAATGATTTTCATAACAAAACCCTGCTCTAGTGACTTAAACAGGTGAGTTCTCAATGTCTGTTTCAACTATCACAAATGATATCACAACTTCCCTTTAAAATGCCAACATCAACTTTATTCCTTTTATTAATCTGTCTCCTCATTGATTGTTTCTTCTGTTTAGATAAGTTCTTCCACATTAAAAGTTTGTGTGGAAATAAATCAATAGACAGCGTTTGTTTGCATGTGCTCAGGATTCAGTTTGACCAAGCAAGCTTTAACATTTAATGAGAGGATGTTAAGTAACTCTGCCTGCGCAGTGTTGTTTTGTACTGCAGGTTGTTTTGTAATGGTGACGTGTCACTGAAGCAGAAGTGATAGAACTTGAATCAGAGTGTGTGTTTGTGTGTCTGTGTGTGAATGTGCTGAACAGGGCCTATTTACTGCTAGGTGAAGCAACTAATTAAATATAAGAGGGCAAGCAAGCTCAGTCCCTTTCCTCTCTCCAACATTAACCAGGACCAAATCCATGGGTCAGAGCCCTCACAAACTCACGGGCTAAAATGTTATGGAAAAGTAAAAGAACATAACAAGGGGAAAGTTTGGCTGGATGGAAGAAGACATTTTACACAGAGTGGGTCTGCATATTTTGAGTGAAAATATGCACAGGATAGAGATCCCAGATCTCTGTCTTGTTCTCTTGAAGATCGCCAAGGATTGCAGAGGATTGCCAAGGATCATAGTAAAAACCCCTATACCTAACGTAACCCCAACACTGATTTTTTTTTGACATTTTTCCTAATTTTATTTTTATGTACCTATCGATTCCAAGTGGTCTGAAACTTGCTCCTAAATAGGTCTTGGACAGTGATTGTAACTCTAACCCCTAACCCTTAACACTTAAAAAAAAAACTGTGTCCGATCTTGCTATAGAGCAGTGGTTCTCAACTGGTGGGTCCCGACCCAAAAGTGGGTTGCGGACACGTTCTGGATGGGTCACGAACAGCTGGTCAAAAAAAAGTAAATATTTAATGCAATATTTATTAGATTTTTGATATTTTCTGTAGATGCAACTTCAGTAGTTGTCGTCCTCATGCTGTCCCCTTCATGTGCTCTGAAATGCACTTTACTCAATAAAACAAGTGGATTTATGTTAAAGATTAGAGTCTTTCAAGGTTTCTTTTTATAAAAAATCAATTTGCTTGGTTTGAATTCTATGAAAGTGGACCATGGGAAAATATGGGTCCCAGAGTGAGACCAGTTGAGAACCACTGCTATAGAGGGTATAGGGGAAACCTCATTTTGGTACCAGTGTACTCAGGGCACATGAAACAGGGTGATTTGGTCTTGGTCCCAGATCTCTATCTTGTTCCCTTATGGATCGCAGAAGATTGGAGTTAAAACCCCTGTACCTAAAATAACCCTAACACTTCCCCAACACTGCCCCACAGGGCGCTAGTTTAGACCTAGTCTTAATTCTGTTATTATTATATTGATTCTCAAAATTATTGTTATTGTCCGTTTAAATAGTTCATATCACTTAAGAGCTTGTGTTGTGTCCATAGTTGAGTTGTTAAAGCTCCAGTGTGGAACTTTTGGGGTGTGTCAACTTTGCCGTCCCCCATGGACAAAGCGAACTAGTATCCATAGAAACAGTGAAGTCTTTATAACAGACTGTTGCCATGCTGTATTGGCCAATTAGAATCAAGTTTCAGAGATATGCAATAATTGATGTGAAGCACAACATTTAGGCATCCTATTAGTCAAAAGGATGCATGCTAAGTAAAAAGCACCTCTTGTTTAGCTAAAATAACTGTTCTTATTCAGTGTTAGTATTCAGCCTTTAAGATATGTTTATTGTCAGGTTATAAATGCTTATGATGAGATAACGATTAAGTTGTAGTTCGAAGAGCAGCCCTGTCTCTGAGCTTTTCCTGAAAGCCCCTCTCACTACCCTCAGTTTCACCACTAGACTACCTGTGACTTGCCGAGCAGATCTGGAGGAGGATGTACGAGGACGTTTAGAGAGTGCTTTCATCACAATGTGCTATGTCACCCGCACTCTGACTGTCAGGAGCTACTGGTGATGAGGGATACTGTGGGAAAAGCCTAAAGCCTTTCCAATGCTCACCTCCCTCTTCCATTGACGAGTGAGGTGCTGTAGCAGCTAATCGATGGCTTGTGAATTCCCTGTGCACCCCCCTCGCTAGGCTGATCAATATTCCTGGCAATTAGAATCCCCTATCTGCATGGCTGTAGGGACCTTGGGGTGGCTTGCCAGCCCACAAACACCCAATTTAGTCCTCAGCCTATCACTTAATTACTAAATCCTCCCTAATGCCTATTGGCAGGTGGCGAGCGTACTCACAGCAGCCCAGTGGTTGAGTGAACATGAGACCTTTGGCAAGGTTCTGGTTAAGATGCTCCCATCCCACTTCAGCAGGCCAGTTAAACATCTGATTTCACACAAGGGCCCGACCTGAAATGATCCGCCTATTGAGCGCCCACCCCACACACAGCCCAGATGGATGGTGGGGAAAAAGAGGGATATGGATAGAGATAAAAGTCCCATGAAGGTACACAGTTAGAGTGCTTCTTTATTACTCTGAATACCATAAAATAAAAGACACATGTTTATACGGTTGAACCTTAGGCTCAGAAACTCCACCTCTTTTTTTAAATACTACCACATATTTTGATTCTTTTTAAGTGCATTTTTAAGTTGGTATCCTGTGTAGATAAGAAATGTGAATCACACAAAAGGCCCAGGGTTGTGAGTTGATGGACAATATCCATGCAGGTGAGAGGCTTCGGCAGCTGCCTCATCACACACTCTGACTGTCTCACGTAATATATTAAAGCCAGCACTGGAGGCTAGCTGACCTGACACGAAAGCCTGTCACTGTCACTCCGCTCTCCCCGGCTTACACGATTTCACTCAGTGTTTCGATGTCTTCCCATTTTGCAAGTTTGTAATTTCAATACCTTCTCCTAATAGACCAGAGAGATGGACAAAAAGCTGACAGAAGAACGAAAAAACAAATATACCCAACATCCTTTTCCTTTCTGTGACAGTGACAGTGAAGAGTGAGAGCAGCAGTAGAGCCAATGGATGGATGTCCTGCGTAAGTTAGAAGCTGCACCCTAAGACAAGCTGCACGACAACACGTGTTTACATGACACTCAAGAAAACCGAATTATTGCCTTACTCCGATTAGGACAACTGAAGTGCATGTAAACACCTTTGCCACCTTAGACTATAATCAGAGTTTGAGAACTCCTTAGTCGGAGAACTCTGATTAGAGGGATATTCCAAAATCAATCTAAAATTAATTTAGGGTTAAACACACCATAACACAGAGTTAGACACACCCTTGAGAGATGAATGTTGCCGACCGCTTGCTTCTCTAGTTATACCAACTTTAGTAACGACCGCACGATAGCAATACACAGCGGTCTGAGGAGCCACAAACAAACCTCAACCATAATGCCTCCTACAGCCACAAATAACGTCAGAACAGCACCTAACTTCATCAACATTGCTGTTCTTCCTTGAGCTGCGTCACCCCGCAGCAGTCCGTAACGGACTGGCCGGAGGTCTCGCGTCAAATAAGCAGCTGCTGGAAGAGAGTAGGTGAGTTGTGTTCAGTCTCTTTGCTAAAGAAATTAGGCAAAATTAAAAAGATGTACTGCTATGTACTGTTGACACTATCATTCAAATAACTTTCGACCCAGAAGCAACTGCAACATGGCTAAAGCCCGAAAGAATATCCACTTTTGGAATGACGAGGAGAGTGGCGTTATGCTTTCCCACCTGAAAGAAATTGACAATTTAAAGTATATGGATGGTCGCAAAACGAAGAACAGAGACATCTTAAAAAAAGGTCCGGAAACAGCGCCACTGAAAAGACCCATATCGCCCCCTAGTTTTGAGGAGGAAGACAGGCTCACGTCAATAATTCGTTTTTCTCAGCTGCATGTATACGCAGGCAGAGAGAGAAGTCAGATTCCACGAACAAAACGAATTCTGAGCTTAGTCCGATTAAACGCACTGACTCTCAATCAGGTTGAGAGACAGACTGCACTGTTTTGTTCACTCTCAGTCGTGCAGTGATCATCTTGAGCTCTTTTCCACCCTACAGTGGTCCATCCTCTGTCTGTGTTGCTCTAAACTTATAGGACGTTGTGTGTGTATCTGTAACTGTAACTGTAAGGTGAGCATACGCTGTAGCTAGTACCTGCTTCCTCTCACTGGTTTGGCTGTGAGGGGGCTTACAGGTCCTGCTCTGGTGTGGTGACCCTATGCCCCAGAGCTGTTAGCTCCTTCTGGCTTCACTGGCCCCTACAAAAGACCTCCGCCTGCAGCCCACCCCCTGCCTCCTCAAAGTGTGCTGCCTGTAGATAACTAAAGCACTCAGTCAGGACCTTGTATCACCCTCACAGTTTTAAACCATAGGTGAATAAAAAGTATAATTTGATGAAATATACTGTATATTGTATTTTTTTTGTAGAGGCCAGTCTATTATTCAGAAAGCAATATGTCCAGACATCTTCACTCAGCAAACTCACCTCTACACCATGCATACTCAACTCCTTGAAGCCTTGGGCACTCTGCTCCAGGGCCTGGGGGAGAAGGGGCGAAGCACACACATTCACTTGCACCCACACGCAAACACACAGGGCTGTCACCTCTCTGTCACACACCCATGGAAATGGCCTGAGGTGAAGTAAGGAAAGGTGCCCTGAGCTTTAAAAATCCTTTTGAAGGACAGAGCAGAGGAGCACCTGCCTTCCTCAGCCCCGAGCTATCTCAACACCTGCTGCACTGCACTCAGTCTGCTGCCTGGCCCTAATTTGGTATTTCCACAAAGATGACATATGTATCAGGCAGAGCAGGAAATGTCCTGGGTCAGGAGAGAACAGCTTTCTGACAGGTGTCACCTTCAATCTGCACAGGCCTGCCTCTGATGTGTTAACTATTCAATTAACCAGCACATTGCACGGTGTGGGTGCCAACACCTAATTACCTCTGAGACCTTGCCTGTGAATGGAGTGAAATATGTGTATGCGCATCTGTAGATGGCAGGTCACACATCATGTTACTGTTAAGGGTTCTTCTCACTCTGAACCATCTTGGCATTCAAATGCGCGGTTATAAGTACGTGTATGTGCGAGACAGAGGGGGAGCAAGGTGTTCTCTTCTATCCTCAGTCACCTCTCTCCTCATTTCCAACTTCATACTGCAAGAAACGTGCTTTGTTTTGAGTAAAATATGAGTGCAACTGCAAACACTGAACGGACAGAAAAACTGTGTAATTTAGCCATGTTTGAAAATGACTTCTGCCATGTGGCCTCTTCATCTCACACCATTAAAATAACGATGTGTCACTGAGCTCTGCTTCTATGGCTCCGATGTTGACACCCATCAAGACAAATCTATATTTCATGGCCTCTTACAAATGTATAAATAGCCAAATGAGGTGTGCTAACCATCTATAAAGAAGCACTAAAAGGTTGCCAGGAGATGGCGAGTGTCATGAGCCAGTTGTGCCGGCCATCAATCTGGGGAGAGAAGAGAGGAAAGGGGAGAAGAGCAGTAGAGAGGAGTGGGCTGCGTTGCGTGGGTAAGAGGCGAGGCACAACGCGGCGCAACAAGCAGGGCAGTAAATCACATCTACACGGCACACTCGCCACTGACACGCAGCCACTTCAAGTGACACGGGGCTTGCTCGACAGCCTGATGGATCACCACACTACACTCCATTAAAGGCAAACGGGCACGACAAGCACTGACATAACAAACAATTAGTCACTGCTGTGGGTATGGACTTAACATGCCGAGAGCCTGCCTGGTGATGGGCACTCACCTCCTTACCAGGGCACTGAGTTACTGTTGCTTGGTATGAAAAGGATGTGTAATGCTTTGGCAGCTCTAGTCTGTATAATCATCAAATGTATCCAGTCAATACCTGATCAGGCCTTCAATGGGTGACTCTACGACCAATATAGAGCCTGTTTTATGTGTTAGGATCACTATCAACTGTACACCAAAGTAAACTCTATCTTGGTACTTTACTCATCAGAGTAATCACAAACTTTACCTATTTGATAGTCAGCTCTTTCCATGATACGTCCCTGAGTAAAACTATGAAAGACTCACACGTTATTCTACTTCTTTGTTTCCTGCATGATCTAAAGAAATAAGGAACCTCACCGTATTACACTTGGAACAGCACAGCTTGTTTGGAGGCATGGATGTAAGATTCACACGGATTATCCTTGATCTTCACTGCATGCTCCTTTCTCTCCACAAAATCCCACAACCAGAAAAATTTTTTTGTGAATATTTCAAAGCTGATTCTCATTTTGAACATGTTTTAATTGTTGGCATGGCACCAGCTTTGTGCCTTGTCAATTCTTCTTTGTTCTTTTTTTTTCTCTTCTGCAAGTTGATTAACACGTTTGATAGTGTTTTGAGCAGTCACTTGAATCTTTTAACAACTTTTCATTCTTTTTGTTCATACTTAACCAAGTACACAAGTGGAATTTAGAGTAGACCCTAAATTTCCATTACACAGGCAAACACTATTGGCCTTTGAGCTGGAAATGAACGAACACCACTTATTTTTCAAACAAGAAGAAAAAGTTACCATCTGTTAAGGTTGTTAGAGTGATCAAAAAGTATTCAGAGATATTTCATTCAGCTTTAAATAGCAAGATGTTAACTTGATGTTACCTAGTGACCTCTCTTAAGATTATCAAACATGCTCTTCATTCTTCATTGTGCATCAAAACACGCCGTCTCAGGCTTCTTTGCACAAATAAGACTTAAGTTCTGGTTCATATGATCACAACCAGTATACTAACAAGGGTAAATACAGAGGACACAAAGAAGTATACACTAGATAGGGTTTAACTCACACTGGATAAAACTGTTTAAAGGGATATTCCGGTGTAAATTTAAGTTATTGTCAAACACACCGTAACACTGAGTTAGACAACCCCTCGAGAGATGAATGTTACCGACTGCTTGCTTCTCTAGTTATTCCAACTATAGTAACGACCGCACAATAGCAATACACAGCGGTCTACGTCTCCACGTGCAAACCTCAACCAAAAAGCCACTCTACAGCCACAAATAATGCTCAGAACAGCACCTAACTTCATCAGCAGTACATATAGGGTCCCAGCCATAGTACTAGCCATTAAACATCTTTTTGGCCCTGCCTGATTTCTTAACCCACTCACCCACTCTCCTCCAGCAGCCGTTTGTTTGTGGGAGGAGCCCTGACGAGTTGATCACTGAGTGCAGTGGAGTTTCGCAGCTCAAGGAAGAACATTTATGATAATTACTTCATGGAAATGCAATCAGACCAAGAAGCTAAGGAGCAAATGATTATTATGATGATTATTACTTTATGGAAATGATCTGGTGTTTCTGTGTGTTTGACCATAACTTAAATTTATGCTGGAATATCCCTTTAACTGTGTATAGAACTATGTATACTGTATGTGTGTGATAAAGAGTTTCAGTGTTGCTAATGGAGGTCTGTCATAAGAGGGAAACATACAGTACTTTGGGTTCATACACAGTGAGCTGGGTTTGGATGAGAGGGGACTGAACACTCTGGGATTTGTTGTGTCTGTTTATCATGCTCATGACCGACAAGAAAATGAGTGTGAAAGAAAGCAGCGCCACACTTCAGTCACAGATGGAGGTGAGCTCCCCCTATCAGACCTTTAGCCACCCTAACTTCTTCACTTCTGGTCTCCATTGGGCTCCAACACCCATTACTCATCACAAGCACACCTCTCCCTCAGCATGACTTTCCACTTCAGTCTATCAGTTCTCTGACATGATCTCTCCTCTTTGTCTTTCCACACACTCATGCCTGTGTATGTGCACAAACTCTTCAACCACCAACAAACACACAGATCTGTGCATATGTATCCGGGAGCTGTGCACATTCAGACGTGCACACACAAAGAGATGGTTTGCTCTCTCTAATACACAATTATACACAAGCACCAATATAAATGCTGTTTTGCCACTTTTAAAAAACATCAATTCATCCTTTCCACTTACTGAACCATGTAGTTCAAGAGCTTCAAGGGCTTTTTGCAACAACAAATCTCCTTCCTGAATGTACAGTATCTCCCTGCTTCTGAAGGATTTTCTATTGCAAGGCGAGATAGCCGCTGCTCTTTTTACTGTCCAGCATTTTCTCACTGTTCCCGACTGTATTGCTGCTTTGGCTGACTGTGATCGATCAGAATCAGCTGAAGCACTTAGTGAGGTTGTTTTTCCGATAAACTCTGTCTGTCTGTAAAAGAGGCAGATCACATGCCATTGTGTCTGTTTTTCTTTATATGACCAGTACTGTAAACAGACTGGAGTTAAAGGCATTGTGATGTAAGGATAAATAATAGTTTGTGTATTGAGTTTGACAACAACAGCCACAATTGCAAAACCCTGACCATTTTATTCCTTTATGTTAACCTCCTTTCTTTTTCTACCCCTTATAACCATGTTTCTTTACATAGTCATCTGCTTTCTTGTGCAACCAATACGCACACGGTGGACTAGAAAAATGGAGTCTACAGCAGTAGGAGATATGAGTGAAAGTAAAAAATAAATGGATGAATTAGTTCACAGAGCATAAAAAAAATTAACTGGATATTAGGGCTGGAAAGTCCTAACGGACTAGTCAACTTAATGGTCGGTATATGTTAAGTCGCTGTTTGAGCAGAGCGTCGTCACAGCGACTCTCGGTGACTCTCCCGCCGGATGCGTTCAATGCTACTGCATAAGTGGTGTAGTGGGTACAACGCTGCTGCGCAATGTTGGTTTCAGGAAATTGAGAAAGAACGTGAAATTACCTAGAGATTTTTGGCTTAAACTCAGTATACTGGCAGAAGGCAGAACCAAGTTGTCCATAGTGTGTACAGTCTATGGTAACAGCCTGTCTCAGAGCACCCTCCTTGTTTTGACCGTTTTGGATTTGCCCAACCCACGGGAGACCGACTGGAGACAGGAAGATTGAAGAGTGTCCTTGTCCCGAGCAATGTTCAGCCGGTTTTAGTCAACCAAGAATTTCTTTGGTTGATTACAGCCAAACTGGATATTAAACATGGAGATTTTGTGTTATGTTATGATTCAGACCAGACGCACACCGCTGACAAAGCCTCATATGGCTCTGGAGTCTTTTATAAAAACAGTTTAGCTGGTGTTGGCTATGCTAACACCCGCTCAGTTCCTCCCCTCTGCCTCCTGCTGGCTACTCTGCTCTGACAACAACAACCTGAGCTGAGCATCAGAGTTTGGGTTTTGCTCTCACATGTGTGTGTTTGTGTTGGGGAACTTGGTGGGATGGAGAAGCAGCACCAGTGGGGTTTCATAGACAGACAGATGTTTACCTACCATTTCCCTACAGCTCCGCTGGCACTTTAATGACACCAGCTCTGGTGTACATTAGATTATTAGACTCCAGAGTACAATATCCTAGACTGGATAATATTGTTTTTCCTCTGGCTGATGATGCATTACAAAAATAAGGAACGATGTTACAGATGTCTCTCAGGGTAAAAATAATAAATCACACAGACTTGTAACATGGTTGAGAAATGTGTGCCCACAAACACACCCACATCCACCAAACACTTTGGTGATTCATTTACTCTCTTTATTCCTACTGAGCGGCAAGCTGGGAGACAGGAAATGAGTCGGAGAAATGGGGAAAAAAGCGATTAGTTTGCATTTAACTTGCAAACATCATTAAAGCCTGGGTACTAATTGTGTTGTTTTAAACGAGTGAAATCTGATAATGACTTCATTAGTGACTCGGTGTAATGATGACTCCTAGGGTTTGGAGAAGAGGAGAATAAATACAGAGAAGAAAAGTGTGTGTGTATGTGTGTTTGTAAAAGGACAGAGAAGAACAAACACATTAAGGCTGTCTGTTGGATTAGCTCGAGATACACACACCCACAAAAACACACACACAGAGAAAGAAGAAAATGATAAACGCAGAAAAGACAGCACCAAAGGCTGAACAGAGTAAATAGAATAATAACAGGAGGAGAGACATGGCTAAAGAGGTGTGTATCCATTTCTAAACGCCAGTGTTTGTGTGTGTGTGTGTGTGTGTGTGTGTGTGTGTGTGTGTGTGTGTCTCTAATGCAGAAGGGGACTGCTTGAGAAGGAAAGAGGTCTAATCTATAATACGGCAGCTCGCTGCATGGCTGCATACATTACTGCATACATTACTGCATCAATCAGTGCTAAGCTGCAGTGTAATTTTCTAACTCCCAATTTCTCTCCCTACCCCATCACACAGACAACACCCCATGGCTATTTCTGATGAGATTCAGAGCCGGGGAGAGGGAATGAAACTGAGGAGGGGGGAAGGGTGTTTATGGAGCAACCTACCTTCCTCTCTCTCCTCCTTTTCCTTTCCTCTCCACCTATCCATCCTGCACCCTGATTAATTTCCCACTAGATTGCTTGGCCAGCAGTATTATTAGCATAAAATTTCCATGGATCAAGCCCGGCTATGAAACACTTTCATCAAGCTGCTTGTCAAACACAAAATTTCAAATCTCATTTTGTTTCTAATATCATTTTCATAGTAGGGGAGTGATGGGAAAAGGTATGAGGGGCTGCAATGTGGAGAGAGAGGGTGGCTGTGGATGAGGTGTTGGGGGGTATCAGAGGATTGTTATTCCAGAGATAAACGGAGTCATCAATCAAAATTAAAAAGAGCGCAAGAAATGAGATTCAGTGCTAGAAGGCGCGAGAGTGTACGCATGCGTCCCTGTGTTACACACCAAACAGACAAGGTCAGTGTTAGGTGAATGGACAGACAAAAATCTGGAGGCTTGATCCCAACACTTAAATGAAACATAACGAGTGAGGCCAGCTTATGGCCCATTAAGTCTGCAGCACTTCCACACATCCTCATCTATCACTCTGCGTGGCACAACACCTTCATAAACTCATAAAGTGCCTGTCAACGTGATACTGTTTGACAGCCAGCACAATAAATAATTCTAACCATTGCTCTGATTACAAAATCTGGAGGTAGCGCCTCCCCCAGAGCAGCACACTGTACCATTAATTATGAAAAATAAGGAAGAAGAGCAACAGGGGGTTTATTTTAATAAGGATCAGAATCAATGAAATTTAATCAATCTGGGCTAATTAAAAAAAACTATATTGTGAAACAATCAAGGTGCATAAACAGGATTGCAATAAATTAACTGTGCCAAGAGAAGCCGGCTTTAATTAAATGATATAAATTGTCATTCATTGGCTGTGCACTGTTTGTTGACACCTTGAAGAAGAGAGCGTGACACGCCTGACCACCCTCAGGAGGTCGGCTCCTGTTGCATCTTAAACAGACCTCATTAGACTGAGAGCTCGTGGTAATTTGTCCACGCAAAACAGAAGACTACATGTGATTTATTCTTGTAAAGTTCATCACGTGGCTTCGTGTATGAAAAAAAAGGCTTTTCTGATGAACCCAGTGAGAGCCGCTCTTCGGTTAAACTCAGCTTTGTGAGCATCTGAGTGGACTGTTTTCATGAATCTGTCCAGAATACTTTCTGTTGTAAACCGTGTCTTCAACTGTCATCCAAAGCAGGCAGCTGTAAACATAGAAAATGTATTTATAAATGCATTACTCACTATCTCCTCAGTAGATAAACAAAGTTAGCAAAAATAAAATGACCACAGAAAAGTACTTAGCAGCTCACAGGCATAGTCTGTATACACTATGGACAACTTGGTTCCGCCTACTGCTAGTACATGGACTTGAAGCCAAAGAGCTCTTGGTATTCCTGGGTTTGTTCTCCACTTCCTGAAATCAACATTGCATGGTAGCGTTGTACATATTCGGCTGGAGAGTCACCGAGAGTCGCTGTGATGACGCTCAGCCCAAACAGCATATCCCCTCCGGTGAGCTACGCAATCTCCGTCAGCCCATAGGCTGTATCAAGTGTCGATCATAGAAAACATGAACCTCCTGATAACTTTTGAAAATGGAGCTGTACAGAAAAAAGAGGACTTGAGAACAAACCAGTCTTAACTACATGTCAACCTTGCAACCAGGGGGGAGGAAAATGTATATTCTATGTAATTAATTTCTTAAGTTTGTCCACGGCTCCATAGGGATTACTGGAGGAGGCGGGTTTTATGACCTATACTGCAGCCTGCCACCAGAGGGTGCTGTTCTCGGGGTGGCTTCACCCAGCGAGGAGGCAGACGGCGTCAATTCTGTATACAGTCTATGCTCACAGGTAACACGTGTCCCTGAAGATCTGGTAGAGACCAAATATGGAGCTAAACAATAAGGTTTGTTGTCTTCTTTTACAGATTAGCCGTAAAATTATGTCCTAACCCTAACCCTTAAATGCAGGTTCAATTCTACAGGAACTATAACCATATAATAATACGGGTACTTTTTGCAATGTTCTATTTACTGTTTACTTCAGACAGTGAAATATTTACTTTAAAACAATAAATGCTGGTGACTATTTTACCCTTCATTTACATTGAGTCATTTTCTGGTGTGGTATAAAAGTTGACCTTCTGACATGTGCAATAAAAGTCTCCATATTTGAGTTTTCCTGGATATGCGAACTGTACCTTTCTATCCAAAGCTGCTGTCTCTCCTCCAACCAGTCAGGAGATTCTTCACTTCTGTTTGCAGGATCAGCACGCACAGCCTCAGTGTAGACTCCATCACCGCTACCTATACATGCAAACACAGAGACACGCAAAAGTGTGAAAATAAGCAGGTGATAAATTATCAGAGATGCTCGTGAATGTATATAAACCCGCAAACCTTGTTTTCCGTTTACGTTTATAATGCTAATTGGAGTTCTATGTCCCTGAGCAGTTTGTGACATGAGGCCAAAGTTGGCGCCACAGAGACACAAACTGGAACGCACGCTTGGCCACACACACAAACACTCATAGAAAGTTCAGTGAATTGTTATCACTTATCAGGAATAATTGCTGCATGTTTGTGCAAGTGTGAAATTGAACAAAATCCCACTCCATATAATTAAAGAAAACACAGTGAGCACACAATAACACAGAGGGGCAAGGAGAGCGTGAAGACAGGGATACAACCAGAGGCAACTGCGGCTTATTATGTTCACTCTCTATCTGAACCCTTTGCCTCGGGTCCAACCTGTAGAGTCCTGTCTAGATGTTCAGAAAATTTGATTTACCCACCTATCGCTGTATATTACCTCAGCTCAGTTCTCTGACCAAGATAAATTCTGGGTTTCTCAAGAAAAGGAAAAACTCCGAACGGGCCTCATCTCTATTTTTCCCTCCATGCTCCTTCCACCTTTATGCTCCTACTCACTTGTTTCCCCTCCTGTCTTTCTTTTCCTGTCAGCTGACCCATCTACCCAGATAAAAATGACATCCGTTGGTGAGTCTAAAGGAACACCGCATAAAGCAATTACTAACAAGATGTGCCACCCCCTCCTTTCCCTTTGTGTAGGGAGCGGATAGAGTGGGGCCAAGTGCCCTTCAGCAAAAATGAATTTTCCAATTTCAGTTAGTTCTTCCATGAATAAATAAACAAATGAATAATTGAAAGGAGCAACATAAATAAATAACATCACAAACATTTCGCCGGTACTCATAAGTATTCTACAGATAACTCAGGCTGCATGCTAATGATAAAAACAGTACATGTAGCAGGTTGAGATGCATTATTCACTGCTCTGCGCTAACAAAAATTAAATAAATAAAAATCTCACAAGGAACTCAAAACATCCTCTCAGCATTGAAGTGACAGGCCTGTCCCATTTATAACACACAAGGACACTGTGGAAAACAAATAAGTGACCAGCTAGGGAGATGCAAGAGGGAATAAATAAACCAGCAAGGAGCTGGCAGCCATTGACAGGATCTCCAAAATTTCAGCAAGTTGTTAGGAGGAGAGACAAATACTTTAAGGTCTATGAGGGAAAAGTGTTCACGAGCCCTGCAAGAAGTGCGGTGACAAGCTGGGTTCTCACAATGAACAAATACTGAAAAAGTTGGATACTACAAGAAAATCGTCATTTTAAGTTACTGACAACAAAAATCTCTTCCCAAAGTGTAAATCTTATACCATTATGAGCCTCATAGTTAAGTTACAAACACTCAGAGGCCAAAAGCGGTTGAGGATAAGACTGGAAAAGGTCAATTCAGGAGCCAGGTTTATGGATGAGAACTCGATTAAATTAAGCAACGCTAGCAGAGTGGCACAGGTTCAGAAAAGAAGAGCCATGAATCAGAGTTTTTATGAATCAGCTGACCATTTATCTGCATTAGAGTTAGGGGTGTCCCGATACAACATTTTGACTTCCGATACAATACCGATATTGTAGCATTCAATACTGACCGATACCGATATTGATCTGATATTGCCACAAAATTGTGCATGACAAGTTTTGCTCTCAGCTGCAACGTCTTTTTCGGAATTAGACGTAAAATACTGCCACATGACCAACATCACTCCTACTCCTTGCTACTTTGTTCGTACCTTAGTTCATACTGTTGTTGTGATTATGTGGGCTCTGCATGCTGGATCATGGCGCTGCTAGATAGAGATGCTGGAGCGGAGTCTGGAATGGACTGCTTGTATTGAAGTGCTGATATCGGAGAATTTAGATTTCGTTTTTTGCTGATTTCGGACTGATATCCGATATCTATATTGTACCGGGACACCCCTAATTAGAGTCACTGTCACCTGTTTGGATGTAATGATCACATTTATTTTAAAAGTCAACTGATGTTATGAAGTTGTAATGAGTTCATGGTCCTTCAGTGAAAAAAATAACTCATATGAAATCCCAGGTCCAATCCAAGGAATCAAATTAAAGTTATAATCTGTATTTTTTGTGGGGAAAATGAAGCAAGGTTAGTTAGAGTTGTGCGTAGAGTGGTGGTAAACAAAGTGAAGATAGTCGTGTAAGGACTGCATTGAGGAGCCCAATGCAACAAATGCACACAGTAAAGTAGAACCAAATCTAGACAGATCTCCATTCCACAAGCCAACACTCTAATAAATAAAGGCCTGGGTTTATCACAGCTAATGTCCTACTCCACAGAGACAATAGTAGTGGTGGGGATTATGTGGAGGGAACATTGAATGAGGAGTTAAACAATGATTACTAATCTCATTGCATTAGAATAAAGAACAGCACATCAGCAAACACAGGGGAAGTTGCCCTTTGTCCTCTGTGGGGCTCGTTTTCCACAAAGCTCATTAAGGGATACTGTTAACATGCTTCCTAAGCACAAAATGTTAATTAAAAACACAAGGCTAATATGCATTTTTACGCCATGCTTTCCAACGCCATAGAAAAAAAAAACTCATTTCCTCTGTGGTTCTGCTGATTGCAGTCTGATGTGGCGCTGAAGTTAATTAGAACCCTGTGATCTGATGTGATGAGGGGGTGACCGCACAGCACACTGCCACCAGCTCCCCTCCCCTCCCTCCCCTACACCCCTGCAATCAACCCCAGCCTACTCATCATTGCCGCTGCGGACTAGGTCATTTCATCGAGATTGAAGGTCCCACCCTGGTGCAATGTCTGTCTTGTCTTTGCCTCTCACAAAGTTTCTACCTGTCTTCGCTCCAGTTCAGCCGACATAAATGTGACCAGAGTCTGTACCTAAGCAGCTTTGACACAATCGTGACAGTAAGAACTTAGCACCAGTCAATCTCTGATTCCGATTCTAATCCTGATTTACATGTTTTTATGGTATGTGTCATATGTGGTGCAGATTAGGAATAAGTAACAGGTCCCTACCCTCTAATTCAGCTGTGGACTAATATAGTAAGAGGAATGTGTTGCCCTTTTAAGTCACAGAGCCGACTTTGACATTAAAACAACAAGTCTGTAACAGCTCTGATAAGTTTTTACTAAAAGGCGCGCAAAGAGGGGGATCGTTTTTATGAAGTGACAAACTCGTACAGTGACAGGATCACCCCATAAAAGTCCATGCGAGTGAAATGAACGAGTGTTCGCCAGGCGTGAAAATATACTGCAGCACGCACCTCTGCAGACCCTCCTATTAATCAACCTGTCCACACTTTGTTTTGAGAGTAATCTCGTCCAACCACCAGAGAAGCACTCAGCAGTAAGTGGCGCTTGGCTGTGCTTTGAAGGCCGTGGTTTATTGCCATCCCAAAGCACAGCAAGACTGCGCTGTAAAAACACATCATCTCAGCGCTCAACACTTGCCTCCAGTTACTCACCTCACACATGGTGATCCAGCGTGAGGCCTTAAGATCGCAGTAACCACCTCTGGCCAAAATTGAGATACTGTAGTTGGACACAATTGGGCAGTGCTCGTCTTAAGCATCTCCATCCTAAAAGACATCCCACAAAAAAGCATAAAACATTTACATCCCTGGGAAATCACGATCTGCTTCTTTGAGAGGCTGTTTCTTACTCAGGTCAATCTGGTCTTTTCATCTATCCTGTTTAAATTATAAGGTCACGTTGGATTTCTTCGCAGCTGCTTTCTTAAACAGTATCAAGGGGACAGAAGTCAGAGTGTTTCTTTGCATATGTGTATTTCTGAATGTGTGTGTTATGATCACAGACTAATCCAGAGGGACAGAAGTCGTCCTTCAGCGACAACTTTTCATTTCTTTATTCATATTGTAAACATGGGACAAACACAAAAACTCAAGATTCAAACTTTCCCTATTACCACAGAGTCGAGGCATATCAGTGGGAGAATGCGGTCCATCACAATGACACATTGTGCCTTTTTCTTGTTTTCATGAGTGGCGCGGCCAAGGACGCCACCCCTCCTACGCACTCCATCCTCTTGACTACAGTGAGAGGCATCTAAAACTTTAACAAAACAAAGTGCCTCTTCCCGTTGCTTGACCTCCTCATGAATGCCTCCTTGAATATTTCACTATTAGGACGGAGAGTGCAGGGGAAATCTTAAGTAAAAGTAAATAAAGTACTGAAATATTGAAGTGGTGCATGGCAGTCAGCAGGGCAACGGTGGAGTTTCAACGCAGCGAGTCAAGAAGTCAGGGCGTAGGGTAGAGATAGGGCTCATATAGATTCTTCAAACTTCTTAATCTACAGCCTTTGTGAGCCTAATGAAGAATACAGAAACGACATCAGGTCTTTTTTGTGCTTCAAGCATGCACTGAGACTCTGGGATGTCTGCAGGCATGAGTGAGCATCAACAGAAAACACCGTATTGAGTTGACACTGTGAGTGAAACCAAGTTTCAAGCTTGGTAGGAATAAACTACATGTGGATGTTCTGTAGAGGGCACAGGAAAACCGGTTGGAGGAAGTGATTGCTCTTAAATGGGTGACCTCCAGTTCTTCACATCCTTGAGAGACCATATTACATCGGACTCCTGTCTAAACACTTAGAAAAAACACATGAATGTAACATTCATCCTTCAAGGACTCATGGATCGAATGTTTTCTTCCAGTGACTCTAAAGAAAAGAGCTTTTGACCCACTTCTTCAGATATGGCGTAGCTGCTGCTCCTACCAAGACAAGGAGGTCAAAGGGCAAGGTTTTCAGGCTCACAACACCTCCAGCCTCTTCAAGCTTTTTTGGGCTCAAAGGAAATGGCAGATGAAGTCAAAGGTACACAAAAGCATGTCTATAAAGTGTCAAATCCTCTCCCCTTTATTAAGGAAGAGTCAAATGGATGTTTGTGTATTCATATGAGAGTGCCTTCAGTCAATAGGAAGCCACTGACCTTCCTTTGTAGCACTTGCCTTTCATGCTGCACCCACGTCTTCTGCCGGTCTATCTCCACACCTGTAGCTCAGAGATCTGTTCCTCATCCTGCCTCTTCGCCTCCTCTTGCTTGAAACACACAGAGAAAAAGGGAGCAGAGGTGAGGTGCTCGGAGAATTGAAGCTGTCTGTTTTTAAAGGTGTCAGCACACCCTGCTTTTGCATAATACATATCACACCTAAGAGATGATCCATTAGCAGGTTACAGCAAGAGCGGAGCAATAAGCTGACGAGATACAGCTGCAGAAGACACACACACACACCTAAACACAGTGCACACAAAGGTACACACACACACACACACACACAACGCCCTCCACTTTAACTGCCAGATGAGAAGCTGGGATTGTCCCTGTGGGGCAGGCTTGTGTGTGGCTGCAGCGAAAACTACTTTCACTGGACTGACTTCTGGGCCCCAACTCTACATTACCTCTAAAGAAAGCACAGAAGACTAAATGTGTAAGAGAAAGAAAAGAGAACAGGAGAATAAAAAAAAAAGGATAGGCAGAGAGAAAAGAGAAAAGGCAAGCCACCACCACACCCCCTTTCACTTCCAGACACTGATTTATAATTTTAATATCTTTAATTTCCACAGCGCGCCCATTCTCCAAATGTCATTTTCCAATTTATGTCAAACTGTGTGACCATTTTTCTTAATACAGCTTATGACAAGCTCAGTGGCAATGCGGATATGCAATTCAGATTGAGTGTTTTACAGGCACAGCAGCAGACACACCGGGGTGTTTGTGTGTTTGTCTTTATCAGTGTCTGTGCAGTATTTTGGAGGGGGAAGACCGGGAGCACTGTACACCAGGGAAAAATTGGATTCGCTGCAAAATATGTGCCTTCGGAGAACAAAACCATAATTCTGTCATAAATCTAATAATTATAGTTATCATAATAAGAATTATGATGATAGCAATGATAATGTATTAAAATATGCATTAACATTAAGAGCTTGAAATGGAATGTGGGCTGGCTTTATGACCATTACATGAATATTGATGTTAATTAAAACAGAACCTCCCTTTTTATGTAACACTCCATCTTGTTGTAATGGTGAGAGTTGGACGCAGTGGTGAGCCAGATTGAGCAAAAGGCTTTACTGGTTGGTTAGCCCTACTGGGGGCACTGTGGAACCCCTCTTAGATGTGCAAGAGGCCTTCAATTCCATTTCATCCAATGTGAGTGAGTAGAAATGACTCTTTTGGCTTAAGCCTTCAACTAAGGGTTAATTTTTTACAACACTTTGTTCTGACAGACATGGTGGGACCAAGCGTTTAATAAATTATTTGAAATAATACAGCAAGACCTTATGTAAGCAGTAAAAAACAAGGATAATATGAAACCAATTAAGTTAAAAATGTAAAATAACATCTAGGAGACATTAAATAGCATTTAAAGTACTTGTGTCTTCTGCAAAGGGCTCCAGCTGATCTCTCAATCTTTTATTTTTGCTTGTAAGTCAGGTCAATGTGTGACTTTTCTGTGACGATGAAGACAATTTCTCACATCATGGACAAACAAAGGTCTCCTAATTTATTCTATTGTAAGTCACAATTTTAACAAGAAACCACTGTTAAAATAAAAAAAATATCTTCTAACAAACCAAACTTTCTGGAGGCATGTAATCTTTTATCTATCAACTTATCAAATAAGAGTTTTTGTTGGTGAAACTTTTTTATTATTATGTTGTAATGAAGCTTCAAGCGGGAATCACTTTGAAAACTTCTTTGCTTGTTCATTCAAGGGCAGAGAGTCTCTGACATGTTGACCATTGTCTTCAAATTTTGACAGGTTTTGATCATGAAAAAGAAGATACAACTGCAAACCTGCAAAAGAGTAATTCAACAATTCCAGCTTGCACCATTTAGAAATCCCATTAAGTTTACCCACAAAAAAAAAGAAATGGAAATAAATGCTAATTGAAGTAGCCTGTGGCAGTTAGCGGGCAGAAGGGTTAGGATACATGACTATATGTACAAAACAAAACAAAATATGCAAAGTCGTCTTTAAAACATCATATTTTCAAGATACTCACTGAATAGTAGCCTTGAAAGTTCAGGCTGGACTTATCAGAGATAAAAAGTCACAAATTTTGAACATAATTGCTCAGATTTTTGGCCTCTTGAGAATAAATCGGACCAGTCTTCACTTATAAAAGTAAATCAAATCAAAAAGTTTAGGAAAAGATTCAATCTATTTGATTTATGTCTGTAATCTGACAAATAAATGATAAGCAAATAGAGACAAAAACCCTCTGTTTCCCTACATCCTGAGTGAAGTTTCAATGACAAAGCTGGACCAGTCTGTGGCACAGTGGCTTTATGACCTTCATAGGATGATCTCAACGGTTTCACCTCGATCCCTACTCTCCTCTCCTCTCTGAACCAAACACTGATTGACCCTGTGTGAGTGGCGGCCTGCCAGCCCATGTTCCCGACTATCGAAAAAAGGGTAAAAATAACAGGAACAAGTTGTCGGAAATGAAATTTCAATTCATCCAGTCCCTTTATACACTGGTGCGAGAGCCTGTCGTTGAGAGGGAGGGATCAATAGTGTTTAGACAGCAGGGCAGATTTTCTAAGCGCCGGATCAATAGGAAGGAGAGAGGAAAAAATACCCTGGCTTTTCTTTGGCTGTTGTAGTAAATACGAACAAATCAGTGGCCTTAGGCTAAATGGATTGACCAGCTGTTTCCGAGTTCTGTGTTGTAAATAAAGATCCATTCTGAGGTGTGCGGTGGAGGCCCAAAGGCGAGAGTGCTGCTCTTCAGGTTGTCCCTGCATGGGCTTTGCTGGACCACAGAAGTGCCCTGATAGGGGGTGAAAGAGACAAGGGAACAGAGGACAGAGCCGGGACCTTACAAAGTGCAGAAGTGGTGCCCAAACCCAACAGCCCTGTCAGATACACATTAGCAGCTGGTTACTGGTTACTTTTCCCCCCCTGTTAAGGAGCCGGATAATTTTCATTCACAGTCCTTGGTTTAATCTTTTTTTTAATCATTTTGATGAAAATTAAAACATCCAGCTTCTGCCAATCTTGGTACACTTTTTTAAAAATCTTATTGGTGACATTTATTTAACGCCTTTCTCTATAACGCATTATAAATGTATGTATAAAGCGTTATGATCACATCATAGCACTGTATAACTATAGTTATAAACACTCATAAATGATCATAATGCTTTATAGCAATAATCATAACACATTATATTGCATTTTATCATGACTTACAAGGTCAGGTATTATAATGTGTTGTAACTGTTAACAACTCACTGACAATGCCCACATAGATAATGCAATGCAACTGAGTGTTTATAACTCTAGTTATACTGTGCTATAACGTGATTATAATGCATTATACATATATTTATGATGCGTTATAGAGATAAAGTGTTACCTTTTTTTCTATTCACTTGCTAACTAGAGTTCAGGTGTCTCTTTATCATTTCTTTGCATTGAAGTTGCTGGGATGTGTGTTTGGTGCATTTTGCTTATACTGTATATGTTGTTTGAAGAAGGGACGCTGCTCTACACTAATTTTAACCCTTATTCATGATTTACTTTTTTCTAGACATATAAACAAGTCTTGATATGTTTCTTATCTCTGCATCGAAGCTAAATGACTGCTATATTTATACTGTATATTAATAAGGCGAAAGTAAATTAAAAAGATATTATCTGATCAAACAGTATCTGTTTCTTATTAGAAGACTGCGTCCATTTAGCTGGTGAAAATAAACTATCATACAAAGGATACGACTGTTTGTTGACATAAAACCATGGCAGGTTAAATCTCCCCACCAATATCCTGGGCTAATCAGAGGGTAGGATCCTGACAGGATGACTGATGTCCTGCTTGCTTTGCCTCACCTCTGGACTTATTAAAGAAAAACACTACAGGCAGGGCCTTCACAAAACTCATTGGTCAACCATAGAGGAGAATGTGATGGGTGAAATTCATCACTAAAAACTTCTCAGCCCAAACAAAACAAATATCGGGGCACCAAATGACACAAGAGCCCCTGGTTAAAACTGATGGTCTCCAAACTTAGCAAGGACAGACTTTTAAGGACAAGTATGTGGGGGGAAAAAAGATGGCTGTTGACTCTAGCTGCAGGGTGGTGGAAAATAAAGAGTAAGGGGAAATCAAAGGCTTTGCTTTGCTTGAAAACACTGTACAAGTAGCTTAAGTTTATGTCTTAAAAACCCTTAAAACTATCAAGCTTTACAGCAGCCCTACCTAAAGACACTGCTGTTGTCTGTAGGTGATGATATATAACTGCTTTCTCTTTGCATTAGGCAGTAAAACAACAGCTTGGGGGTAATATTGTTTCAACTGCACAAACAGATCTTACAGACAGGCCTACTGAACCATCTCAGTCACAAAGCAGACATCGAATCTTTACAAAAATACATAAATGGAGCACCTAGACATGTTGTACGACTCGTTTGAGAGCAATTTCACAATGTAATTGAGGTCTTGTGTGTATGTGTGTGTCTGGAAGTGCCACCTCTCTCTGATTAAGGTCACCTAGGATTGTGCGCTTACTGAATCTCAGGCTGAGCAGCAGAGGTTAGAGCACAAGTCATTGGCTTCCTGAACACATTACCTTAATGATGCCATTCCTCACGCCTCCATTCCAACACATTTAGAGATGGAGCAGTTACAGCGTCTATTAAGACATTCAAATGTCTCCCCCAGCTATTTACCCACTGCTCTTGCAGAAAAGGGTAACCTGAATTAAGTGTGACAGCACTGACTCGTTTCCCTTTCCAAATAGACAAAAGACATAGACAAAGTCATCAAGCAGGAACAGCCATTAAAAATTCAGATTACAGCTTTCTTGAAGACTCGTCTTTCTCTGCTTGTTAATAGGATTGTTTTTCTTTCATTATTAATTTGTTTATTATGACAGACTGTGAAGTTGTTTCTAAAAGCTGCACGTTCCTTTGTCCCTTGTATCCGATCAAAAGTCATTAATTTGACTAGAGGATTGAATGAAATATCGGATTATAAATTTTTTCATCTGCTTTAAAAGATAGGTGGCTGTTAGTGTTCGCCTTCTTCTGTTTTGATGCACTTTTGCTTAAGCTGCTGTTTTCTAGGGCTGAAACGATTCCTCGAGTACCTCGATTACAAATAATGATTGAGGAATTATCGAGTACTAGTTTATAAGCTCATATCGTCACTGTTTTGCACGGATCATTTTCAAGGTGGCACAACACGCTTACCTCACCACGGTGGAAGGAGGAGTGAGCGTGGTTTTGGTTTTACGGAGCAGAAAAAATGAATGATGAGAAGGGCTTTTCTTCTGCAGAGCTCCAGTAGCTCATTAGCACTTCGCCTCTGAGTTGTTCGCGGAGACAGCACTGCTCTGCACACGCTAGATTGCAGCCTAACATTGCCGGTGTAGTAACAGAAGCAGGTAATATAGGAGCTATTCAGCACTCTGCACTAATGTCTTTGAGGGCATGATGAAAGTTTACATCATGATTAGCTTTCTTACGAGCATTGCAATCCACTAACGCACACGCTTGTTCCGCGATTGTCCTCTATTTCTCAGAGTCTGGCTTTCATAGTGGGGCTCCGGGGGCGGAGCTTGGATTTGTGACATAGGAAATCTCACTGTATGTTAGGGTGACCATATTCTGAATCCCCAAAAAGAGGACAGGACTACGTGGGGACGGAGTCGCACCAAGTTAATTTTGAGAGTTATTCTGGTCGGCTCCAGTGTCTTTTCTAACTCAGTAAGTCCACGTGACAGAAACCCGAAACTTCCATACAAAACTGCAGACATTTGAAGGATATTATAAACTTCCCCAGACAAAGCCGGACAGCCCCCAAAAAGAGGACATGTACAGGTAACAGAGGACGTATGGTCACCCTACCATATGTGAGTCTGCTGTTTGGGTTAGATTACTCAAGTAACTGATAGAATATTTGGTAGAATACTTGATTACTAAAATATTCGATAGCCGCAGCCCTACTGTTTTCTATACAATAAACATCAGTGAAGTCAGCTTATCTCAAACAGAGATCTGAGAAATTCACTCAACTCCAAAGACACTCACTGCACTATCCTCAGGAATGTCAGAAATACTCATCAGCAATCAGTTTGGAGGACAGGTAAGCTGGGCATCTAAGTGAGTAACTCCCCAAAGACTTTTAGTGCCATATTCTTATGAACGGTGGTGGTTTTCCCTCCCTGTTTGAGGTATTCTTGGGAGGAGACCTGGGCTATTGAGCGTGTTTATGTTCCTGGCTGTACAGAGGATTCTAATGTGTAACACAGGGCACTTCAGCATCCAAACGCCCGGGGCTATTCTCTAAGTGGTCTTTACTTTGGAAACACAGGTGCCCTCGAGGGGTTGATGAGTGGTGGTTGTGTGCATGTGTGTGCATGTATGAGGACACAGGAAGCTGAGAGGGCAGATAAAGGAGTAGTAATGTTTTGAGGCCCATGCAATGGTCTGAATAATGTATCCATGCATCATCAGTCCATGTCAGACTTTGATTCAGTGTGGTGATCTCGCAGAAACCACTGTGGTATAATCTTTAATAATGCAAGCTGGGATTACATGCTTACTCCTTTTTGATAAATATAGACAAATCAATTAATTCTACTGACGTTCCTCTCATAACTCTTATAGCAATCTAACAATGTGCTTGGCTTTCTTGTTTTGCTCAGTAAAGCAGGGCTGAATTGTTTTGTTTTTAATGTCCTAGGTCTGACGAAAAAAAAAAAAAAACTCTACAGTGAAGGGAAGATTTGTTACGGTCGTGGATCACTATAAAATAACTTTGAATGTTGATACTTGAAAATCTAATGAGATCTGGAGATTGTAAATTAGAAACATAACGTTGCATGTGCTTTGCTGCTGGTGCGTGAGAAAATAAATATTTTAAGATAGAATTAATGTTTCTCATTTCACCAACAATAATTACCACTCAGGCTCCATGACAAAGAAAGAAAATGTATTCTATAACCTGCTGTAATATAAACATAGAGCCATCGTGTTAATGCGGCATGCACACGTTTTTCAAAGCGTCCTGATATGAAACCAGTTTAAATGAGGATAATGCAAAGGAAACATGAGTCTGTTATGCATTTCACAGAGTTTATGGTGTCACTGAGAGCATTACCAGTGGAAAGGCCTCACAGCCATTTAAAAGCCTACAGACCACTTAGCAGATCTCAGGTGGTCCTGATGCCAGTGACCTTGGTAATGAGGTGCAACTGGCACAACAGTCATTAGGCTTCCATATCTCCACCTTCAGGAACCAATTTTTATTTCCATAAAACCTTTTATCCTTTTCTCTCGGTGCTTCTTTGCAGTCTACCGCCAAGTCGAGGGCCATTAATGACTACAGCAGAATAGCAAATGTCATTGCATCGCTTGTCTTATCAATACTTCTAAAAACAGAACATCAATGGAAATGAAGGCATAGCAGAAATAATATGTTTCTGGTAGTGTCACAATCTTGTAGGTCTAATTAAACTAAGTTCAACAGGAAGACTGCATGAGGGGAGAGAGGAGAGGAAAGGGTGACCCAATTAAAACCAAATCGAAACTCACTCACTCAGTCTATAGTGTGGCTCATACACATAATGAGTGGTAACCTGTGAAAACAAGGAGAACAAGCTTTATTAGTCCCTCAAAAGCCCTGTTGCCGCATTAATATTCCAGCCTAATGAAAGTGTCTTTTTTCCCCCATTTCCCCACACTTGCCTGTCACTGCTCGCTTCATAAATATTGTCTTATTATGATCATCATGGCGATATGCAGAAAATTTCAGAGCCAATTACCAGAATGACAGGTGAAATGGGTGCGCGCGATGAAGAAATGAAGGGTTGCCATGGTGATAAAGCCAAAGAATCAGACTAAATGTGTGTACGGTCATGTGACCACTATCTTGCTGAACCGTTGCTCAGGCCCTGCTCACCAAAGGACACTTAACCTCAATTACTGGCTGCAATTGCCGTCCAATCTGGCTGAATTTATTTACTATATCTGTCCGCAGGTCAGACCTCGTTGAGTGTCTTGAGCAGCCAAAGCTCAGCCTTTCAGCCCAAACCCTGGGACATTTTGAACCCGTATTTTCCAAATGACAGCCAGGGACCAACATAGAATACCTAAAAGATCTGAAATTTAAGGAGCATACCTGCCAACATTTGGGTTATGAAATCTGGGAGATTTTTGTGGCGCGCGCCAAGCAGTTTGGGTTTACCTTGTATGGTGGAAATGAGCTAATTATGAAAATATTTGTAATTGAATTACTCATCCAAATCAGTATAAGTAAGTAAGTAAGATATGTCTTGAAGTTATTTAGTCGACTAATATTGAAGTTAAAGTCCTCATATGTTTTACATGCTCTCCCGTATGAGGCTCTCTGAACATCTGTGCGCGCAATGCAGCAATTTTTTATCTGAGGCTGCCCTGAACGCATCACTCCGAGACGGTGCAAGACTATCAACGTAAATATTATATCTCACGTTTGTTTCCCTTTTATTGAAGTGTTTATTTTGCAACAAACACCGCTTAAATGTAGTTTACAGTTTAAACCGACCTGAATCATCCCAAATTGTGAAGTAAAAGTATCAATCCAGTGTCTTTGAGGCTCAGCAGAAACTTTGGTTGCCTGGAAACCTGGCAACTTTGGACAAGTATAGTGAGCCGATTCATGAATGAATGTGGACCGTGCAAACAATGAGAGATTCCCGGGATAAATGACAATACGGGAGGTGGGCGGGAGATAGGTCTGAAATACGGAAGAGTCACGGGAAAAACGGGAGTGTTGGCAGGTATTCTAAGGAGGCTTTTGGAAACAAGCCAGAGAAACATACAAGAACTTAACATGCACAAGCAAAATAAAATGAACCACGCAATTTGATGGTACAATTGGGTGACATGCGAGAAAAGCTCAACCAGTCAAAGTGCTGTTGGGAGGGGTGTTATGTCTGCTACAGCTAAATTATAGTGCACACTTTCTGATCTGTGTCTGTTCACTGAGCGCCTCTGTACCTGCATGTGCTGTGTGAGCTGTGTCCCATTCAGTGATCCCCCCCTTATTAAGAATACAATACCTTATGCATAGACTAAGATTAATATTTGAAAATGTGTAAGATGGAATTGGAAATGAAATGACTTGGATCAAAAGTTAATTAAGAAACACCCTACGCAAATATATCTTTTTAGATTGTGCCTGCTTGGACTGGAAGTAAGATAGGACACAACTGTGCCAGTCAACAGCAGACTCATACAAATCTACTCTCAAACCAGAGATGAGCAAAAATTGGCCATTCAGTCTTATTATTGGTCGCAAATGGAAGACAAAATCTAATTGAGGATGTACTTGAAAAGAGGATTTTTTTTTCTTAGCGATTCACTTAATTCAAAGCAAAAGAGCAAAGCTTTGTAGCAGGATGGTAGAGCTACAGATATCACCCTCTGTTAGAGTTTCTGAATATGTTTATCTGCTATAACAACTGATTAAAAGTCATTCAAAAGTGAAATATAACATACGGGGATGCAGATGTGCCACTGATAATGATGCCGGAGTGAAGCGTGTGGACAGAAATTATACAAATAAATAAATAAGCTCCAACAAACAGAAAAAATCATCCCACCAGAGCAATTACAAATCTAATCAGAGGTTTGTGCTCTCCTATCTCGCTCCCATTTGCATCATAACACAGTGTGCAATATTAATTTCCGAGTTTACTGCTTATTGGAAGTGCAAAGTATGAAAAGCCATTAAGGCCCCAAATAGGAAAGCAATTTGCTGTCACATGGATTCAGCTCTATTAAAAAGAAAAATCTTGTTAACCATTTGGAATTAGAGTCATTTGGCAAAAGGCATTCTGCCGCACTCCAGTAAAATAAGTAATTATGCTTCTTTTCCTTCCATCTCTCTCTTTCTTTCATTTGCACAAGCGTAGTGGGGAGTGGTGGATGGGGAGAGCGACTGGATGCAAAGGTAATTAAAGTTGTTGGCTATCTGTTTGTTTAATGTAGGGATCAGGCCAGCTGAGAGCCTCGGAGGCGAAGGCAAGATGAGAAACACATCCATTTTTCTGTCTCTGTCTACCAACCCCCAGGCTAATGCTCATCTGGTCCATATATCACTGATTCCAGTCTCGCAATCCACAAACTAAACAGGGACCGTACAGAAAAACTTGTTCTGACTATTCCTCTGAGCTTATCGCAGTTTCATTTAGGTTTCAACTGAGTAAAATCTCATTAGTGCTTCTCAGTTGAGGGTTTAAATTAAACCACCTCCACAGGCCCTGGTGTTTTAGAAGATTACAAACTATGTCCTTCAAATGTGTGTGGCATACATTTGACACGCAGCTGTTTTTGTTGTTGAGGACAAACAGGTGTGTTGTCAGTAGCTGCGTTTACATGGGAACAAATAATCGGAATAAATGCCTGATCGGAATAAAAATGCGTCATGTAAACATGTCGATCGGAAAATTCTGATCCAGTTAGGCTCAATCTGAAAGAAATTGTATTCTGATCAAGAGGGGTGGATTATGCCGATCGTTATTCCGAAACGCGTCCAACACTTAATCCGATAGTGATTTTCACTCTTTAGCTATTGGCTTCTTTATTGAGACCAGGACAGGAGGTTTCATTATTGACATTCTGGCATAAACACAACCGCAGGTAGCGTGTGTGCTCCTCCGGTAAGCAATATTTTTTTTTGTACGATGGTAGGGGAAAGTCCCGCCTCCTTCGCCTCTGATTGGCTAGAAAAGCTAGAAACGTCATCACATGCTCAAGCCAAACGCAGGCTGTTGGCTCTGTACATCGAACAGAACATTACAGAACATCATTGCAATTCTGAATCTCCTAACCCTAATTCTAACCCTAACCCGACAGATGATGACGTTTCACAGCCATAAGGAATAACCAATCAGAGCCCAGCACTTCTAGCCAATAAGAGGCGTTTGTCAGTTTGTTGACAGCACAGGCGTAAATACAACGCTTCTTCTTCTGCGGTTGTTTTGGCGAAATCAGACAACTTTACGCATGTCCAAATGATTCTAATCTGAATAAAGCTTGGTGTATGTATACGCACGTCATGATCGGATTGTTTGATTTTGCACAGATTTTCTAAACATGGCTATTGTCATCCCACACCAAAACAGTGGACATGTATCTCTAACACATGGTTCTTATCAAATGCACATTATTTAGCTGCTTCCAACCCGTTTCCATCACATTCTCACGCCGACAGACTCATTCGGAGTGAACTTTTGCCCCAAATCTTCAGCGCAGCAGTATTTTGTAGATGGTATCATGACCTTTTACTCATCATTATCAGCTCAATGGGAAACCGCTCCAAAATAGGCTTGGCGTCCCTTACTCCTTCATAAGAATGAAAGCCAAGGAAAAAGAAGGGGGCGATTTATGGGGTGGCATGTACGGCCTCTTAGGTGTTTTATGGCTGGACCTGCAGGGCCTATTTAGGAAGTGCCGCGTGCTCCTTTCTGACCACAGGTATTGATCGTCAGCAATGGCCATGGCGTGGCTGACTAGTTAAAGCCCTGCATGTGCCCTCACAGGGAGATGAAAATGAGGCCTCTGTGTGTAATGATCTGTGTATGAGCTGGGAGAGGAGGCCGCAGACGCAGAGAGGAGGAGAAATTAAATCATTCCTTTGCTCTTTGAGGAGAGGCGCTGCAGCCAGCCATGCTCGGCTGCTTAATGTGGGATCTGTTTTTGAGAGGAAAATTAAAAAGAGAGGGAGAGAGAAGCCAGTGAGAGCAGAGGAAAGAGAGATAAATGGCTGGATGTGGAGGCGGTAAATGAGAGCATCCTGATGCAGAGAGCTGTGCACGGATGTCCCTAATGGGGTGGGCTGATGTGAGCTGTCTGGTAGCTGACCACCACGGTTACATCGCCTTCCTGCCTACCCCACACCAGGCCCTTCCAGCACTGAGACAACTACGCTCCATGCTAATTGGCAGAAAACGATGGTGCATAACAAGTACAGAGGAGACATTGGACTAATTTGAGAGGGGGTGAAACGATGGATAAAATGCTCCTAATCATATGAGGAATTTTCTTTTCAGTGAGCCACAGTCTGTGGCTTTCTTTTCCTCCCCTTGAGGGCCACAGCCCATGACTTAAAACACACAGGATTGGAAATCCATGCAAACAAAAGTAGCAGCAACAGCTGTAATCCACTTATAAAAGCCGGACAGTCAGTAAACAGCCAGGCTATGAAAGCTGCACTACAGTTTAACTTAACTTTACAGTCATTAGCCCCAAAAAGAACAAAGAACACATCTTCATTCACTTTCACTGTGGAAAAAAAAGCTTTTATCCGCGCACTTACTTTGTTAGTCATCTACAAAAAGTGTAAATTGGACAATCACAGTGTCAAAATCACAGGAAAAATGGGACGGTTCAAAAATAGAGTGACACTTTCTCTACAACGGCTGAATGAACCAGCGTAAAAAGAAGTGATGGTGGGTGTGAAGATGTCAATCCCTGAGAACAACTAACTGTGTATTGTATTGTTTGCATGGGAGTAAGTAAAAACTAGGGCCCCGTTGGGGCACTGGCGGGCCCGAGCCGTGTCGCGCCGCCCCCAACACGACCGCCTCTCCCTACCGATCGCGTCACACTCAAGGTCCAAAGATGGTGTGCGCACTTGTCTGTGGTCATTTACAATTATAATGAATGGGAGGCGCAGTTTCTACCAAAACGCTCGCCGCAGACAAACTACATGTCCTATTTGAAAAGGACTGGACCATGAGTGAGGGCACAAACACAGCTAGGATATATCCAAATGGCAAGTTGCTCCTCCTTTCGGTTTTGCCGAGAGAGCGATGTGTTTGAGTCATTGAGCGATGGGCAGGAAAAACTTGACTTTTTCTCCTGCCATGGGGGGGCGCTCTTTTAGGGAGTAAAAATTCCTTCACAAATGTGTTGATGGCTAGACATTGCATCATCCTAGAAAACTTGGAGGCCAGTGAGGACAAAAATAAAAAGTTATAAGACTTTTAAGAATGTGGATTTTTGGGTTATCTTTGGCGCCCCCTAGAACATAAACCGTGGGGTGCAGCGTCATGATTTTTACAACTTTGAATGGCCATGGGGTGTAGATTGGCCTGAGTAAATTTGGTGTCAGTGGAACGAAAGCTTTAGGAGGAGTTAGCCACATTCCAATGTGTGCGAATCGACCAAAAATGCGAAATAGCCCTTTAACCGTACATTTTATAGATACGCGCCCATTGACTATTTCGTAGATCTTATTGAGAAACACGTGATTGTCAAAGTTTGTTTCAATATGACAAAGCGTACAGGCGTGACACTCAATAATGTGAATTTTCACCTTAGGGGGAAGAAAAACTGGACTTTTTTCTCCTGCCATGGGGGGGCGCTCTTTTGGGGAGTAAAAATTCCTTCACAAATGTGTTGATGGCTAGACATTGCATCATCCTAGAAAACTTGGAGGCCAGTGAGGACAAAAATAAAAAGTTATACGACTTTTAAGAATGTGGATTTCTGGGTTATCTTTGGCGCCCCCTAGAACGTAAACCGTGGGATGCAGCGTCATGATTTGTACAACTTTTAATGGCCATGGGGTGTAGATTGGCCTGAGCAAATTTGGTGCCGGTGGAACGACAGCCTTCGGAGGAGTTAGCAAAATTCCAATGTGTGCGGATCGGCAAAAAATGCGAAATAGCCCTTTAACCGTACATTTGACAGATACGCCCGCACTGACTTTTTTGTAGATCTTATTGAGATACACGTGTGTGTCAAATTTCGTGTCATTTTGACAAAGCGTACAGGCGTGACACTCAATCATGTGAATTTTTCACCTTAGGGGGCGCTATGGAGCCATTTTGCATTTGATTTTTTGGGCGACTTCAGAATATCGAATTTTTCACCAGGCCCGGTCGTCCTGCCAAATTTCATGACTTTTCACCAGTGGGAAGTGGGCCATTTTCCAGTTCAAAGGGGCAGAAAAATAATAAGAAGAAGAAGAAGAAAGAAGAATCCATCAGGAATAATAGGGCTCTCGCAGCTGCTTAGCAGCTACGCTCGGGCCCTAACTAGGGCCCCGTTGGGGCACTGGCGGGCCCGAGCCGTGTCGCGCTGCCCCCCCAACGCGCTGCCTCCCCGTCCCATTCGCGTCCTCTGGCAATCGTCCTCTCTGGTAACGCCCATCACTGCAAAGACCCTTTCCTTCATCGGCGTTTGCTGTTCTTCCTGCCAGTGCGTGTTGCTTTCACTTACACTTGCCACAGCCAGCCTCGTGAGTGCCTAGCCTATTGGATATCACTGTCATCTACACAGGACAGTCATTACCTTTCTATTAATACTTTGTTTTTTAATTTCACATTAATTTCCATATTGTATAAATGACTGGAAAAAACTTGAGCCCCTGCCCCTGTATAATCATGTGCACGTCCCTGTTCTAGCTCCAAGGTGAATCTTCACTGCTCATGTTCTCCTCAGAAATAGTCACCTCACTCCCCTCAGGTTACTGTACACATGCACCAACTATCTGCTTCAGGTTTGGATGGAGCTTCATGGTTGTCTTTTGGAGAAATGAACAGTCAAGTTGTGTTTGAAATTTGATTTTTTTCAGGGGCAAAAGGAAGCCTCTGCATTCTTGTCAAATATGTAAACAGCATGTTTTTGCAGGTGCTAAAAAACAGACTCTGAGTGTGTGTGTGTGTGTATGTGTGTGTGTGTGTGTGTGTGTGTGTGTGTGTGTGTGTGTGTGTGTGTATGTTGGCGTGTGTGTATATGTGTGTGTATCCTGCAGTACTCTGTACTCCTGCAGTGGCCAAAAAGACTTTTAAGAATGTGGATTTTTGGGTCATCTTTGGCGCCCCCTAGAACTGCAGTACTCTGTACTCCTGCAGTGGCCAAAATGACTTTTAAGAATGTGGATTTTTGGGTCATCTTTGGCGCCCCCTAGAACGTAAACCGTGGGGTGCAGCGTCATGATTTTTACAACTTTGAATGGGCATGGGGTGTAGATTGCCCTGAGCAAATTTGGTATCAGTGGGACGAAAGCCTTAGGAGGAGATAGCCACATTCCAATGTGTGCGAATCGGCAAAAAATGCGAAATAGCCCTTTAACCGTACATTATACAGATACGCGCTCTTTGACTTTTTCGTAGATCTAATTGAGATACACATGATTGTCAATTTTTGTGTCAATATGACAAAGCGTTCAGGCGTGACACTCAACAATGTGTATTTTCATGTAAGGGGACAAGAAAAAATGGACTTTTTTCTCCTGCCATGGGGGGGCGCTCTTTTGGGGAGTAAAAATTCCTTCACAAATGTGTTGATGGCTGGACATTGCATCATCCTAGAAAACTTGGAGGGCAGTGAGGACAAAAATAAAAAGTTATAAGACTTTTAAGAATGTGGATTTTTGGGTTATCTTTGGCGCCCCCTAGAACGTAAACCGTGGGGTGCAGCGTCATGATTTGTACAACTTTTAATGGCCATGGAGTGTAGACTGGCCTGAGCAAATGTGGTGCCGGTGGAACGAAAGCCTTCGGAGGAGTTAGCGAAATTCCAATGTGTGCGGATCGGCAAAAAATGCGAAATAACCCTTTAACCGTACATTTGACAGATACGCCCGCACTGACTTTTTTGTAGATCTTATTGAGATACATGTGTGTGTCAATTTTTGTGTCAATATGACAAAACGTACAGACGTGACAGTCAATAGTGTGAATTTCCACCTTAGGGGGCGCTATGGAGCCATTTTGCATTTTATTGTTTGGGCGACTTCAGAATATCGAATTTTTCACCAGGCCCGGTCGTCCTGCCAAATTTCATGAGTTTTCGCCAGTGGGAAGTGGGCCATTTTCCAGTTTAAAGCGGAGGAAAAATAATAACTAGGGCCCCGTTGGGGCACTGGCGGGCCCGAGCCGTGTCGCGCCGCCCCCAACACGACCGCCTCTCCCTACCGATCGCGTCACACTCAAGGTCCAAAGATGGTGTGCGCACTTGTCTGTGGTCATTTACAATTATAATGAATGGGAGGCGCAGTTTCTACCAAAACGCTCGCCGCAGACAAACTACATGTCCTATTTGAAAAGGACTGGACCATGAGTGAGGGCACAAACACAGCTAGGATATATCCAAATGGCAAGTTGCTCCTCCTTTCGGTTTTGCCGAGAGAGCGATGTGTTTGAGTCATTGAGCGATGGGCAGGAAAAACTTGACTTTTTCTCCTGCCATGGGGGGGCGCTCTTTTAGGGAGTAAAAATTCCTTCACAAATGTGTTGATGGCTAGACATTGCATCATCCTAGAAAACTTGGAGGCCAGTGAGGACAAAAATAAAAAGTTATAAGACTTTTAAGAATGTGGATTTTTGGGTTATCTTTGGCGCCCCCTAGAACATAAACCGTGGGGTGCAGCGTCATGATTTTTACAACTTTGAATGGCCATGGGGTGTAGATTGGCCTGAGTAAATTTGGTGTCAGTGGAACGAAAGCTTTAGGAGGAGTTAGCCACATTCCAATGTGTGCGAATCGACCAAAAATGCGAAATAGCCCTTTAACCGTACATTTTATAGATACGCGCCCATTGACTATTTCGTAGATCTTATTGAGAAACACGTGATTGTCAAAGTTTGTTTCAATATGACAAAGCGTACAGGCGTGACACTCAATAATGTGAATTTTCACCTTAGGGGGAAGAAAAACTGGACTTTTTTCTCCTGCCATGGGGGGCGCTCTTTTGGGGAGTAAAAATTCCTTCACAAATGTGTTGATGGCTAGACATTGCATCATCCTAGAAAACTTGGAGGCCAGTGAGGACAAAAATAAAAAGTTATACGACTTTTAAGAATGTGGATTTCTGGGTTATCTTTGGCGCCCCCTAGAACGTAAACCGTGGGATGCAGCGTCATGATTTGTACAACTTTTAATGGCCATGGGGTGTAGATTGGCCTGAGCAAATTTGGTGCCGGTGGAACGACAGCCTTCGGAGGAGTTAGCAAAATTCCAATGTGTGCGGATCGGCAAAAAATGCGAAATAGCCCTTTAACCGTACATTTGACAGATACGCCCGCACTGACTTTTTTGTAGATCTTATTGAGATACACGTGTGTGTCAAATT